CCTCATAGAATGAAAATTACCTAAGCCTTCAATGAGTCATGGATTCCTTCACGTGAGCGGTGTCAACGGCGGTGGCTGATTATGCCATTGCCTCTGATACAGATCTAGATTGGGTGCATTCATCTAAACTTGTTGCTGCCTGTGCTATTGTGCTATTGTATTTGCTCTTTGAGCAATCACCATGTTCCAACTTGCCCTAGACAAACTCTTTTAGTCTCTCACTTCTTTTCACTTAATACAATCTTTATTTGGACAATTTTCACAATGTCTACAAGCGAGGAGGCGAGTCGCCTGCGCGACCTTCAGGCAGATGTTCGCGACCAGGATGATCTCGAAAGAGATATTACTCGCCAGGTATGACTGAGTTCTCACTTAATTATCAGTCTGGGCTCACATTTCTCTTCTTTTCAGGCCGATAAAGCTCTGGCCGATAAGGCGGAGGAGAATGACATCAAGCGACTTGAGAAAGCCCTTGTGGATCGGGAGTAAGAGCGCATGCCCTAATATTAGATGGCATTACTAACTTAATATGAAGACGGGTCGATTCACAGGTCCGCCAAGCGCAGCAGCGCCTGACACAGCCCGTCGGAGCTGCCACTCGCCATCGGGTCGAGAATGAGCTGAAAAGGCTGCAGGCGCGCAAGGCTGATCTAGGGAAAGACCTGAAGGACATACAGCAGCGCATTGATGAGAGGCGCGAGTCGCAGGGCAACTCAACGGTGGCGCACGGGTCAGAGCGACAGCCAAATGAGTCCCGTCGTGATTATCTATTGCGAACCGGAAAGATCACCCCGTTCGCATTGATGCAGGAGGGCTCTAGAGATGGACCACTTGCTAATCTTCACGACGCACTTGTCGATACTGAGGAACAACAGCAAGAGGAGGAGGAGCGCGAACAAGCCAAACACCAGCCAGCCGCGTCCCACCGGGACCTTGCACGCCCAGACTTCGACTTTGACGAGAGTAGTGAAATCAAGAGCAAGCGAAGGAAGCTGGATCGTCGTGGCTCTCCGGGAGCAGATTCTTCGGCAAGTTATGTTGCATCCGAGGCTGACGCTACATCCGAGGGTGAAGAGTTCATGCCTGATACTCTCCCTGAGACCAAGCCAAGTCGCAAGCGCGGGCAAGGGAAAGCGACTACGGAGCTTGAAGATCTGAGTGGGCTTGATGATGGAAACGAGGCAATATACCAGTCTCGCGTGCAGGAATGGATCAGTCGGCGAAGCTCTGCTCGACGGCACGCTGACAGTCATTCCGTCGAAGCCGATTATCATGAACAAGAGGAGTGGCTTAAGCCACATCCCACCGAACCAGCCATGGAGCTTGACAATGGACTGCGGGTCCCTGGAGACATCAGCCGCTTCCTATTTCCCTACCAGAAAACTGGAGTTCAGTGGCTTTGGGAGTTGCATCAGCAAACCGTCGGTGGAATTATCGGAGATGAGATGGGGCTGGGGAAAACCATCCAGGCGATTTCTTATCTTGCGGCACTGCATCATAGCAAGAAGCTTACCAAACCTGCCATCATTGTTTGCCCTGCAACTCTTATGAAACAATGGGTTAACGAGTTTCATCGTTGGTGGCCACCCTTTCGTGTTTCCATCCTACACTCATCAGGCAGCGGAATGATGAATCTTGGCAAGGAAAGCAGTCGGGAAAATGCGCTCTCGTCAGAAATGATGGGCAGTCACAGCTCTCGTCACCTATCTGCTGGTCAGAAAGCGGCGAAAAAGATCATTAAGCGTGTCACCGAGGAGGGCCATGTCCTCGTGACTACATACTCGGGTCTGCAGTCTTATGCAGATGCTCTTGTTGATGTTGAATGGGGCTGCGCTATCCTCGACGAAGGCCATAAAATCCGCAATCCAGATGCCGGTATCACATTCAGTTGCAAGGAACTCCGAACCCCACATCGCATCATTCTTTCGGGGACGCCAATGCAGAACAGTTTGGTGGATCTTTGGTCCCTATTTGACTTTGTATTTCCAATGCGCCTGGGAAACCTCGTTACATTCAAAAATCAGTTTGAGATCCCCATCCGTCAGGGTGGGTATGCATCCGCATCAAATCTTCAAGTGCAGACTGCTGCGAAATGTGCCGAAACACTCAAAGATGCAATCAGCCCATATCTGCTCCAGCGGTTCAAGGCCGATGTCACATCTGATCTGCCGCTGAAAAGCGAACAGGTCATTTTCTGCAAATTGACCCAGCTCCAGCGAACCATCTACAAGAGGTTCCTTGGCTCAGATGACATGAAGTCCATTATACGAGGGAAAAGAAACTCTTTGTATGGCATTGACATTCTGCGCAAGATCAGCAACCATCCAGACTTGGCAGACCACGCATTGCGCTCTCACGAGGCAGACTATGGTGATGCGGAGCGGTCTGGCAAGATGAAGGTTTTGAAGGGTTTGCTTGAGGTCTGGAGAGATACTGGCCATAAGACCCTGCTTTTTACCCAGGGCCGTCTGATGCTAGACATCATTGAGAAATTCCTTGGGGCGCTAGGTGGATTCAATTACCGCCGAATGGACGGGACTACTCCAATTAAGGAGCGCCAGAATCTGGTTGACGAATTTAACAATGACCCCGACATTCACGTTTTCTTACTCACCACCCGTGTGGGCGGGATCGGAGTGAATCTGACAGGTGCTGACCGTGTCATTATCTACGATCCCGACTGGAACCCATCGACTGACTTACAGGCGCGAGAGCGTGCATGGCGCCTGGGCCAAAAGCGTGATGTCACCATCTTCCGCTTGATGACCAAGGGCACTATCGAAGAGAAGATCTATCATCGCCAGATCTTTAAGCAGTTCTTGACCAACAAAATTACCCGCGATCCTCATCAACGAGAAGGTTTCCAGTTGAGTGATCTCTATGATTTGTTCACTCTGACGGACGAAAATGACGACGAGTTGGAGACAACCAAACTCTTCAAGAACGCGGAAGTCACATACCAGGAAGAGGCTAAAGATGCCCATGGCAGCAAGAGTAAGCCTGCCCCTACTCCCAAAGAGGAAGACGACATCAACGATATCCATGGCATTGCCAAAGTCGAAGATTTCCAAAACACCGCCGAAGAGGAGAAGAACGCCAAATCTTCCGAAGACCGCATTATGCATGGCATCTTTGCTCGTTCCGGCGTCCACTCTGCAGTCCAGCATGACCAGATCGTAAACGGCAAACGAGTGGTTCGCGCAGACCCCAAGATGATCGAAGCTGAAGCTCGCCGTGTCGCCAACGAAGCCGCCGAAGAGCTCCGCAAAGCCGAAGAAACCGCCCGGGCACTCCCAATCGGACTCCCCACCTGGACAGGCCGTTTCGGGATGGGAGGCCGTGAAGATCCACGGGCTGGTGGTAGCTCGGCTCGCCCTGCTGGGGCAGGACCTTCATCCTCAGACCTTTTGGCTAGACTCAACCCTGCTGCTGCAGCAGCTGCCGGGCAGAGATCCAGTGGCTCTGATAGTCCATCGGCAGCACGTATGCCACGCGGCAAAGATTTCATACCCTTGATCCGTGATTATCTTGCCTCTCAGCGTGGGCCGACTCTGTCGCAGTCGATTGTTCATCATTTCAACCATTACTGTTCCAATCCGCAGCGTGTTGCCGAGTTCCAGGAATCGTTGAAGAAGGTTGCGATACTTGAGCATGGTCGTGATCGTCGGGGTCGGTGGACTCTGAAGCCTGAATTTGCTCGCAATGCAAATAATCGGGGACGGTGAGGGGGCTTGTAAAGAAGCCAGTGGACTAAAACATCCCAAGATAGAAATTGAACAGGCTATCTTTGGGGATGTTCATGTAGGATAGTGAGTTTCACGCGATGATGAATGAAAATGACAATGCCGATACCCTTTATGCAATTGCACAGTCAGGAACATGATCTAAGCAGTGCATCCATTGCAGTATCCACTGGACACATGCTTAAAACGCCCTGTGGGACGCTACCAAGATTTTCCAACACGCATAGAGGCAAGCTGCCGTTTAATCAAGCCACATGCGTTCATACACACTGTCAATGATGTACGCCAAGTACGAAAGAACATGCCAATATTTAGGTACAAAGTACTTCGTACCTCTTGCGTAACTTATCAAAGAAGGGGGATCTAATAATATTTCTGTTTATTGTTTTCAGTGGGCCATGTTCTATTTCTGGGGCAAATGAATGAGAAAAAATATATAGAAGCGAGGTTATAGCGAGCCGAATAGGCAAGAGATTTTCGTTTGTACAAAGTAGAAACGTGATATCACAGGATTCAGGGGAAAGGCTCCACGACATCTTGGCGTTTAACTTCGTTTACTTTCCAAAGATTGGTGGCAAAGAGAATATTTGCTATTCTTCTCGATCTTTTGATGAAATCATTTGTGAAACAAAATTCACCTTATATCATTGTGCAAAGCAATCCAAGGGGCAAAAACACCTTTATATCAATATTTGTCTCAGGTTCTTCCATCAATGGATAGACAAGGCAGTGGATGTGATCTGCACTTGATCACAATCATGACTGGCTCGGATGGTATAACTAGTCAGGTACCCACTTAGTGACTCCCAGGATGTCGATTATAATCAGGATCCAGTGGGTTAACCCTTTCGTTTACCCCATACACAGACTCTGAGACAGTAGCGTGGTTCCTACAAGATCCTGCCTGCTCAAGTTTGCCAGTGCTTAGCAAAGAAAAAGAAAAGAAGACCAAGAGGGACATAGGGTACAGAGTGAAAGGAAGTTGAACAATCGACAGCTCAATGGTTCACCGATGACGACTTCTATTTTGATACCAAGGATACCTACGGAGTACCCGGATCAGCATTGGACACTCGAAACAGTCTGATTGCCCTATACTCCACCCCCGTGGAGCATGTGTTCATGGTTCTCCCATGGATTCAAAATCATATAAATGCGTCACTTCCCCGTCAAATTTCTACCCCTCTCCTGAAAACAAAACATAAAAACAATAACCATCAGCTTGAAATCATCTCTGAACTCCTTCATCTACCCAAAATGCAGTTCTTTGCCACCATCGCTCTCCTAGCTACCGCTGTGGCCGCCACCCCATCCGAGAAGCTCTTCAACTTGAAGACCTCAGGTGCTAGCAACAGCTCCCACAACGACCTGTACCTCTCCGTTGGCCACGGTCTGATCAGCGACCCTCTCAACAGCGAAGCCGTCTTTGCCGGAGCCCCGGCCAGCCGTGCCGCCGCCTTCTCCTTTGTCAACGGCACCATCCTCTTGGATACCGAGACCAACTCCCCCTGGGCCCTGGACCTGATCAATGTCAAAGGTAAGATAGCCCTGGCCTACCTTTGGATGCTACTGTTTTCCGAACGTGGAATGCTAACGACATTGGTACCATATAGGCGTCCGCAAGGAGCGCGCCCAGATCAGCGTCAAGCCCACTCACGGCTCGAAGGGCTTCACTGTTGGCCGTCACGGCGTCGAGGGACCCAGTGAGACCTGGGACGGATGGCTGTGTAAGTTCTTATATAACCCCCTTTCAATACTGCGTGATCGTTCGAAGTGCAAATGACTGACTCTATTTTCCTTTTAGGGTGCCCTGCCGATATCGAGGCTGGCCAGTTCCTCCCCAACTTGCACTTCCTCAGCAAGGCTGTTCAAGAGCCTGCTCTCCCAGCTGGATGTGACAAGATCCAGCTCAACGCAGTTCCGGCTCCCAAGAGCTCTGCTTAGAGTGATTATGGATTTCAGCTCGTAGCGAACATCGGTTTGTGATTGTCTCTAATGTGTCTCTTCGAAATTTGGAACTTCTACTGGACTTTCGTTACAGCGTACTTCGGCGTATACCTCGGCCTTAATTGATAATTTATTGATTATTCTACTAGTTATTTCTCTTATTAGGATTCATCTGATATCAAACTCTTTTCATGAGATATAAACTCTCACTAGCGTCACATCTAGTCTATTCTGTCTCCCTACCAATAATGGTAGAGGGCAGTATGAATTATAGATCCCCACATTTCTCCATCTGCTCCATTCTATCTCTGATTTCCCAATAGTCTTCGGGGTGTCCATAAATTGTGTATCGCCACCCCCACGTTTGGGGAGCTTCTTGGGCGGAACCGAGATATGCCGGACCTTGGGTATCAACAGCTGGGTGGCGATTATAGATCATATACTTTGGGGTTGCTGTGTAACTATTTTTCATTTGAAGTACGGAATAGGTGGTTATCGCTTATATGAAACTGTAGTACATACTACACAGAGTTCTCGGGCTTAGTTGTGAGTTATATCATCTGGCAGAGTCATGACAATTAGGAGGTAATAAGGACTAGCTCTCATATTATCTAGGGATTATTTAGTCATATTCAAAGAGGTATTATATAAGCCAGGTTTGGGTCCTTTCTGAGATAGAGCTAACTTTGCCGTCACTTAAATCAGCAAATATTTATACTAATTCTACAATATAGAGTGATCAGAAGAGTCAAGTCATTAATTTGATGAAAATAGTCCACTATAAATAGCCGATGTCTCACATGCTTAGCCATGGCCTGATTGGGCTTAGCCCCGCAATAGTCAAACATCTCGCCTTCTCTTTCTCTGTTTTTTCCCTTCACAAAGGATCTCTTATTTGTGACTCAGGACACTCGTTTACTTGCCTTGAAGCTATTTACAATCGTTACCCAGAATCGAAAACCCATATTCCTGAGATCTAAATTAGCCTCCGGACTGGCCAAGATTTAACAACACGTCCTTTTGATCGTCCTTCCGTAGCAACCGAAATTGCTTGGTCCCGACGTTAAATCGATAAGCCTGTTTCGACACAGGCCTTTTTTTTTGACAAGTCACACCAGGTTGTGCAAGGGGCGTGATCTTTCAGCCCAGGGAGTAATACCTCGGTCGCTTGATTTTTGAACCTCCGGATAATCTCTCCAACTTTCGACATGCGGTGTTTCATTTTGAGCGTGCTCTGCACTATCCTGTTGCTGGGGACAATATCGTCAGCTTGGCCATGGCGGCCTTACGGAGTGCTTCTGGGTGACTCCCTGGACAAGCGAGCAGGTAATTCAGGACTCTTATCATACCATTGTGCTTGACCCTGACCTACGATTCAGACACCGCAGAGACAACAGCTGAAACTTCCGAAACTACCGCCGATTCCTCCAGTGCCTCCAAGACTTCTGCTGGAACTACCGGCACAACCACCGGCACAAACACCGACGCAACTACCGACACCAAGACCGGAACTGCAACCGACTCGGAGACTACCGACACGGCGACTGATTCCGAGACTACCGGCAAAACAACTGGCACGAAGACGGGGAAAAGCAAGACTACCGCCACCACCTCCATCTCCATTGACCCTGCTGCCGCTGCTGGCGGTGTGTCCATGATCACCCCCGCTTCCTCGTCCACGACCTACTACAAGATCGGCCAGGATGTGACATTCGTGTGGAACTACACCTCCCTGTCAGTCACGCCGTCTGCGGTCAACGTCGTAGCTTCGTGCAGTCTCAACTCGATGAAATATACGCTCAGCTCCAACATGACCGTGAAGCAAACCGGAAGTGTCGTGTGGGATACTGGAAAATACCAGAAATCGGCCACTATTCCGTTGCTCACCGCATCGTATACTCTGATCATCTATGATGCTAGCAAGGACATTGGTGACGCTGCGAGCGCTGGACACCTGAGCTCGCAGAACGGCGGTTACGTCTTCGGGATGTATACCCCCCAGTCTTACACCCCACTCAATCGTGAGTATTTGTACCAACAATCCTGGCTCAAACTGACTGCTAACTTCACCAGAATTCAAGTGCGCCACCTGCAGCGGGGCAATGTCCGAAACTAGTCGCCTAGCCATCAAATTTACCGTTGGCATGGCCGTGATTACCTTCGCTTCGTTCACCTGGTTTGCGGGTAGTGCTGGTGTCTTCGCCACTTGACAAGCACACTCGGTGCAGTCATATTGACTTAGCATGAACATATTTTTATTTTATTTTGGGGCGTTGCATTGTTGAAGCGAACTTGATTTACGATAATAGCAAGAAAACGGCGTTGCGTGAGAAGTTAATATAGGATGAGTTACTATTTTTGGACATTTTTTGCATCTCATCCTTTCTTTAATCTGTTGATTTTATTAATAATTAGCGGTGGATGGTCGATTGGAGATTTCATTTTGTATTTTCGGATTTGCATACACAATACAACCTCTGTTACATTACCTTCCACCCTCCCTTTCAAGACATTGTTCCTTGATATCCTCCATATCCCCAATTCAAATTTCCCACTAGAACATCACTGTCCGATCTATTTCAATTGCGCATCCCAGACCATGTTTCCCACCCGGCTTGTTGCTCTCACTGCGATTTCAACCCCATTTCGGGCATCGCCGAACTCTCATGTGGGCCTCTCTTATCGTCTGTTTTTCTTATTGGCTTCCGCACGCCGACGACGAGCCTCAAGGTAGGTGAGGTTGAGCTTCAGAGCTCCCATGATCCAATCAAGTTCGAGGTTTCGATTATCATCCGTTAGACGACCCTTATGATCTTTCGCGGAATTCAAAAGGCTGGCCAGCTGAAAGTCTGCAGCTTCCATCAACAGCTTGTTGTTGCTGCTGAGTATGGTGTCAATGTCGAGAGTATTGTCCAAAAGCTTTCGTGGTGCTTTCTGCGTGGCTTGGTGTTTGCCTTTGGTCCCATGTATGGCCTCAGTCTTGGAAATGGCTCCGCTGTAGGCGTTGGGACTGTGTGCCTGGTACGCCAGCTTTCGCTGATGGTTGTAGACTTCGTCCTGGGAGTTGATGTTGATACCCTGCTGGTACAAACCGCCTTGGTGGTGGAAATTATCTTGCTGGTTGTTCAATTGCTCAAGTGTCATCGGTTCCTGGACGCAAAAGCCTTGTTGAATACTGGCTTGCTGATGGAAATCACCCTGGTCGTTGTTGAATTGCTGCATAACCAGGGGTTCCTGGGGGTACAAGCCATGGTACATATTGGCTTGCTGGTTGACGTTACCGTGGTGGATGTTCAATTGCTGCATAGCTGCGGGTTCCGGCAGGTAAGCACCGTCGTGCATATTGGCTAGCTGGTGGAAGTTACCCTGGCGGTTGTTGGATCTCTCGAGTGCCATAAGCTCCTCCTGGTAGGAGCTGCCTTGGTGATACTCCTTGCTGGCTTGCTGGTGGACATTGTCTTGCTCAAAAGCCAAGACTTCCTGCGGGACAAAACCTTGGTTGGAAACACCAGGCTGCTGGATCATGCCTGGCTGACTGATAGTACCGTGGTTCCAGCCGTCGTTAGAGGTCTCGTCGTTGTCATGGTCCGCAAAGGTTGTTGGTGGCAGGAAATTGACTCCCTGGTCGTAGAAATCACCTTGCGGGTAGACGTAACTGGGCTGGTTGACATAGCTTTGCTGATTAACATAGAACTGATCGGAAGAGCTGCCTTGATGGCCGGTATAGCCTGGATTGAAAGACATGACGTGTTCGTTGTGGAATTGTGTTGATGTCAACGTTGTTGATGGTGGAAGTTCCGTTGCTTGCGAGGATCGCCAGGGTGATCGTGTACTTTCTGAGGTGCGTTGCTTTGATTGGGGGCTATGACTTCCTCGTTAGGATCTTAACTGTCCTTAAGCGTGGGGTTGCCTTTTGCGCGGCCTGAGGCTTGCGGCTTGAGCTTACAGCCATGCTTTCCTCGTTGGTATCTCCCGCTGTTGCCCCTTTGGGTCATGACTTCTCGTTGGTACCTGCTCGACCTTCTCAGTCATACCATCATCATTAGACAGAGTTGTACCCTCAGTGTTGGTTTCTTGAGTGATACGCGCGTGAACTCTGGCCTTCCCAGGAGCTTTCGCCTTGCTGCTTCATATCCATCACTCGTCATCTTCCCCTATGCATTGCATATCGCAGTGCTGTGGTCGTAGGTATCGGCTGCCTCATCTCCTTGAAGATTCTGTGTTGCAGGGAATCGGCTGGCTAGTAGTTGGCGTGGCCTTTGTGCTGAAATAGTCTTGGTAGGAATTTTCTTGATCGCGATCAATTTGGCTTAGAGAGCTCGGCCGATTAATTGATAGAATCACTAGTGGACGGCATTAAAAGGTTCTTTGATAAACACCTCGTTTGTTTCAATGGTCTTGAAGTGCAAACACTCAAATCAAAGCAAAAGTCAGGATCGAGACATGCTTGGAACAGAATGGTTATGGATGTCTCAGTTTTTCCCAAGGTTCATTGTCCCGCTTAGCCGCCGCGTTGCTTAGTCGTCTACGTTGTCTATAGCCCTGAGATCTATGCCCGAAGTGTGTCCGGAAAGTTCTACCTCCCTACGTGAGTATATTATACATCCAGGGCTGCGTAGCCTCAGAGATCAACACCCCGTACTCTCTTGTTGGTCCTCTAAAACATTTTTTTGCTTAATGGAAATGTATTATGCACGAAGCCGTCATATTGCCTTTTGATGTGACTTTTGAGGCGTTCAGTTCCACTTCCCATGGGATTGTTACGATTATTGCAAAAAGACAAACGAGTACGAAAAGAAGCTTGATGTCTTGCATCTTACAATTGGGAATAAAACTATGTCTTGCAAATAAAGAAAGCTCCGGGAATTTGTAAAGCACTTCACTGACTGAGACTGTAGACCATTGAATATAAAAGAAGCTGTTCAATCTCATTCCTCTTCTCCAATTTATGAATCCAATTCCAGCCTTTCCTAAGTCTTCCACATTCAACATCTACCCCCAAGCTGTCATTGAGAAAAGTATCCCGAGCCAAAAAAAAAAAAGACAATGCCCTCCCAACTAGGATGGATCTGGCCCAAAGATCCCCGCCCCGGCAACCCACAACATTGGCCACGCCGCTGGCGCCTGTTTGACATCCTGACAAATAAAGGGCCAGACATCTACGTGGGTCGAATCTCCCAGTCCAAAACCAAGACTAGAAAGCATTCCTCTCAACCTCGGCCCGGCCCCACAAGACAGGAATGGTCCCGATGGGAGAATAAGCCCAACGACCCTGACGCGGACTACAGCCCATTCCCTTGGGCAGGGCGGCCTGCGGGCGAGCGCTATGATTTCCGCACGAGGAAGTACCACGTCCCCGACCATGGGACGTGGAGTGATGTTGAATATTGCAATGGGATAAGGGCTCATAGGGGGGAATGGACTGGGAAGGAGGAGGTGCATTGTGTGCCGATGCGATTTTGGGATCGGAATGGGGTTGAGTATCCAGCGGAATTCTGGCATGATAGTCTTTATGGAAACCACAGAGATCATGATGATCGAAGGAATGGATGGGATGGGAGGAGGTAGTTGAAAGGATAGGAGATAAAGGAATGTGAGGCGATCGGAGGTAGTTTGCATGATATTGTGTGTTTTTTTAAAAATCCAGCTAGATCGCTTGGATGCTGACAATCATTTTGTTTCAAAACCAATATGGGATAGATGTAGCCCAATGGGCTGATGTTCTTCCAAGAGTCCCCTCTAAGTTTCAATAATGAGTTAGGCTGATATAGGGAGACCTGTCCAATCAGAGGCATCCGAAATGCAATGCGTCAAAGGTGTATATACGTGCTGGTCCATCAACCAACTGTTGATTCGCCGAAGGGCGGCGGAGAGTTGGCAGTTGGGCGCCGTTATCAGTGAGGCGGTTGCACTTCAGGCATGGTGTCTGCTTGATATCCGCATAGGAAGAGATCATATCCTGCACCGGTATTAGCAATAGTCCCATTTGGAGCCAGGAATAGAACATACCAGCAAGAAAGCAAGGTCCCATTTCCGCGGGCGTGACCCCAAACATCCCAGCATAGCATTCTCAAGTTTTGTTGGTGACCGGCCGGCGATATTGCTCGAAACCTCCCAGTCAGAGACCGGGGAGCCAGAAACAGACACCCCTCTGATCTGAAAGACAACACCAGCCCTAACAAGCGCTACCGCTAGAGAAGTCTCATCCTGGCCTTTGATGACTCGTACACCGGGCACATCCCGCTGAACGAATCGCTCCAAAACATTTTGCCACTCGCCCTCGGTAGACTGCGCTTTAGTGCGTTCAGCATCTTCGTCCTCTCGCTGTCGCTCATCTACTATAGACTTTTCTTTTCGTGCTAGCTCTTCTAGAAGAACGTCATAATCCCTTTCCCACTTCCCAGTCGGCTGAATCAGCTGACCGTTCGCTTCCTTGATGCGTGATTCAACATGAGCCCAGACGGATGTCATTTCCGGATCCCGCCACAAGGACTGAAATTGCTGGACATCAGCGACGCGTGCGCGTGCGGCCTCATCCAGACTAGCCCGGAGGATGCGTGGAGTTTCAGCGATTGGATTACCGAGTGTCACTTTATCTGGGTTTGCAATAGGTACCAGAGGCTCTAGTAGGCCCTGGGGCATGAATCCACGCAGTTCATGGATCTGGATATCTCATTAACTTGGTTTTGTGCAAGAGCTGCAACAGCTCATGTACTTACCTTGCGCTCGAGTTCTTGTAGTTTTGCTAGTGATGAAACAAGTTGGATCTCTGAGTCCAGCCCTGAGCTTTCGCCGTTGCCGGTCGCCGGCACTTGCATCGAGTTCTGGTTGGTAGTAGCCATCGCCGGGGCGGTCGAGGTGGCTTTTTGTGAGAGACTTGATCAAATGGTCAAATCTACCCCCAAAACGCGCAATTTTGGGGTTTAGTAAATGGATTATATAAAGATATATATGTGAATAGGTACTTGATTCTCGAAATTGAACAACCAAGGAAGGTGGAAGACAACGGGATATTGCAGTGATTGTTTTGTGGGCGATGAGATCACCCTGCGTTGTCTGTTATATAATGAAATATCAAGGTGAAAATGTCCGGAGCCGAGTAAGAGATGGGTTTTTGATGGCCGATCAAAGAAAATGATATTTTGTTGCTTCAAGGTGCTCCAATAATTCGAGGATGAGAGGATGAGAGAGACGAGATGAGCCGCGAACCAATCAGGTAAGCTCCAGCCACAATCACTTGTGCCACAGGTGGCTGGGGCAATAATTACATAATCTTATTTCTAGGTAACTAGGTATAACTAACTAGATAGTTATACTATAGATCTCATCTGGGAAGTGTTGTTTAATTTCATTTCCTTTGTGTGATTGATAAGGGTAATGCAGATTGAGAGATCTTTAATTTATAGTAATTGTCTTGAACTGTAACTTGATCATACTCCCTGTGCCTTTGGCCTTTGGTAAACGGTCTTACCCTGAGTGAGCCCAAGTTGAAACAAGCTTTTGTTGATGAACTTGTGGCTTTGAAGGTTTAGAAACACTGCTGTCACAGAATGATCTAGATGCAAGAAATTTAAAGAAGATCCACCATGTATTAACTAAGCTGCTTTGTTGGCAAGCGAAACTCTAGAGACTGGACGGAACAAGTCCTCAATCGTCTCGCATCTGCAAACTTCTTTGTATAATGAGCTCTCTAGCACAATTTCTCGACCTTTCTCGGTCTATAAAAGCCCTTGGAGTTCATGCTACAATACTTCTCTACAGAACTCACCTGCCCTCATCCGCCTTCATCAATAATCAGCCTTCACCATCATCAATCAGCAAAACAAGTTTCAGACTTTGAATTCATCATGGAGAGTACAGGCGAGGAATCTCAATTCTTAGGCGTACCTGGCGAGGTGGCTCAAATTCTCAGACGGTCGGACCGCATTGCGGCGCAAATCGCGGCGCAGAAGGCCAGAGAATCCGAAACGGAAGCTTCGAGCGCGTGCGAGCCCAGCAAGTCCGACTCTCACAAAGACCTGGTTCTAAAGCACGACTGTTTCGCGTGCGGCGAAACCATATGCGACAGCTGCAGGGTGGCATTTGGTGGCTGCGTCGAGGTATGATTGACTTGCAAGACCAACTTTCGAATTTCTGGATAATACTAATCAGATTTAGATGATCGACAAGTACAATGCTTCCGTTGATGCTGCAATGAAGTTAACCGGAAAGAAGTTCAGGGAGGAGATTCGCATGATTCTCCGAGAGAACAAGGAATGGATTCGTGGTTTGAAAAGCCAGCAAAACCGAGAGGGCTAGTATGCCCCAGGAGGACTATGCCGTGGAGACTTTTGAGGAGATACAAATGTGTTACTAGGCTAGGAAGATGGCGGCATTCAGGTTTATAGGGACACATAGCTTGAGTAGAAGCAATGAAAAGATTGCGAGTACTGATGTGAACATCCGGTACGGAGTACTGGCCTTGATATTATTATTTTCTTTGTAGACCACAATCCTTGGCGGAGAGCCGCCGGAGACTACAGGCAGCAGCCTCCGAGCAGAGCCTCAAAAAGTGGGGTATAAAAGGCCCAGCCCCCAAAAGAAAGAAAGAAAAAGAAATTTGCAATATTCCTATCTTTAGAGACCGCAACAATGGCAGATCAAGAGATACCGGAAGGCTTCCTCCGGGCGCCATCCACAAACGCAACCCTCCACAGACTCGATTTCGAGCACACATCCCCGCCGATCCCTTCATACAAAGGTCGCTTTGCCGCTGTAGTGGACAACTTCATGACTGAGTCCGAATGCAAAGAGCTTCTCCGCCTAGCAGAACAATCAACAAGAACTCAATTGCCAGATTCCACCCTCTCGCCCCCCGTATGGGAACATGCGATGATCAACGCCGGCGGCGGCAGACAAGTAATGTCCGTCGACTCGCGCAAGAGCGGGCGGGTCATATTAGACTCCCACGATCTCGCAGGCAGAATCCTGGAGAGACTCATGCCTTTTATACGTGAATGCGAACTCGACCGCGTCCAGAGTAAACCACTGGTTACGGGTCTTGGGCCAGCGAAGCGGGGCGAAGTGCTCTGCCTCAGTCGGCTGAATGAGCGTCTTCGGTTCTTACGTTATGAGGGTGGTGATTATTTCCGGCCTCATTGGGATGGGTGCTTTATTACACCCGATGGGCTGGAGAAGTCACTGTATACTATTCATTTGTATTTGAATGGAGATGGGGAACAGGATATGGAAGAGTTGAAGCCTCATATTGAGCAGGCGGAGAAGACCAATTGGTTGTTTGCAAGTGATGGGGAGATTGATCTTGCTGAGATTGGGTCAGAGGAGGTACAAGTTGATCAGAGTTGCACTACAGCCGCGGAGTCATTGGAGAACAGTGAGGCTCTTCTAGGTGGTGCCACCTCGTTTATGGCTGGGATAAGCTCGAAGGAATTCGTTCGGATCTTTCCAAAGACGGGGTCTGTTCTCATATTTCAGCAGAGGGATTTGGTCCATTGTGGAGATGATGTGTTTAGAGGTGTTAAGTATACCCTACGAACGGATGTCATGTATACTACTGAGTAGAGAAGAAATGATGGCCCATTCAAAATCATATTTGGCTCCCACTTTGGGGATTTACCGAGAAAGAGAGGTTTCGGTCCTAAACTTGATTTTCCCGTAGACTGTGGGTACATATGCTGTTCCTACATGCAGTCTGATCTATCGTCACTGGTAGGGCTCGGCTCAGCTCGCAGCATTTGCGTGATTTCATGCTGGCAAATCAATCTCTCACGTAGCGGAGCCTAACGTAGCGGAGCCTAACATGAGGTCATGTCTATATATATCCATCTATGAAGTGGGGCATTCACCTGAATCTATTGGAAACATATTTCCGGCAACTTCTCAATACTCACCTGCGATCCTATGGAAGTTTCCTCTAAGCGACTGCGTTTCATTCGCATCTAGACTTGAAAATTATCAGTGTTCGGCTTGATCATGAGACCGACGTCGATTACAACGCCATCTTTCATGATGAGCCCTGCCCACGGTAACAAGTTTCCTGTGTGCCTCCAAGGTGACGTTTACGCTCAACGGATCCATTCATCCCCCGATGTCACCCATTAAGAGCATCGCCCGGATCAACGCGAATGTCTTTCCTCGGACCGAGAGTACCGACCGATATAGGGTTCTGCAAGATCGCTAACCGGGTTTATTAGCCCCCAGCCCCCATAGCCTTGACGAATCATAGGTCATCATAGAGAGTAAATTTGCCACAGGCCAAGAAGAAACCACTCCATGTGCATGATGTTGTGGGGTTCCACATCGATATTTAATGAAACACTTTGGAGAAGTCTTTCGAACCGAAGAAAAAAAAAAAGCAAATTCTCACAGCCTCAAGGTGCACTTAATGTGCAATCAATAGTAACTAACACAGCATTAAATGTCTGTATCCGAGCAAGAGCAAAATATGGAAAAGCGGGGAAAATGTGGATCCTGCCCCGGATTCCTCTCCGTTTTCGAACTTGTAAGGTCTGCATTATCCTATTAGGAACTTGTTAAAAGAAAGAACACTGGTCTACATTTAGTTTTAGGTCTCAATGGGACGCCTTTTCTAAAAGAAATCGGATATGGAATGTGGTCCCGGGGCGGTATGTGGGCTATCCATAAATGCCCCAGCAACTACTCCGTAATGAATATCACTTGGCCTCGGCCCCAGTCATTCTTCCGTGTCATTCCCAAGGTTCCTGAGGTGTGGCGTGAAAATCGTGGCGTTATTGGGTGTCACAGGGTCCAAAACTATTCTCTCAAAGTCATGCAATAATATTACTTAGCATGAAGGAATACCTACAACATAGAAGTAATGGGGTCTTTGATCAGCAAGTGTGACCACATTTGCGGGGTGAGTTTTCAGGTATACTAGCGCTTGATTGGTTGGGTTTTGAAGATGTCTTATACATCTTGGGAGCCATGTGGAGAAATAAAGTAGAAATAATAGAGAATGGACAAATCATAGCTGGTAGAGGCTGTCTCACTTGTATAAGTGCATAAGTTTTGAGACATGTGGAGTATTTCTAGTATTACCTATTCCGGTTGTTACCTGACTTGATGTTACATCCTTGTTCTATTTCGAGCTTGATGAAATAACTCAATGTGAGTTCAATTGTTATGATATTTATGATATAATCGAAAATACTTAAATAGCTTCATTTCTCCTTGTCAACTTCATTCTCATCTACATCCTTCAAAACCAAATAACCCAATTCCTCAACCGCTCAACCATGCAGCTCACTCAGCTCCTCATCGCTACCGGCCTCTTCGCCTCCTCGGCTTTTGCTGCCCCGGCTGATACCAGCAGCAAGTCCATGATGGCTGCCGGTCCCCAGTGGACTCTCCAGAACACCAAGCGTGTCTGCAATGCCAAAGACACCTCCTGCACCTGGACTTTCGGCATCTACCCCGGCGCCGGCAATGCTACTCCCTGCACCTATGTCGTGAAGGGCACCCCTGCCTCCCACGCCAACGGTGGCCCCGTCACCTGCGGCGGATACACCGTCACCTCCGGCTGGAGCGACCAGTTCGGCGCGGAGAATGGCTTCACTACTCTCTCCGTTGTCAACAACGAGTCTCGCCAGATTATCTGGCCTGCCTATACCGATAAGCAGGTTGCTGCTGGTAAGGTCGTCAAGCCTGACCAGAGCTACGCTCCTGCCGCTCTCCCTTGAATGAAGATGAAAAAGATGCACCGGAGTATGAGCTGAACACTATACATATCAACCACTGTCCTTAATGATAATCCATGACATGCAATTGAAGATATTCTATCTGTTATCATATACATTTTATACTTAAGATCGTAGAAAAGAGTATCACTGCCCCGCACATAATATTGTTCCTGATGAAATTCAGACAGGACATGTTTGCTTTGCATACTTCAGCCGTGCTTTATAAGAGAAATGAGAGTTGGGACGTAACAATAATTTCGACTAAATTTACCGAGAACAATCTGGCAATGATAAAAAGTGGCGTCCGATCTGATTAATTGCTAGGTGGATCACCCATAAGCTCAGGACCTAGATAGTCGGATACACCTACGCACCTTTGACTTTCTCTCTTCCTGTCACTCTCCTTCCGCTACCTTACGAATAAATCTAGATTGCTTCCCTAGTAAATAATTCATAGTGACAACTCTTATAAAGGTCTACTACCCCAGCTTTGTGGGTTGATGTAAGGCATGCCCCGCAGATGAATATCAATGAGCTAGAGGGTTCAAACTCTACTAGAACTCGAGGATAGGGAGAACAAGATCTGCCATTCTGACTGCTGCTAGCTAGAAAAAAATAAAAGAGAAAGATGAGCAATTAGCAGCAAGACAAGGAATGGAGAGTGACAACTCCATCTCTGTTGATGAACAGAGCTAACCCAATTACCCCAAAGCCACCTGAAACAAATGCTGGTCGTCATTCCCAAGCTTAGCCCCAAACCATGTTCTCAATCTCGTTATCCTGGGATAGAGAGTCTGCATTGTCCATCTCTTCGTTTCCCTCTCTGTATCGCCATCTCTTCCCAATAACGTCCTTGAAGGTCTTAACGTCCAATTCCCCGCGCATGATGGTGTTGGAGAGAGCTCTGGTCGGCTGGGAGTCACCCATAGGCTTCAACTTCACGTCAAGGTCAGGTGCGACGAACAAGACAGCGCTCAACCGACGCACGCCCGGGGCACGGCGAACGCGATGTTTGGCAGCGGAAATTCGGCCACCACTCAGGATAACGGCACACCAGCCAGTCAGGACAACAGTGGCATCCCCTGGGACAGGAATCCACGTACCCGGGGTCTCTTCGAGCTCCAGGCCGGGTGTGCCATCTTGGAAGATTATCGAGAAGGTCCCATAATCCGTGTGGGCTCCGCATCCATTCGACGATTCGGGCGCAGCGGTGTTAGGATTGTAATCACATAGGTGATAGTTCATATTGTATGAGGTGTGTGCTGCAGACAGATCGGTACCGGCGAGGAGGCTCAGAGAAGACAGAATGGTGGGTACATACTGGGCACTGATGGCGTTGAAGAAGTCGAGGACCTCACCTAGGCCGTGGGGATCCAAGGACTGACGTAGTGCTTCTGGAATCCGGGAATTTCGCATGGGCGAGAGGTCGATGGTGAACTTCTGATCCGACTCGAGTTTGTGTAAGGCAGCAGTCTTGATGACGCCCCGGTGAGGGTAGGTTGCATTGAGCTTAGCAACCTCATCGGGGTGGGCGTCAAGATGATCAAAGAGGGCCTGGATAGCTGGAAACGGAGCTTTGGCTTCAAGATTGACTGATACGGTTGTGGACATCGAACCCAAAAAGGCTACTGCTGGAGCTTCAGCTGGGCTAGGAGGAGGCGAGGTGATTGGAGTCGCCTGGGGGGTGATAACGTCGGTAGCCATGGTGAAGGTGATTATCGGAGTGATGAAGAGATGAAGGAGGAAAGACTGAGAATTGAAGATTAAATAGAAGTGAAGTGTGTCTATCGTAGCTCCCCACTTCAAGTGACATCACGGCAAACAAAAAGGAAATTGTTGACGATCACTACAGTATACCGTGTCGTAATTCAGAGACCAAATCAATCACGTCTGCTGCTGTTCCTACACATGTGTGCCATTAGATATTGAGAAGTAAATTAAATTGTTATCAGTCATGGAATTGCTAAACGATTCTTGCCAGGAATCCTCAGACCACGCGAATGCAAGATTGCCGATGCAGTTTGATCTCGATTATGTAGCCTGCGTCATACAAACGGCATTATGTTGTGTCATTTCCATTCTAATCCGGGCTGCATCATTTGCAAGCATACCATTTAAGCACATGTAGTCATGCACTATACATACGAAGCATACGAGATGCAATTAATCACAGTCATGCAGGTCACACTTATGCTGTTTATACCACATCATCCATTTGCTATAAAATCACTCATTCATATAATGTGCAATCCATAGACAAGGCTTTTACTTCATCTTTCTACTTGCAAGAACTCTGCTTTTGATTAGCATAAACCATTCACTTTAAACAACGGCTTCCATTCTAAAATATCACTTATACTTACACAGCACAATGCGATACTTCCAGCTCCGTTGCAGGCCTTGGGACGGCTAACTTGTTTTAGCATAACTTCATATATAAATACGAAGTGAATGGGGTCAGACTCACTCTCCAGGACATCGATCTGGATACAGGACCGTATAATTTAAACATAATCATTAGCCAACTCTTGAACCGTTCGACTTGTATCGTAACCATTCTATTCGAAGGTTGACAATACACGTACAATGCAATCAGCCTATTAGAGATGTGAGTGTTGAAATCTTTAACGTTGGAATAAAACTTGGTTATACATACCTGTGTGGCCCGCGGGTTGAGCGGACCTTCGCCAAAAGGTATAGCATATACCATGGCAGCAAGGAGAGGTAGGATATAGGGGAAACGCATTTTCAGAGTGGAGGCTAAGCTTATGAATAGTATGTTGAGATAGTACAGATGGAACTATACTGCATGTAATGGGGTAGAATGGGATCTTGCAAAGGTATTGGTATTATCGAAATACCAGAAAACGAATTGTAAACCTGTTGGATCTCTTCATTCATGGAATCTGAAGCCGTATTTATGGGCTTCATTTCCACCCCTGTCGATAACCCCTCTGTTGAATTTGTAAAAAGAAATAAAAAGAATGACAACAACATCGACTTGAATCGTTTAAAATTGACCGAATGTAGCGCGAATTGAAATTTGACAACAATGCACATTGTATGTAGGAAAAGGTGTAAGCCATGTCGAACTGCATGAGCAGCGCTAATCTGGCTTCTATAGGAGATCAATATTCTTCGCGAGCCGGAATACCGAATTAGGGTTAGCATTGATCCAGGTTGCATGTAGTATTGCAGATTAACTAGAATTCTCAATATGGTAAGGTACAATGAAATCTGATTCAATTTATTAATGCTGGAATTCACAACCCGATGAAGCGCACTGCGGTAGTACCCAACCGTCCACTTCTGCATCATATTACCCGTATTGATAACGTATGAGTGTCCTTTCACTGGCACAATAACCCAAGTCTGCGTTGGAGGACACAGAAATCCAAGACCTCGGTCCCTTATTCTTGTAGTAGGACCGAGACGTTACTCAAGTCGGTATCCTCTTCCACTGTATGTCCTTAGTGTCAGTCTTGTGAACCCCCAAATTACACACCTCCAAATTGGTTCAAATGCATGTTATATGAGGAAGCGTAGCAGAGCAGCCGCAAGGGTGCAGAGGGGATTGATTGTCAGCTCCTAAATTACGCCAGTTGGGCAGTTCCACTTCGCGGGGACTCCTTGGTATCTAGTGGTAACACATCCTTATATACTTGCAGGGCATGCGGCTCGTATCTACGGACCTCAACGACTTTCCCATGGCCTTACTAATCTAGGTACCTATCTTCAGTCAAATAGCTGTATTTGATCCCCTTCTCTACAAATCCTCATTAGTATATCTCTTCCAGAGTCAAGGATTGCCCAGTTTGGCAAGTCTGAATGTTTTCTGACGGCGTTTTGTTTCCTAATGGCTTGTGCAAACACCGTGTACTAAAGCTTGCCCGCAATGATGCTAGTTGTGACATGGTAGATAGCGAAATGGTTTGACCTAAAGTTTGTGTTTGTCTCGTCTGGGATTCGCATGCATCCAGTTCAAGTCAGGGGACCAGGGTGTCGTTTTATTTGAGTCTACTTAGATGTAAGAGCTATAAATAAACAAAGTCTTCACTCTATAAACATCTTACTATGCATGGGGATAGAAATAGTACATTTGTCCTCAGCGAAATCTGTATCAGATTCTCGGTCTTACTTGACTTGTAAAGGTAAAAAGTACAGCTGAGTATTTAATCCAATTGCTAGTAGTGACAGCAGTTTAAGTAACCTCTCGGTATTAGCTTCAATAAGACTTCCATATGTGCAAAAATTTCCCAAACTCAACCTGAATACCTGAAGCGTTTATTCTCAATATCCGTCTGATCTCCGAGTCCAGTCAATATAGTCAACCCCTCCGCGCTACTGACATACTCGGGGTTTTCCCGAGCGCGTGATTCTCGTCGATTATTCTCTAATCGCATGCAGACCCATGTAGTCGTGGAGAGAATAATATATATCGAAAGACATCTATTCGTAATGTTAGCTTTATTGATCAGTAGCTTCGAAGGAGTAGAACCCACGCTAGCACAAACGCCAACCCAGTATGATATTGAGGGCTTTCCTCTCCCAGAAATGTTTGAGGTGTGACAATATTAGCGACGCAGTAGAGGAAAAAGGCGGCCGATGTGACTGTCTGTTTCCGCGTGAATCCTACAAAGTTGGCTCCAATGATTGACATGATCACTGTATAGTTGACACCGGAAGCTGATATTATGATGCAGCCTGCCAGTCGGCGGTTTTGATATTGGTCCTCGGGGGGAGTCACATATAGAATGATAATACCGATGACGCCAACGATACTGGCTAAAACTGCAAGTGGCTGCTTTTTGTTGCGGAAAAAGACGAAGAATGTCGGGGGACCGGAAACAAGCAGTTGCACGACGGCCTTGGGTAATGTTTTAGTTTTCAAGTTGTAGACGATGAAGGAGGGGATTTCTCTACCTGAATGGCGTAATTTGGAGCTGTATACAACTGTGCTTTCAGTGCAGTGTAGCCAAAGCCCTAATTAATCAGTTAACAGAGAAATGAATCAAACATTCGTTTGGATATTACCTTGATCACAATGCCGAGAAAGTTCGTTGTCACACTCCCGGCAGTCTGGGAAAACAACATCTGTAAAATTAACAACCACGCATGTGGGTCTCTCAATGTTTCCTGCACCTGCTCCCACTTGAAATGGGCTATTAAAGGTGAATCAGTACCTAATACCAAACAGGCTACCGGGTGGCTTACTGTTTTTAAGCCCAAGTTGGGCCTGGGCAACTCGCTTGACAGCTATAGCCCTTTCTCGCTCACTGAGCCATTTTGCAGATTGGGGCGCGTCAGGCATGAGAGCAAACTAGATGAATTAGGCTTCAATGGTTTGTTCCAAAAGCTGTAACATGCACATACCATAAGCACCCCTGTCAAACTGCTCAGTAGCCCAATAGTAAGGAAAATGAGTCGCCAAGATGTCTGTGGAGGTTAGTTATAGCAAAGCATAGAGACATGGATGAACTTACTATGGGCCCTGTTGTAACATGCCCGAGTCCTGCAGTTCAAAGTTAGATATATTGCAAGGAAGGATCTAGTGACATGCAGACCATAGTAGATAACTAAGAAGGGGACCGGAAGAGCACCGTTTGTCATCGTCCACAGGCCAAACCGGAGAGGTTGCTCCTCTTGGGTATACCTTTTATCTTATTAGCGCGAATGGGATACTGTGAGATAACCCACTAACCACATAGTTGTGCTGAAGAACAAGGCATTAGTTCATAGCTCATAGCAATCCAGATAAGTGACAACATACACAAGCAACAGTCCAGGAACAAGGCATGATTCGAACAGCCTAGAATTGATTAGCCACAGAATTCATTGCGATAGAATGAATAAGCTATACCCGAGAAGAAATCTCAAAACCATCAATGAAGCAAAGTTCGTGGCACCAATACACCCAAGCAAAGCACCTCCCCAAATAAATAGGGCCACCCCCATAAACTTTCCAGCATGGAAATATTGCAAGCCTCGACCAGAGAAGAAAGACCCTGTAAGGTATCCAAAATAAAATATCTGTCATCACCCTCATTAGGGGCCTTGTGTTTGAGAGGGGTCAAGTTGGGGAGCCTTACAGAAACACACCAAGAGTACTCCTGGCCAACGAGGTGGAGGTCATCGCGAAGACCATATGTGGCGGCGGCACCGAGACCAGACTATAAGATTCGATAAGAATACATGATGTAGTAGGAACGGCTGGTAAATACCTTATCCACAAATTGTAAACCGCAGGCCCAGGCAGCGAGAGGTACGATGCGCCAGTCAATCTTTCGCAAGAGCTTTCGATGTTCTGATCTGTTAGGCCGATAGAGATCATAAAGGAGCGAATACTCACCCTCTGCCGTGTATTCAATCTCCTCCGGGTCCATTAATACCTGGGCAACAGTATCAAGGTTATCATCACTTCCATTTTCCTCGCCAGTGGGGGTTAGAGAGATATTCTCTTTCGATTCGTCCATATGCTCCCTTGACTGTGCTGCCGAAGTAGGCTGCGGGAAAGACATTGTGAGTGAGAATTGAAAAGCAAATAAACTTGTATTATCCTCATGCTATTGAATATATAGGGGACTATAGGCCATTTTGAAGATACACAGGTTTAATCCTAAGGCTGACCTCAATACTCACCTGAATTGGAGCCCGGTGATTTACTGCTCAACCCGGAGTCTAAATTTATTAGGCGGAGATCGAGAGGCGTTTAGGTCTTGGCATCACAGATCGGCTACTTTAGTATGGCTATGCTATTAATCCTCTTAGCGTAGTAAGATTTGCTGTGAGAAAGATCTGGGGAGAACTGACCCCGGATTCCCACTTTAAACTCATGGAAATCGGGGAACTAGTAGCTCAAGGCTTCTAACAAAAGCCGGTCATTTTTAAATGCTGCAAATTTAGGCCCAAAGTTTTAGGAACGTCAGGGAAGAACTAATGATCTAATACTTTGAAAATTTAGGAAATAGAGACCAAAGGTATACTGCAATAATCGAAGGAAACCACTAGCGTCTTAAAGCCAGATGACATTATTGCTAACATTAGTCTCAACGCCACTTTATATAGACTACATACTTAATACCTTCCGTATTGCAGATCTATTGTCGCGGTTAAGTGGATCCAGAATATAGTCTTCGTTTCTCGGCCAACCGCAATGAGTCATTCAACCACATTATCTGTATTGCCCAATTCTGTTCATCTACACTGAATAGTGCAGAATATTGGTGAAACGTTCCACCCAGCAGCCACTCGGCAGAAAGGCACTTTCAGTTGTAGATTGATCAAAGCATATCATTGACCTTCTCTAAGTTCTCTAGCAACGGAATGTACTTATAACCACCAGCAAAGATGTTGGGGTGTATTTTCGCTTGCTTATCTGTTGAGTGGTGCAAGCCTGCCGTCATTTTAGAGAAGGTCCACACGTCCTACTGGAGCATCCGATACGCACAGTGCTACATTTATGCTGGGGGCATTTAAATCTTCCCCAAGTCACAAGATGTATAAACAAAAACTCATACAATATGAGTGCAAAAGATTGCATAAAATATATTTGAAGAAATCCCTACTTGGGCGTCGGCTTCTTCACGTACAAATGAGCACATTTCAAATTACAATAGTCTGGAATAAAGATAACTTGACCTCTTCCACGGCTGCCATTGATTTGATAAAATTTAAATAATGAGATACAGTCATATTTACTCCCATAATAGGCGAAGTATTTTCCTTGCTTTAGATTTCTCCTTGGCAGTCTCTTGATTTTCCTCTTCAAATTCAAGCGCCTCGATTTCCTCTATCCCTGATGTCAAATCGATATCCTCTGCTTTGAAAAACCAGGCATCCTTCCAGTGAACGAGACGATGAATAAGATAAATCGCCAGGAACACGAACAGCCCGATATACGCGACTAGGAAGTCCGTTACCGACCAGTGTCCCGGGAAGAATACAGAGAATCCATTGCACAGCAGTAAAATTGGGAATATGATGGTCGCAGCCCATCCAAGGTATGGCTGAGTCCGGGAAGAGTAGTGTAGATCTGCTGGTGTGATCGAGGCGAGTCGGCACGCTTTGCGGAATCGATGAAACATGATACAGCAACAAATCCACGAGATGAAACCTGCTGTGTTTGTGACACTAACAAACCAATTGAATACTGCGGCTGGGCTGCTAGCACAGTTCATATAGGAGAGAAATGCGAAAAGAGAACTTGCCATCACCGCATAATAGGGAAGGCCGTAGCGGTTGCAACGAGTGAAAATCTTTGGTGCCCCACCGGCTACAGCCAATGAATAAAGTGATCGACTGGACATGAAAAGGTAAGAGTTTCCAGATGACAAGGCCGATGTGATGATCACAGCATTGATGACGCTATCAAGCCCATGGATACCGGCGGTTCGGATGGCAATCACAAATGGTGAGGCTGCGACACCCGAGCCTGACGTGAGGCCTGAAGCATCGCTTGGGCAAATGACACCCATGGCCAAGATCGATCCAATATAGAAGATCAGAAGCCGCCAAAAGCACATCTTTGCGGCTCGAGGAATGTTTTTTCGCGGACTTTTCATCTCGCCAGATGCGATCACGATCAATTCCGGCGTGAAATTGAAAGAGAAGACCGAATAGCACAACACATAAAGGAAAGCACAAAAGCGCCCTGTGTCCCCTTCGACGAGGTAGGGCTTCATTGCCCCAGGGTCCTTCCAATAGTGAAATCCAAGTCTTTGTTTGTTCGGTCCACCACCCCAGAAGAGAATAAAGGACAGAATGAGTAGACCGACGATCATCAGCACTTTCAAGGATGCGAACCAGAATTCGGTCTCGCCGTAAACTTTCACGGGGGCAAAGTTGAGGGCCAAGATAAGCACCAGCATGATTGTAATGAGGGCGGCGATGGGAATCGAGTTGGGCCAATAGTCGATGACAATGGCCGCGGCCGTGATCTCGTAGGCAACGATGATTCCAAACGAGTACCAGTATAGCCATCCCATGGCAAAGCCTAGGCTCGGTGAGACAAATCGAGATGCATAATAGGCTGGCGAGGCACCGGAGACCGGTAGGAAAGTATTCATCTCACAGGTTGCAGTGAGCACTCCGTAGACGAGGACACAGATCGTGATGTAGGCAATCAAAAGAAGCGCTGGGCCTGCGAGAGCTAGGGCTTTCCCTGTGCCGACGAAGAGACTCGTACCAATGGCACCACCGATGGCCATCATCTGAGCATGTCTTGACTTGATGCCTCGCTGCGTTTTGGTTTGGGTCCTACCTAGGACCTGGCCCTCAATGGACAAGGACTCTTGATCCATTGCCAACATCTCGGGGTCAAATTTCGATTGCTTCTCGGTTTCGGGTGTATGGACTCCCATCTTGCCAATTTCAAATTTTCTGGGAAAGGCAGGGAAATAAAAGGAACAGTATAAATACAGTGCATCTGTACTGTAGCCCTGATATCATGTCCTGAGTCAGTGGGGATTATAACCAATATGTAGATCCTTTTCGGGGTGTTATCACTTATCTGAAAGACGGGCAAGTCTAGCCGGTCGTATCGGAAGCGCTTCTTGGGAAGTAAGTGGATCCTGATGAGCCTTGGAAGATTTCCCCCGCATGTTAGGGCTTTTTGCCATATAACTACCTCCCCCCAGCTTATACTATTTTCTGTACTATCTAGGTAGATTGTGGTTTATTTTCAATTTGAATTTATCTCAAACTTATGATTACATTAAATATATATAGATATATATACACACTAAACGTAAAAGAGGTTTTGCTTCGTTTCCCGAAGAACTACAGGCCAACTCCCACATTCACCCTCCTTACGCCTCCTCCACACCTCTTGTGTGATACTCTTCACAACTTGAAAGACTTGAAGATTTGCCTTTTGGGCAGAAGTGTCAAACCAGTCAGAAAACCAATTTTGTAAAGTCGAGTCAAGTGCCTCGCAGGAGGCAATAAATGCCACCCATACAAATGTGGTAGATAGGCGTACGGCTGGCACGTCGAGCTTTTCGCATTGTGCGAGCGAGTACTGAATGTGCTTGACATTTTCTTGAAGGATAGAGGCATCTACATCGTAAATTCTTCGGTAGAAGAATATCAGCAAAGCTTTGTGGAAGGCGGTTATCATCTGAATGATAAGAAGGTCGTGTGGTGATTGCCCAAGCATGTTTTCTTCTGTGGGACGCCCATCTTGTGGGGGATGAACTGGAGGTCGCCATGCGCAGATATACTTTTCCAAACTGCTTGCTCTCTCAAAAAACTGCTTCATGTCAAGAGAATGATCATGTTGATTCGAGTTCGAGATGTCCTTTTCATTGGCCAGGCGAGTAACGTGTGCGAGGGAGAAAAGTAAAGACTCTGGAATCCCATATATTTCAGGATACATAGAGGAATCCCATCGCCCGGGAACTTCGAAATGCATGTCGTTTTCGACCATTGGCCCTTCTTTTCGTTCATTCATTCGTTGCTCGAATCGATCTGCCCATTGTTGCCGGCGGAAGAATGCACCAGATGGATTGTTGACTGGAGAAACAGGCTTGCGGCAGACAGAGGTGCTTTCGTAAAAAACACGCGGGCAAAGGTAACAGTGGTGTAGAAGGCGGACTTTGCGCGATTTCTTTTGTTTTGGAACACCTCGCAATGAGATCCATTGTTCGCAATCCAGAAAGCAACTTTCAATTCGTATTTCATTGCCTTGATAAGCCTAGCCAAAATCCAATATGTGAGACGTTTTATCCTTGTGGCAATATCCCTTCGGTGCTTAACCAGCAAGATCTACTTGAGCGTCTTGAGGGGAAGGGGGCGGACTCACCCAAGCCGTGGCCATACAAAGAAAGGCAATGAGCATATCCTTGTATTTAACCTTCTTTGGCGTAGATGTAGCGTCTCGGATGGCCATTTTTATGTAGTTTTGAGCCTGAAGAGCATATGCCTCGCCTCCACTTTCTTGTGATGATGATGCTTGCAGAGAAAAGGCGCTGGTGGCAAGGATGCTATAAAAGATGCACATTTTTGTGCTTGGCGCAAATTCGCCCATGCTTAGCTGTGCAAATGTTTCCATGGCAATGGGAACGTGCATAATCTGCCAAGGTGTTTTGTTAGAGTAGACCGGGGAAAAGGATCGTATCACATTCGCCTTATAGTGGAGAAGAAGAGTACCCGCATTCCTAGGGGCAAGATTGGAAATCAGTGGCGACGACGGGGAGACCACAGCAGGAGCATTGGGCATTGAATGGGGTGTACAGAAGGTATTAGTTTCGTCATAATTCGTCGGGGATGAATTGGCGTTGAACAGAGCACCATGGTGAAGGTCCATTGGGAGATCAAAATCCCAGAAGAGGCATTCCATCAAGGGATCCTCGCTAAACAGGTCATTTATATTTGGAATCGATTCAATCATTGGCGGGGATAGGGCCGCAGAGGCGGTTGGAGATTGAAGCCCGGCAGGGATGGAAGTTGTCTCTGCCTGAATCTCCATGTTCGATATACGAAATGCCCCAAAGGGCCCATATTCGGTCATGAAGCCCCGGGCCCCATCTTGGAGCTCATCTGTTTCTTTGTCCACCTGGGACAGACATTGGTCCACATCTCCTGATCCGACGCTGGCCGTGAGCATTTCGCTCATGGCCTCACGCATTTTCATGGTAAAAAGAGGACGACGACATCCCGACCTGGCACTGTGTGATGAATCAAATACCAAATTGATCTGGTACCCTTCACATGGGATATCCAATGTCTCGCATGTTGAACAGGAAGGATGCCGTTCATCGCACTTGGTGTGCCGACGGCGGCAAGTAGTGCATCCAGACATAGAACGACTGCGAGCAGGGGTATTTTCCCCGCGCAATGCGGCTAATACCATGGTGGCGGTTGGGAAATGAAATCCGGGGGAGATGCAAGGAGGGAACCTTGGAAGGTGATCGAGTAGGGCAGGAGAACCCGGGGACTGTGGGGCCCCAGAAAATGGATATTACGTAAAGCCGGTAGGGCGAGATAGGTCCAGTCACGTGTACAGCTTGGACGAATTGGGACAAATTAGGGCAATCTGATAAAATGGGAAAGTGTTCGCGAGGGTAAAGCGGGATGACCTTCCAGCACCTTATCATTATGTATTCTATACTTGTTATTCAAACCAAAGGCCAAGTCTAACGGATAAGAATGTTTACTCCACATGAAGGAAAATATTAGTAGCTGTTTATCGCGGAGACATGAGGTTAAGGAGATTACAGGCGAAACCTGCGCATCTCTCTAATACCTACCTATAACTATAGATCTTCCGTGAGTGCTCTCCAAGGGTTCAAGTATATAATGACTTTATATCAGACCAAAATGAAAACAAAACACAAACATTGAAGTCTGTACATTTCCTTCAGTCAACTTCACCTACCATGGCGCCCGCTGAACCCACTTACGACGTCCTGATCATCGGCGCAGGTCTTTCGGGCATCTGCAGCCTTTACAACATCCGCAAACGCTTCCCCTCGTGGACTGTCAAAGTCATCGAAGCTGGCGATGACGTCGGCGGAACTTGGTATTGGAACCGGTATCCCGGTGCAAGATTCGATTCCGAATCCGTTTCCTATCAATTCTCGTGGGACAAAGAGATGCTTGACGAGTGGCATTGGAAAGAAACCTTCGCGCCGCAACCCGAGACATTGAAATATATCGAGCGAGTTTGCGACAAACACAATCTCCGTGACGCCATGCAATTCAACACACGAATCAAGTCTGCCACTTGGAACAACAGCGAACGCACTTGGAGATTTGTGGATGAAAGCGGGGTTGGATATCAGACTAGATTCTTCATTAGCTGTTTGGGTGTCTTGTCCTCGCCTACACTGCCCGCCATTCCCAACATCGAGAATTTCAAGGGCCAGCTATTCCACACATCGCGCTGGCCAAATGCGAAAGACTTCGATATGAGCCGAGACTTTGCGGACAAGCGAGTCGGTGTTATCGGAACCGGCGCTACAGGGATTCAAACTATCACTGAGCTTTCCAAGGAGCCAAGTCTCAAGTCACTTCATGTCTTCCAGCGCACTGCTAATTGGTCCGCTCCTCTCCGCAACACAAAGATCACTCCTTCGCAGATGGATGAAATCAGAAAGAATTACGACGCAATTTTTAAACAATGTGCTGAGACTCCTTCGTGCTTCTTACACAAAGCCGATCCCCGCAAATCATCGGAAACCTCCCCGGAGGACCGCCTTGCCCTATGGGAAAAGCTGTACTCCGAGCCTGGATTTGGCAAGTGGCTCGGCACGTTCTGCGATACATACACCGATCGTGAAGCCAATAAGCTATACTCCGACTTCATGGCTGAAAAGATTCGGGCCCGATTGGTTGACCCAAAAATGGCCGAACTTCTTATTCCAAAAGACCATGGCTTCGGACTTCGACGTGTACCCCTTGAGAGTGGTTACTTTGAGGTTTACAACAACCCTAACGTTAACTTGGTGAACCTACGCGAAACGCCCTTTGAGAGAGCCACAGAAAAGGGTCTTATCACCTCTGAGGGCAAGGAACACGAATTGGATGTTTTGATCTGTGCCACCGGTTTTAACGCCATCACTGGTGCATTCAGTGACATTGACTGGACCGGCAAGGACAATAGACCACTCATTCCTACTCCCCGCCTCCCAGAACAAGAGAGAAAACGCGCCGTCTGGGTTGACCAGAAACCTCGGACATATCTCGGTATTATGGCCCAGTCGATGCCTAACATGTTCATGGTTCTTGGGCCACACCAGCCTTTTGGAAATATCCCGAGAAGCATCGAGCATGCAGTTGAGGTTGTCATGGAGATGTTGAAGTTCTGCCATGATAATGATTATTCCTACATCGAACCCACCCAAAAAGCAGTTGATGAATGGACTGATCACGTTGTCAGCTGCAGTGAGGGTTCTCTTATCAATGAAGTGGATAGTTGGCTCACCGGCGTCAACACGAACGTGGATGGGAAGAAGGAGAGAATTGTGGCGAGATACACAGGTAGTGCGGTGGAGTGGCGCAAGAAGTGCAAGGAATCCGGGCTTGAAGGTTGGAAGGGCATGAGTCTGGCCTGAGCAGGAGAAAAGAAAACTCAATGTATACTACATACAAATTTTCCTAATACAATGGTTCTATATGAATATACAGTTGTTGACTATTTCAGGGAACCTTTGGTGTTGAGATGCACAGTGCCGTATTCTGCAGGGACTCGAATTATGCACGATATATTACAGCGCTACCAGTCCCCATTGCAAACTGGTCTGAATATGCAGGCTCTGGTCGAACACTTACGCAGCCTCTTTTTGACCGCCATGATCCAATTTACCTTTGGTTTCTCTATGTCTCTTGCCCATGTTGTCATATATAGCTCCCTATAACTCTATAGTTACAATATGTATTATGGATCTTCCATGTCATCGTTTTCTGGCATAAATTGTTCCTCGCTATCATCCTTAATTTGGCATTGAAGCGTAATCTTCTCTTGATACTTCGACTACTAACGGGGCTCCAGACTAGAAGCTCGTTTACGTAATGGACCATAAGCTCGACGAACAATGCTCATAGTCATTATAGAGTGATACTCATGGAATATCCGATGGCATTAAGTGGAAAATATAATCTATCCTGTATTTGCCCAAGATATCTAGGTCATGTGAATACTACAATATACGCTGATGCAGCGAAACCTGATCCCCACTTCAAGGGGTCATTGCAGGGTTTATTTGAAGCATGGCAAGGTATATTCTTCCTTTGGGCCTACATGCAAACATTCGGTACAGGTACCACTTCGGCGATTGGAAGATATTGCCCGTGTAAATACGTCCGGTCGGTCGGCACCATTTAAGAGATGTCATGATAAGTAAAAGAGCTACCCGATGATAACCCCTTGAGAATAATCTTGATATGACACATTTATCTCTGGTGTGCTTGATTTTGGTTGTAAGCACAGACCGGGCAGGTTTCCCCGGAGCATGGGGACGCGATAAAGTTTATGCAACTATAACCGGAGGGAAAGCCCTACCGCAGGAACGAGAGCATACTCTGCGCATGGTGATAGTCTGCAGTTATAAACAGACTGAAGCACATATTTTCAATTGAGCTATCATTTATTTCTCATTTCCTCATTCCACCGCAACACATTCTATCAAGTTCCCATACTCGAATAATCTCGCAATGGATGTTTCCGGGTTTGCATTGATCACCGGAGCTGCATCGGGCATTGGCCGAGCCTGCTCACTAGCATTCGCTGCCGAGGGCGCTGCCGGCGTGGCCCTATTCGACCTTAACCAGGCGTCTTTGTCGGCTGTCAAGGCCGAAATCGAGCAGCAACTCTCCAAGCAAAATATATCAAACAAATGTCAAATTGAAACCTACGTGGTCAACGTGGCAGATGAGGACCAGGTCAACAGATCCATCTCGGCCGCTGCAAAAGCCTTTGGCCGTATCGACTATGTGGTCAACGCTGCAGGCATTGCGATGAAACACAAGGGTGGTGCAGCCTTTTGTGAAACCGCGGACTGGCAAAGAATCATGGATGTCAACCTTACGGGATCATTCTATGTTCTCAGAGCTGCGTGTAAGATTATGCTGGAGCAAGAACCTATTCTTTCCACCATTGATCAACGGCCACTCCAGCGGGGCTCCATTGTCAACTTTGGTTCTATCCAGGCAGTTGTTGGACTACCTATGTCGACAGCATACACTGTCACTAAGCACGGAATCATGGGGCTGACTCGAACCGCGTCGGAGGATTACGCAAAGGATGGTGTGCGGATCAATGCTATCTGTCCCGGATACACTGAAACACCTTTGACGACTAAGCCGGAGATCCTCGAAGTTATGAATGAGAAGGTTCAAAACATGGTGCCGATGCAGCGAATGGGTTCAGCAAGAGAAATTGCGGATGGTGTGCTATATCTGGCTGGTGGCCGTGCTTCTTTCGTGACTGGAACTGCGCTTTTTGTGGATGGTGGATATACCCAGCGATAGATGACGTGTGATGTGCTCGCTTGGGAGCTCAGTGAGCAAGTCGGAGCGCTCAGATTAGCCTTAGTCCCCGGGGAGTCACCTGCCCAGATGGGCAGCCCAGCTTATGTAAATAAAATTTAGATTTCAACGTTCCAAGGTTAACAATATTATTTTCAAGGTTACAAAAGGAACTTCCGAAACTCAATGGCCACTTTCTCCACATGGATAGTCTACCTATATGGAATTCATATAGGAGACTTTATTCTCACATATGAACATCACATTTGTTTCTCTCTCTGTTCGACGACAGCTGTAACCAAAAACGCAATGTAATTCCATTATAGAACAGCTAGTATACACATGTGCACTCGCCAGCGTGATCCCAAAGCAAAGAACAAGGTCATTAATTTGCTTTCCATAGGCTCTTCACATCCTTCTTGACTGGCTTGAGAAGACCTTTAATCTCCATCTTGAGAGCCTTCTTGTCTTCTTTGGACCATGTCCCACTCCGCTTCGCGGCTCTGAGATCCCGGACGTGGCTTGTGAGTAGAGTCGATATATTCTCCACCGTGCACTTGGTACACTTCTTCTCATCGGCGATATCATTCAGTGCGGTTGCCAATGTGCGGATAATGTCTTTTGCCTGTGGCTTCTGCAATTCGCGATCGAGAAGCGGGACTTGGCTGGGCCCATGGGTTAAGCAATCCACCTTGAGGCTTGTACTAATGGAAATTTAATTAGTAACTGCCTTGTCCCAACAATGAATAGAGCTTTTACTATTTTTGCTCTTGTCTCTCGGTCTTGTCTACCTCGACAGAGTCGACAGAGTCGACAGAGGTGTAGAATGGGGCCTTGGAATCGTCGATCTTGAATTCGGTCATTATGTTTGTATGTTGAAATTGAGGATGATAGTTTTGGTGAATGATAGCTTCCGAAGAAAGGGCTTCTGGGCTTGTTGGCTCTCAAAATTGTAGCTGACTGGTATTTATATCTACTCATCGCATGGTATGTATGTACTGTGAGATTATCGAAACGAGTAAGTGCGATAACTCCGATGGTTACCGGATTGGGTCAGAGCGAAATGTCCGATCGGGCTCGGGGTTTCTTTTGCTGCTAATGTGTTGTTGACTTTGGTTGAGGTCATGACGATGCTTTGGACTGCATAACCCTTTTTTACAACCCTCCTGAACAGTTTGTGTCATGCCGAAACCCCATGTATAGATTTACAATATAGTGGGTTGAGCTGTATATCCAAAAATTAATATCGTAATTGAGATCTACAAGGAACGCTGGACAAGATATTGACTAAATCAACGCAAGAGAGGTCAGTACCAATCCAAGCACATATCCCTTCCACTGCTGCTCCCGCTATGGCTGCGAGATCCCTTAAGTCGCAGATCACCCGCAAATTGAAGCAAACATCTATAACCGATCCGTATCCTACTATATTGCAAGAGCTTATCTAGTTCAAATGTTCAAATGAATAAGCGGGTTACCTGCGGTGCTGTCGTTGACGTTTAAGCTGTCTGCTATTGGCTAGCATGCAAAATGCATTGCCTCTCGGAAATAGCCTCGGAGAAAATAACGGGCTCGTCGGTATATTTACTAATTGGGATTTTAAATCCGTATGGATCTTAACCCCGAGTTCCACCACTGGCTGGAGACGTCTCATAATGTTTTGAGGTATCTATAGAGCCTTTTCGTAGATATGTGGATCTCTCTTCTCTCTCACCACTTTCTCTTCCCTTTTCACCCTGTCTCTTGGGAATTCAGCTCTGCTTCGCTGTGAACCTTGCTATATTCCTAAAATAGTACCTTCATTTTTGCGATACCCTTTTTTATGTCTTTGAACTTATCAACTCTCCCTGCTTTATCAAAGAAGGCTTGACTGCACCACTATGTTTCGTTCATTACTAGCGATCACTGGCAGACGCCCAAAATACATATTTCCTGAAGTTGATGCAAAAGTTGACGGAGACGACTGCCGCGCCGACTGCAATGACTGCAGCTTGAAATATCCTAAAAGCGTGAAGATTGACGCTACTCTTCCAATGTACGGATTCATCAAAGAGTTTCACGCACACGTACTTGTTGCAACGGGGAAAACAGACTGGATCCAGAAGGTCGAGCAAGAGGATGGGAGTCTGGTGAAGGCATTCAAATCGGACGCAAGGTCCAAGCATGGTGTTTGTTTATTTGATCCCGCAGCAAAATGTTGGAAATATGCTAATTGCGTGCAAAAAAGCGTCTCATGATCTCTGCGTCTAATCTCACTCCACCAGATGGAGAGATGCCTGACACCTCCAAGACAACAGTCCTCATATTACCATCGTTCATCTTCGTAGATGGCGTTTCTTACTCGGATGTCCAGCACGTGGTCGAGACATTCATTGACATTCCACCGGGTGACACAGCCAAACCCATTAGCAGTCCGCAATTAAGTTCCCGACCATGCCCACACGACTACGTAGTCCTGCTGTGCTCGCATAAGCGGCGAGATGCGCGTTGTGGAATTACAGCACCGTTGATCAAAAAGGAGATGGAGCGACATCTACGCGGACATGATCTTTACCGAGATATGGATGACGAGCGACCTGGAGGAGTGGGGATTTACTTCGTCTCCCATGTTGGGGGACATAAGTTCTCTGCAAATGTGCTGATTTATCGGAAGAAAGAGCAGCAAATGATCTGGTTGGCTAGGGTCAAGCCGGAGCATTGTGAAGGAATTGTGAATTACACAATCCTGGAAGGGAAGGTTGTTCATCCAGATTCACAGCTTCGAGGGGGATTTGACAGAGTGAAAGGATTGACAAGCTGGTGATGGTTAAACGAACGAAAAATCAACAGTTGTGGCTAGAGTTCCGGCTTAGTGGATTAACTTGCGGTCTTTATCCAATATGTACACTATAACAACGGTTATTCTAAGAGCCCCTAGATAAATTTCAAGTAAAATGACCCATCTAATCCCTACTTTATATTCTCTCCAATTAATATAAGTCTACATCAAGATAGGGATATTCGCGATGATCTCCTTAACATGATCTTTATTCACCTTAGAGTAAGTACGTAGTACAAAAAGAGTATATCGCTGGTCTGGAAATGATCACTTTGGAAGATTATACACCGCAACGGATGGGTAACATTATCAGTGGTGTCAAACAAATACACAAGGCGCTAGTGCGGCACTGTGACCCAAAACCAAGGAACATGATGGTCGTTACAAGTACCGCCGAAAAAGTGGTGTAGATAGATTTTGATCGAGCAGAGACCTACGACGAAGATCAGATTACCAGTGATTAAGAGGAGCTTCTCAGAGAGGAAGAAGAAAGTATTGTTGGCATTAACACTTGCCTTATGAGAATCCCTCCCCCTGAAGACATGCGCCGTGACATTGTCTAACACCCATCAACAGGCTTCTGATCGCGCAAAAGGGAAACTTGACGAAGCATATTTTTTTTACTGCACTTAATGGTCGGGCTCTGTCTAGGCCCCAATATCTGACCTAGATTGTTTGCTTCAAACCCCCTAATTCCTCCCACATCTGTATCTACCTCCTTATCAGCGACTCGTCAATTGGTTTCAACTCTGTGAACGTTTCGTCATGCTCTTTATTTCGTGCCGTGTTCAGTATCATCTCACCGCATGACATGCGCAAAAGTTTCCCCTTGAAAGAGTCCGCTAGCCTAGCCGCTAGGTTCTCCGACATCCGGCTCGCTAGAGATTGGCGTACATGGCGTAGCCATTTACCGTAGGGGATGATGTTGGTCTGCGAGATATTGAGTGGTCGGAACTAATGGTGATCATTTCACGTCACGGCTGCCGCACTGGATTCCCAATGTAATAAATCGAGTACCCGGGCTGTTCCCCGATGAGCAAATCACACGGAGTGGAGGGTGCATCATTGACGGAACACCATGACAGAACCTATAAAGACGTTATATGGGTGATGAAGAGGAAGAGGGGACAGAAAAACATATCCCGTCCCAGTCCAGCAATACTCCGAGTGTCTGGGATGAATTGATCAAGTGCGCGAGATGTTTCACCGGATTCCAGTTTCCGTTGATTCTCTTTTTTATACAGAGGTCTGGCCCTCACGCACGGAACTGGCGCCGAACAACCCAGAGTGTCGATGCAGAGTCTCGGAGCATATGTTCACAGACAAACTTAGCTTCAGGTAGCCTATCAGTAGGGCGGATTTTGCGCTGACTCTTTCATCCGGGACTCGTGCGTGACCACTCTGTAAAAAACAGGTGATAAACTGGAACCCAATCTTCCGCACCTTCGAGACGTAGTCGTCATAAAGATTGATCAGATTGCGCATGGCTTTGAACTGGTGCTGAAATCCGCACACAGGGCGCGTCATGCTCATGGCCCATGTGTTATGCACGACATATGTAATACCCATAATTAGATGATGGTTGTCCAGACATAGACCAAGTTTGGGTGCAGATATATCCGTCTCTATAAAGGCCTCTGGAGAGCGGGGCCTAATGTTGTCGAGCGATTGGTCTGAACTCCTCACCCTGTTTTAACATGGCTTTGCAAACATCCGGTTGCTCAGCAAGTTAGGCCGGCCACAATGTGGGAACTCAGACAGCCCATGGCGGCCTGTTACAAGTACACAGTGCAAGGAGATTTGGTCGATGGGGCGCAGTACTGAGGCTAAAAAGCCACGGGTTTGCTATTGAACCAACGAGTCCGTTAATGTTTGGCGAGCACAAAAGTCAGCCGGGACGTTCAAAGGAGCAGGGGGAAATGTATGTATCCGGTGTAACTCTCACGAGAGGCGAGGGCAATGATAATGCGCTGAATGGGGTTCTCTGGCAGGATGTGAATCTCACACGTGCACACCAAACTCCTTCTCTACGACTCAAGTCTCAAGACCTCAGGTTGTTGTTCATTAAAAGTGGCCTCTCCTCTCTACATGGGGCTTCCGACCCCGAGAATCCGGGAAAATATTTGCACCAGCTGGGCTACCCAAGGCGCTACCATTTGTTGAGTATCGATCAGCAAAGCTCGGCTTGAAAATGACGATGGTAGAATGAACCAAGGTTTTGAGTAATTATGGTGCGAAGGTTTGGGCGATTGCTCCTGAATTTCTGGTGACATCCCTGGGGGAAGACACAGAGTTGTTGAAAAAGCTAAGAGCGCAGTGGGGGTGAGACGATTCGTCGAGTTGTGAAAGGCAAGCTGGATTTGGGTACTAAGAAGGTAGTGCGTGACTATGTGTCCCAAACTCAACCTTGGTAATTGCCAGTATAAAATAGTTGAGACTGTATTGGATAGCTAGACTTCTCCCTGGAGCAAAGGGGGTGACCAGTTATGGTACGGCCTCAGCGAGACCTGCAAAATTTGGGAGGTTGCATTTTTGTGTCTGTTGTCGAACATCATTTCTTGATTTATCTCAGCCCTACAAGCCAGCCTGTTTCTTATTAACGAAGTGACATTTCTAACAATGAAGTCACTTAATATATCAACTGCTATAATTCAAGTGAACTGAATAAAGTTTGCTTGGTGATATATTTCAGACCAGGAGGAACGAAAGACTATTTTCATTTCAAACGATAGGCACAACAGTGTTGTAAATAAGACTGAACTTCATCAAAATTGAGCCTGTAGCAGATCCTTCAGGCGAATTGAAAATAGGCCAGCACCAAGATCCAGCTACCATCTGATAACCTTCGTGGGGAAGTACTCATCAATGAGTTCCATGTAGTAAGGCTGTTCAGTACCACATAAGTTAGCCTATGCCGCAGTACAGTCAAAATAATAAATACTAAAGGGCCAAGCTTACCTTAAGCTTTTCAGGATCAGGGAGTTCATCACTCTTGCTGTACAGATCGTACGGGTTGAAAGCCCTCACAGCTTCCAGCATCTTATGATCATGTTCGTTCATCAACTCATGGTATGCGCCCTCCCGATGCCACGGGTAGAACGAATGGTACCGAATCATTGCCAGGCCCTCCTCAGGAATAGTGGACTGATCTTTGACGATATGGTAGAGGTATTCATCATGACCCCAGCAAAGCATAACATTCTCCAATCCACAACCAGGAGAATAGATTCCAAACTTAGTGCTGTAAATCTCACTGTTATAGTCCTCGTTGTTCTTAAAGGACTTGTTACCGAAGATAATCCTGTCGTCGAAAGCACAGCCAACTGCGAAGGTATCGCCAACAACATCCCACTGACCCTTAGCCCCGAAGAAAAAGAGGAGTTTTCCGAGATCGTGGATAAGTCCGACCAACTGCATCCAGCGAGGCTTTCCTTCTTTGCGGATTGCTTCGGCGGATTGCAAGAGATGGGTCATCTGGGACTCGGAGGTATCGGGGTCACACTCGTCGATGAACGTGTTCAGCTTTTCCATCGCCTCCCAAACAGTCATGTGTGCTCGGGTTTTGTTTTTGAAATCGTTGCGTGCTTTCAGGTTGTATGCTACCGTCTGAAGGGTGTGCTGCTGGGCATAGAAGTTCTTGACTTGGTCACAAGCATCGTCAAATTGACGGAATCCGGCTTTGTCTTTGGATTTGTCGAACTCGGATGCGTCGTAAAGATCTTTTTCTCGCTGAAGGTCTGTCTTGTGGATATTCACAGCATCGATATTGTCGGACATTGTCTCGAGGCTGATTGGGGGGCATTGGACTGCGGCGGCCATATTCGTGAACTAGTGCTCTTCTACCTTTGAGGTCCTGTTGTGATAAGATAGATAATCGGATGGAAACTGGGTATGTCCAAGGTTGACTTTATTGTTTTATCAAGGGTCTATGGTGAGAAATTTATAGCCTGAGCTCATGGATGTATTCGACAATCCCCGGGTTTCAGTTTCCGTGGTGAGAGATCTGTTCCAGATTGAGTGCTGGCTATTTTTGCTGGGTTGGCCGGGTTGCCTGAAGTGACGACGCCAAAATCCGATTTGAGCATATACCGCGGGTCGAAGCTGAGTCCTGCTTTGCCACTGAAAGACCAAATTTATCCACATCACCAATAAAGAGATTATCATAAACGGTCTATGGAACAAACAACTTTGGCACATCTGAACCTTTTGGTCTCCATTATTTTTACGTTTCTCATTGTGAGACCTAGATCTTAAAGACAAGAGCAAACAAGCTTACGATCCCATAGATAGGCGGGATCCATCCCCGAAAATTATGGTTTCTGGGGTATGTGCCGTCTGATATGTCTGAGTAGATCATACGGGAATTCAGGGACTTCTGTTATGTTGGTGTTTAATGCATTTGCAATTCATAGCTGATGATAGGTAGAACTCTAGAAGCGTGAAAATGCGCTCTACACTAAAACCACTTTATATTTCGGCCTTCATTTTCCGAACTTATATTATGTAGTCAACTCACCATCATAGACAAACTCGGAGTCATCAGCGACTGGTTTGCTTGAGCATTCATCTCTCGTCTCTTCGTGCCCAAATAATGGCACCTTCCCCGCATGGCATCCCCGAGTCTACAATCTCTATATCCCGTCCGTGCACTGATATAGGATATGAAGCAATTTCTCATTTTTCCTTCTTTCTCTGCCTTAGAAGAAGGGTGAATACATGGGATTACCTAGATAAGCCAAAGCTACTCATGCATGTACTCTGCCATCTTCCATCCTTTAATAGTAAATCGAACTTCCTACCACAATTTCCCAGGTGTTTTCCATATACTTTTCAGTTGATTTGGCTGTAGTATAGAAATCTCCTACATTTGGGTCTGAGAAATAGACAAATGGGGCGTCTTATAACTGACAAACATATAGAATCGCTGGGCGCTGTGAAAGGCGAGACACGGGCCACCAAATATCAACCCCAGCTAACTGGGCAGTAAGTTAAGATATCATCAGCAAGTATATCGATATAATCAATTTACATAAATATCAGGGGCATTGTGACTAATGTCAAACTTTATGTGAGTCTTTAATTAGGGACAGGAATCATTTTTGATCTACACAAAGACTGTCCCGATTGGGCAAATGAGGGCCTGATGTTTAAGGCAGAGTTGTTTGAAATCCGGGGCTCGGCCCGCCGTAAGACCCGAGCTTATTCACCTTATCGGCGTATCGGTTTCGTCATTGCTTTTGACCCTAGATTGAATATAAAAGAGCTGCGGACAAAACTGAAATTCCTCAAAGCATTGACCTAAGTCAGCCCATTTCCTTTCACAGTCCTCAAAATGTCCTCAACCAACAACATCGCCTTCACCGCCCCTATCAACCCACCAGGCGCAACAACCGTTATCACCCCCGAACAAATCTGGAACGGCCTCCTCCTCAAGATCCGCTCCGCAGAGACATTCGTTCCAGGAGCGATTCAATCCACCAAGGTCATCAGTGACACCATCGAGTCATCAACCGGAAACCCCGTCACCGTTCGCGAAGTCCTTTTCCGCGAAACTCAGAAAACAGTTCAAGAGACTGTTACAGCTTTCAAGCCTACCCGGGTAGACTTTGAGCAGCCCGATGGCAGCAAGATCAGCAATGTGATTAGTCAAGGAGCTGGCGGGGAGCTCTACATGACGTATATCTTTGAATGGAGACACCCCGGTGTCTCGGAGGTGGAGCTCGCGGCGTTGTTCGAGAAGGAGAAAAAGATGAGCCAAATGGCGGTTGAGGGGACAATCAAGGTGTTGAGGCAATTGGTTGAGGACAAGAAGCTTTGAAGTTGATAAGTGGCGGAAACCCGCCGTGTTTGACACTATCATGAATTCCATATTCGGCCCTCGATCATCTTCTCGGTAAACTCGGCCCCATAATCACCACATATTTGATGTAGCGTATTCTCGGAATAATGAGTTAGGAGGGCTTTTCTTTTAATAGCCCTGTCACCAGTCATGCTAGATGTAAGCAAAGCAGTCGTGGGAGAGTCGAATCGTTTCCTCCGAGCATGCGACCTCCATATAAATTCCGTTGGATATCCAGTCCCATATTCACCATCATCTAGCTCCACATGACGAGAAAAGACAACCCGTTTCTTGACACGAATTAATCGGATAGCATGAGCCCATTCCTTGCGCGTCAGAGACAACACATTGAGCTCCAGCTCTGTCAGTCCCTCGCACAGTCTCAGTAAATTCCAGCAGCTCTTAATATCATCCCATCCATTCCAGATTGGGTCCCGCCACTGCGGAAATGTACTACGGTGTTCCATATTCTGGTAAGCATGAATAGGCATAAACGATATCCGTCTCAGCCATGACCTCACTTGTGGACGAATAGCAGTCAAGAATCCCGTGAGGAGACAGGGGTGCTCGAAGGCGAACCAGTTCTCCGTCCAGAAAATCGGTGCAGCGTCGTTCCAAAACCGCTTGCTGGCAAGCAGAATAGCTAGGTTGTCACGCCTTCCGCATAGGCATGGTAGAGATCTCATGCATGGAATTCCGTCCACGCTTCCGTTCAGGTCCCAGTAGCAATTGTCACATAGATAGGCGTTTCTCTGTGGCTGCGCCCACTGGCTTCGTGCTGGGGATTGAAATATCGGGACTTGCGGCTGCTTCCAGACATAGCTATGGCAGTTTGCACATTGGGGACCTTCTCTGTTCCAAGATTGTGGATCTGGACCCGGTCTTATGCAAATCAAAGGCATTTTGCATGGGGTTGAGTGGTATAGATCAAATTTGCATGGCTGCACAAACAGTTTGCGGTAAATGTTATTTCTTAACTCTTGTGGAAGAGATAAGAATCTAGGGCTTTAATGTTAGATGTACAGGTTCTGATATGGGGTAAGAGCACATACCTTTTGAAAAGGGGGGTTCTTCATGTTCCCCGGACTGTATGGGAGGTGTTTCATGCGCATGTTTTGCCTTTGATCTTGCCCGTCGGACGCCTGTTGGTGCATGTAATTCTCGGCGTCGTGTATACCGACGAAGTTTGGGTTCCACGTCAGGCCCCGAAGATTTCGCCATTCGGAAACTTGAGAATACACAGATAATTAATTGGTTCAGACTTGGCTACCTTGGTAGAATTATAAATTTCAAATTTAGTCTGCAGCCTAATACGACTCGCCAGAACACGTCACAAGTCATTCAGCCTCACGGGGACTCGAAAGAGAAACAGTCTGTTACACTGTGGCGCAGCAATGTCTAGATTCACAGTTTACATCGTGAGACAGGAAATTTTTGCTTTGTGACTCATTAAAGCTCTAAAATTTTATTCAGGCAGAAACCAGTACAACCAGCCCCTTGTACGGGCGACTAAGTGTGCCCATCTGGACACAACTCTTTTTCTGGACACAACTCTTTTATTGGATTATATTGCCAGTAATTTAGTCCACTTTCACTTTCTAGGTTAGGGGTAAATAAAGTCTCTAGTCAAAATTCTATTAACTTATTTACTATATATATACTCTAGGTGTATTTAATTGATACATTATACTTATATACTTTATAGTTAGTAATTCTATACTATAAACTAGCTTTATTCCTTTTTAAGAAAGAAGCCATCAAAGACCAGTAAAAAGACCAGTAAAAAGACCAGTAAAAAGACCAGTAAAAAGACCAGTAAAAAGAGTAGTATTAAGCCTACATAACTAGTTCACGGTGTTAAACTAGTGTACTAGTTATTTATAATCTAGGCTGCCCTAGCACCCTACCCTTCCTTAGCTTCTTAGGCCTTAACTTCTTAGGTACCCCTTTTCACGAAGTGGTATACAAATACAAATAGAAATGGCATATACACTTCGAGAGGGTGATAGCTTCTGGTCAGGCATCCAATAAGAGAGTTATGTCCAGGTGGCACACCTGTACCTGGGCACTTGGTCCCCCGTACCCTTGCTCTCAGACACACTAGCAGCACTGTGCGATATCCTCTTATCACCATCCAAAGTATGATTGCCATATCAGATCAGATCGTTCTCGACTTTCAATAACATTTTCAAAATAGTGTTAGCGTACAGCTGGGTCGGATGGGCAGAAATCTACGTTGAATTTACGACCGAGTTTGGAAACTCCGAAAAAGGGCCAAGTGTCGCAGCCCGCTGGAGACTTTCGATGATTGATCAAGGATTGATCAAGGATATTCATGAGGCCTTGAACTCGTATTTGATATTTCGCATCTATGATAGTGTCAAGCTTATTAAATGAATGACCTACATTATGGTATCCTGTTTTAGATGCCCATTTAAAAAACTATCATTGTCTGAAATCTGCTAGCAAGTCGTCTGAGACTTTTCCTCCAGTCTTCGTTGGGTTTGAACCTCGTCCCGATCATGGTGGTCCTCTTCTAGGCGCTCGCCTGGGAGAACAATGGCACGATCGAGCTTGTAAGGCAATCCACGGTGACGGCCTCGAATCATCATCACGCATACGACGAGCTTGCTGAAAACGGTGAACTCTCCACAAAGAGAGGTCGAAACGGTGGGATATCCAAGACTGAGACCAACATTGCCACTTTGTCGGAATTAGTCAATGAAGAGGTAAAGATATGCATGGATAACTCACTATGCTGAAACCACTTCGAATAACACCGAGAATACAGAAAAGGCCTGGATTTGTTAGATCTGCGGTTGCAAGACTGGACATCGGTCACTTACCGGAATCGAAGTATCTGCGATCTTACCGGCCTCGGCGATGCAGATGCAAAAGCAGCCGAGGAAGATGTACCACAAGTCAAAGCTCAGTTGGTTCTGAATATGGTTGATGATATAAGACCGGCCATCACTCTCGTCCACGTCAACGTTATTACCGTATATACCCAACGTCCTTTCTTCGTAAACGTTGGAAGCTCTTATGCTAATAGCGATTGGGAAGATTGCAATATACATCATGATGACCAAGCTGAATTGTACAGCTGGGTTCACGTCAGCCAAGTTAAAAGTCGATGCACCCGTATGACGCGCTGATGCTGCTTGGAAAATAGCAGCAAGGACTCGAGGACCAGGAGCGAGATTATTAACGGCGGGGTTGTTTAAGTCCAGCACAAGGATGAGAATGACATCAATCGAGTTCATAAGGACCAAGATCCCGAAGAGGATCCATGTTGGTCGGCTTGGGAAAAGCAGCGTATAGCACCGTCGTGGATGATCGAGCAAGAATCTGAGTGGATCTTTGAGTGAAGATCTCGAATGGCAAACTTTGGACATGGTCCAGATGATAAGTCGAAGAAGACATGGATAACAAGTATTCCCGGCAAATGCAAGGAAACTCATGAGAATCATTGGGAATGTCGCATCTTGAAAGGAGATCATTGAATCTGGTGTCAGAGTAAAGCCAAGATTGTCAATCATTGTCTGGGCGGAATAAAAGCCCCTACCAAGAAATGAAATAAGTGACCATGTCGTTAGTTTCAAATGATGGAGCCCACTTACCACCAAACATTACCTTGCCCACATTCGGCAAGATAATCACGGTATTTTGGATCTGCATACCGAATCCATCCAACAAGACAGATTGCACCGAAAAGATGCAGACCAAAGAAATATCCTACCACAATTTTCAATAGGAGCTTCAAGCTTCGATATTCAATGCCGCCGAGTCTTTCTCGATCTTCGGCAGACAGATTGTGGAACTGAGAGTTCCGGCCTATTGTAGCGTGTGAAGAAATATTCGGCAAATCGAGTTGCTTCATATCATTCTGCGTTGTTTTTTGGCTCTGCTCTTGGCTAGGAGAGTTTCCCAAAACGAACATAGAGGTTACAACGCGCTCAAGGGTGCGAGGTGAATGCATGCTTCTGGTAGTTTGTCGACGAGAAAGCTTCTCGGTTTGTTCTTTCATAATCCATATCAGTGACTAGTTTCTATTTATTCTTGCACTTTATCAGGACTTACCATCATCGTCATCATCAACTCTTCCATCGATCTCAGAAAACGAGGTTCCTGCGATATAATCGTGAGAAAATGGAGGGGAAATATGGATTTGCTTTTCTTGCACCTCTATCACGTTTCCACGGAGGTGGAATATATAGAACTTGGTCCTTGTCGGATAAGGACTCATCAGCAAAATGAATGACCTGCTTTCCCGAATTGATATTCGAGTCGGCTATATCATCGGCTTTTGCCTGCTGTTCCTGGGAAACTCTTAGACATAAGTCAGTATCCACTATCTCAGGGGATTTTATGTCGATCTATGGCGCCGAAACCAACCTTGGAGCTTTTTCGGGGGCCTCATCAGGACCTTTATCCTCTTCCAACCCATCTGATTTGCGGTCCCTAAATCGATCGCTTGGGACTCTATCAACGGTGCTGCTCAAATTGCCTTGCTTGAACTGCGCTTCTGCATCTCGTCCAGGAAGCGTCTCGGGTCTCAGAAGATGGGGTGCTATTGGGGAGACAAGTTAGTTCCTGATAGGACCTAAGGAGGGAGCTCCCTACCAGTTGCTTTGAGATGTTTTTCAAACCATCGAGCTCGAAATATTACAACAGCTATATTTATGAAGCCGAGGTTGCTCACGACCGGAATAATGTAAATGTACACCTGTTGGTAGGTCTTCAAATCTTTGACATCGAAACTATAGTATAGGAATTCCATTTTTAGCTTTTAGGGTATCGAAAAAAGTGGGTCATTGCTTACGTATTCAGACCTGACTCAGTCGACGCGCTGGCACCGAAGAAATAAGCATCGATGGCCTTCAGGTTACCGTAAGGGTAGATTATAACCAAGCTCAGAATGCTGAGGGTGATAATCCATGCATCTACCAATAAAAGTTAGAGGAAATATATGTTGGTGCACCCGCATGGACGTACAATGCAGGGTAAGAAAGTTGATTGACTTCCACATGGTACAAAACTTGCATATCGAAGGATTCGGGGTCAAAATTCATTATATAGTACTCCGTAGGCTATCATGATTTCAATAATTGCCGCAGCATAAAGCGCTATATAAAAATTTGCTTGAGGGATTTGACCTGACAAATCATCGTGTGAGCGCCACTGCTTGCGGTCAGCTTTCCCTATAGCCAATCCGAGCACATCCACGGAGATCCAACGCTATAACCATCCATCTTTGGTTAGATTTTGATCGATGATCTTTTTGATCCTAAATATTATGGTGCAGAAAAATCCCGCATATTTATAAGAGTAAGATGAGAAGTCATAGGCACGGGAAGAGAGGATGATCATTGGAAGAGATAAGGAGAGAAAAGAACCTCAACAGGTTTACAGTCATGAGACTAGAAACTATTACATTATAATTCATTAAATCTCTAGACTTGTTTTATTCAGGAACTAGCACCTTTCCCTCGGACACGCTGACAGCGGTGCCCGTTAGCACAACCCGTTCGATCCTCTTGTCGCCATCCAAAGTAACGCTAACACCAATATCACTCCGGCGTCCCATTTCAACACCCTGCACAACATGATACTGACAATTCTGACCAACCTTGCCCTCCGTAAGCGTCAAGTACGCTGCTAGCCCACTAGCTGAACTGCCAGTAGCCGGGTCTTCCAGAATACCCAACATCATCCTGGACCGAATAACCTTTTTCTTCGTGACATTATCCTCAACATCCCGAACAATGAAATACACACAGATCAAGCCAACCCTCCACCCTTCATCAAGATAATCAGCAGAAACCAGCTCACCACCGGTCGCAGGCGTAACTGCAGCCAGCGCCTCAAGCGAAGGAAGCTCAACAAACAACTGACTCATCCCATTGACAATCGAAAAGAGCGGGAAAGTAACATCCGGCCGCGTAAAGAACGGCGCCAGCGTCGGGTGCAGCCTCACCAACTCTTTCAAGCCAACCCGCGCAGCATGGATGCGCGTGTTGTGCGCAATCTGCGCAGCGACGTATTTGGTCTCACGATTCTGGACGGAGATGGGGATATCGCCGGACTTGGTCGCGAGGGTGGTGACGCCATTGCCATCTGCGGGGTCGGTTGAATGGCTCAGGAACCAGGAGGCTGCGCCAATGGTGGGATGACCTGCGAAGGGGATTTCGCAGTCTGTGGTGAAGATATCGATGGTGCGCTTGCCTTTCTCGCGTACTGGGTGGACGAAGATACTTTCCGATAGATTGAATTCCCGTGCGATGGTTTGCTTCTGGCTCTGGGTTAGAGCGGAGTCATCTGGAAGGAAGACTACTGCTAGTGGATTGCCAGAGTAGGGTGTCGATGTGAAGACATCGAGGGTGACGAATTTGAGGTGAGTCATGTTGTATTAGATGTTGTGATGTTGCTGATACAGGCATCAACGGGGATGTCGGATGGCTTTTATACTTCTTATCCCCCTAATCCCCCCCACTTTTTCCTTTGACTCACCACGCTACTTTTGTACACTTGTCTCTAGAACAATTCTATCATTCGGCATTTCATAGATACACTCGCGGGAGAACAAAATCCTCTGGCATACACTTCCCACTCACCCATTCCTTTAGTCCCTCAATTAACGCTCTACTAAAGCCCGGATCATACTTCAATCCATCATCCCCAGAACTAATTCTCCCCCTCCACAATGCCCAGTTCTCAATCATCACCCCCTCTGGCGCACGCAAAATACCAACCGCCACATCAACCATTCCCGGCCGGTCGGTACAGCTATAAAATACCGTCGCGCCACATGTCCCACAGAATGTCCGTAGTACCTCTTCACTAGACTTGTAACTTTTCGACGACCCGATAATAAGATCTCCCGGTGGAGGGGGGGATAAATGATCAACCGGAACAAACATCCAAGCTATAACATTCGACCCATTGACCAGGCGACAGTCATCACAGAGATCAAGAAGCGCAAGCCACTTGCTCGTGTCTCTTGACAAGACCCATCCCTTGCTCGCAGGACTAGCGAGGAATTCCTTTCTAGGACGGGCGATAGAGAACGAAACGCCACCGCAGTGACATTCAGCGCGCAATTCCTCGTTTTTGACTGTATCTATTCGGATGCTGTCTCCAGCCTTGCTAATATCCAGTGACGTCTCCGGGCTAAAGACATCAAGCTGGCGTCCATCAATATGCGGGAACATCGCCGAAACCCCTCCATCAAGCGAGGAGTTTGTAAAAGCATGTGAGCGCATCTCCCATAGACCATGGTTTGGCTCAGTGAAGATGGCCGTAGATATCACCCAGCTCCCATCATCGTGTGATCTATCCCCAATATGGCAGCCGCAGGTACTGCAGAAATGCCGCGTTCCCTGGGACTCGGCGTGGTTGTAGGGTGTCAATTTGGCTTTGCTGGATGGAGCGATGAAATTCGGTGCTACGCCTGCTGGTAGCGGGGCGTGGAAAATACATGGTGTTCCATGGGTGTAGCGACAGATGCTGCAGTGGCATATGTGGACTTTGAGGGGGAGGGCCTCAGCGGGAATTGTTATAGTGAATTTGGTGCTTTGGCAGTGGCATGCTGCTGTGAGAATCTTGCTATCAGCCATGGAAGTCGGTAAGAGGAATCTGGATGGGTTGCCTGGAGCAGTTAAGTGTGGGGAAGCTCGTATTTTTTCGAATGCTTCCAGAGTCATCAAGCACGGGCCTTGGCTTTGGTGACTGGGTAAGGAAATATTAAAATTGTTCTCATTGAGCTTAGGTATCCCTTTACAATTCCTTCTCCGTCTTAGCCAAACGCCTCATCAGGTCATAAAATATATCACAAACATTGAGAAACCGCTATTCAGAGTCACTCTCAATCACAAATCCACCGCGCATACGTCTCCGAGCTGGAGCCACAGGCACATCTTCCTCGTCATCATCTATAACCTCGGGCTCTGTAGCTTGGAGCTTACTCGGGCGATCTCGAGTGAAGGCGAAATCATCATCGAAAGCAAGATCATCCTCATCCGATATGAGAGGGGTGTCTTCGTCCTCTCCAGCGCCATAGCTAGTGGAGATCTCCTGCTGGGAGTGTGACGATTGAGCGTCAAGTTCTGCCATGAGAATATCACCATCAGCATCACTCTCAGCACCGCTAGCAGCAGAACCAGAGTCACGACGCTGTCGCTTCGATTTTGCGGTGGCAGATATGCCAGTGTCGCTAGTTCGCTTGCGGGCGGCAGACTTCTTCCCTTTGCCCTTGCTTGAGGGTTCGACGGCTCCAGTGAGCAAGGCCTTCTTGACTTCTTTTGCTTGTTTAATTCGCCGCTCTTCTTCGAGCCGGAAGAACTCTTTGTCGGCTTCTTCGTCCGTTTCTTCGTCGCTGGCATGAATGAACAGATCACTCTTAATCTTCGCTTGGCGAGAAAGTGCGTTTGATAAACGCGCATCGCGCCGCGCTTCTAGGGTTTCGTCATCCAGTGGCTCACTCTCGGTGTTGGTCTTCTTCTGCTTCTTCTTGCGCTTCTTTTTAAGCTCATCCAGCGCACTAGATTTTGACCGCAGATTCGCCGGGAATAAAGGACCATCTGGAATGTCCTCGCCTTCGGACTCCGATCCGAAGTTGACATCAAGCGTGCTTTGAATGTTGCCACGACCGATTCCTCTGTTCTTTGGTTGGATCTGCTTGCGAGGATCATCATTGTCATCTCCGGAGAACGGTGTTTGAAGGGCTTTCAAAATTTCGGAAGCTGTTTCACGCAAATCGTCGGACTTGAAAGAGGCCGGAACGACCCAAGAGGCACCAAGCACATCTTCAACGCCGAGTCGCTCGAATCCGACGACGGTCATGAGCAGACGTAGCCTTGCGTTCGAGAACATGGCATTCTGAACGAACTCGTTCTTGCCTTTTACGGCTGTTCTTTTATTAGTATCAATTGAGAACCGGGGGTTGGGGGAACATACTAATCATCGGATTGGGAACGTGGATGTTCTCGGGGTTCTCGACGCGACGGACTTCTTCTTGGGTTTCCCAGTCCTCTCTTTCGGAGGCTGCGGAGCTCACGACATCCTTGATCCATTGCACCAAATCTGCTCTACCATCGAGAACAAGAGCGCCAACCACGATGTGGAGCTTCGCTTCCTTTGTCGTCGCGTCCGTTGATGTAATAATAAGCTCCGGCGGGGGACGCTTATAACTGGACATCGTTTGCTTTTCGTGTCCATATTCAAGATAGTAGACAGTGGAGTTGATCTTACTGAACAGCAGTTCAGTTATCAAGGCTGGGCGCTGTTCAAGCTTCTTGACCAATCGTCGTATGATTTGCCGGACCAATTCCTCCCATTCCTTAAATACAGACCTGCTCGAGTCCATGGGGCCCGGGCCTTTGATCATTCGGTAGAAAAGACTGATAATATCCACACGAAACAGCAAGACAGTCATCTCCTGCTTGAATGCAATCCGGTAGAAATAGCGGTGGGCTCGTTTGAGCTGCTCAGAATTGAGCTCTCGGTAGAATCCTGTGAATGCAATAAAGGTATCCACGCAGTTTTGGTTGCAGAACTTCGCTGAGAATCGCTTAAAGTCAAAGCTACGTTCCTTGGTGACCTGGGCGGCTTCCTCCATGTCTTCATCTTCAGAGTCACGCTCGTCGTCGTCATCCCCACCCTCTTGCTCGGCAGCTTGGGCAGCCTTCTTTTGCCTTTTGGCCTTTCGACGCGAGCGGATTTGCATGTCGGCGTTGTCTTTGGAATATCGTTCCAACATACGCAGGAACACATGTGCTAACTCTGTGCAGGCATCCAGATAACCAAACCCTTGGTCTTTGTATCCGCGCACAATAGTAAGGATCCGATCATGGGTTGTTTCTTCGTAGAAGATTCGGTTTTGAATGTTCTCTGCAATTTCCTGATCTTCTTCGAGCGGGGACACTGCCATTTCCTGAACAGTCAACAGAATCTGGGTGAAACAGCGCATCTGGGCATTGAGGTCTTCCCATTCCTTGTTATCCAGGCTACTCTGCATAGCCCGGTTCAGAGAAATGAAGGTCTCTTGATTCAGGACGCCGGCAACCAGACCATAGCTATCGGGTTCGATATCTTTAGCTCTTCCTCCATTCTGAGCCGTGCGATGGCGGAGCTGTCGACTCCGTCGTACGCGCTCTGCCTCCAGAAACCAACCGACTGTGTAGAAGAATTGGCGATTATTGATTCCTACCACACGCTCGGCTTCGCGCTCGATTGCTTTTCGCACATGGGTGAATAGAGGATTGAACCCAGAATCCAAAAACTCCTCCACGAAAGTCCGCAGGTTCTTAGTTGCCTCGGAGTTAAGATGAGCTGGCATATTGAAGTTACTGTTTTGGATCTCGTCTTCTTGCCTGCGACGAGGCCGAGGCTTATTCCACTTTTTGCTCTCGTCCATCTTTTGCAGTGTGGTCTGGTCGTCGCGCAGCACACCTTGTCCAGAGACAGTAGACACCTTCGCATCGTCTCGCTTGACCCAGATCATTGTACCGAATCTTCCATGGCGTGTAGGCGCATTCTTTGCGTATTCTCTCCGTACCAATGATTCCTTTTTCAGTAGATCGCTGAGTTCGTCGGTTCGCTTGGCCGTTCTCTGCTCATCGTCCATGAACAACTTCTCGACGTTGACGCCCTTGACGATATGAAAAAGTGTCTCCATCAGAGGAATATCTTGAAGGTTGAAGTCTTCGCCGACATTAGAGCACATAGTCAGGAGAAGTGCAAATGCATCTTGCTCATGGAAAGCGTTGATTGTTGCCGATCTGGATGTCTCTTCCTCGTCGCCTTCTGCCGCAAGCCGGGTATTAGGGGATATGATCGCAATGTTTCGCAGCAAGTACAACATCAATTTGAGGATTCCTTCGTCTCGGGCCCCACGTTCAGATCGAGGGATCGCCATGCTTGGAAGAGCAATTCGAATGACTGCGCGAAGTAAATTCAATCCGCCAGATCTGAGGATGCCTCTCTTGTATTGCACCTGTGTTTGTTGGATGTAGGGGGTATGACGATGGTGGTTGACTGTCATCTGGCTGTGAAACTCCACGGGCCATGTTAAGGGAACGAGAAGCTCCAAGCACGCCAGTGCGATCCTGGTCATATGCTTGTTGTTCTGTCCAGTAGCCCACCAGAGAGAGAGAATCGGAAGCAGATCACCATTGATCACGTTGGCCTCTCCAAGGCACCGCGCAACGTCCATCCGGTTATTCTTTTCGTCGTACAGTTTCAACCAGCGTTTAATGTCGCGTAAACATGCCAGCGCATCGTCTCCGAGCACATACTGGTCGGCATTTTCGCCATTGAACCCGCCGAGCTAGATAACCAAGCATATTAGTAAATTGACCCAGAGCCGGGCAAAGGAGAAAATGGTAATAAACTTACAGCAGTAACCAGGCCGTAAACATAGTTGCGCACGTCCGGGTCTACGACTTGCACGTCGTGTCCTAGAGGAACAACCTCTTCATCCATGGTGGGCTGGATTGATACCCCATTAATTTGCTTCCCGAATCGAGTTGAATGGGGAACGCGTCGACGCGTGTTCGGCTTCGGCGATTCGGAGAAACTGGATGCCGCCAAAGTGCCGAAGATAACCGGTGGTCTTACGCTCAATATTAACGGCCACTGTGGCAATATCTGGCAGAATGTCGTATCTATAGATCTGAGTACGAAGTATAACTAGGTGATTCTTTTGAAGTTCAGGCGTTCCCGCAGATAGCCATTACGCCAAGTCAACCTTGGAAATAATGCGTCATATTCCGACGGTTTGATCAAGTGTTCTACCGCTTGATCGACAAGCAATCATGATCATTTTCGATCTTTCACCTGGAATCCTTTGAACCTAAACGCCAACCCACAAGATCTCAAATGTACGGAATTTTCTCAAGAACATAACCTAGATATTGTAAGCTAAATGGTCTCCCATTGGACTTTCTCGAGAACTGTCCCAAGATTGCTGGTTTCTGGAGTACTTAAGCTTCGGGCTTCAATATTGCCCTTCTGGATTTTATAGACAGCAGGCAGCGCCATACCTTCTAATCAAAAATTATCATCACTAGGTCTGCTGTATATCCGTGGGCCTATTATATTACGCCTCAGGTGAAAGTACATAATCCGATAGACAACCTTGGAACACATAGTGGTCGATATATAAGGCGGTGAGATATATGCTTCAATGGCCACTGTCGTGTTCCTTATAATGACGTCCGAAAGCACGCACGTGAAGTCATAGCAGTATACTGATTTGATTCCTCGCACTTACCTTCTTCACTCCTTTTGTTAATTTTCCCCATAGCTCCTGGAATCACTGCAGTCATGCTTACCTCTACTCTTCGCTTGGCTTCCCTTCGCAGAGGCCCTGCGGTGGCCCGAAGCTTCTGCTCAACATCTCCAGTCCGCGCAGCCGAGGTCAAATCATTGGGCGTTATCGGTGCGGGCCAAATGGTGTGTAACACGAAATATACCACCACGCTGCAAATCTAACTCTTTCTAGGGCTTGGGGATTGCGCTCGTTGCTGCCCAGAAGGCCAAGGTCCCGGTAACTCTCGTTGACACGTCGCAGGCCTCTTTGGATAAGGGCCTCAAGTTTGCCGGTACGCCCAGCTCCAGTTTAGTTTACTGCAGTCACCTGGAATTTATCTGACATGACATTGGATAATAGATAAGCTTCTAGAAAAGGATGTAGCAAAGCAGCGCCTCACTCGAGAGGCAGCTGATGAAGCTCGTGGGCTTATTTCTACAAGTTTGACGCTAGACGGTCTGTCCGGAGTCGACTTTGTCATTGAGGCTGTGCCTGAGATCCCGGATCTGAAGGCAAAGATCTTTGCCAGCTTGGCCCAGATCGCACCAAAGCATGCCATCCTCGCAACAAACACCTCCTCCATCTCCATTACCAAGATTGCCGCTGCCACCAGCGCGGACCCCACCGACCTTCAGGCTTCCTCCCGGGTCATCTCAACCCACTTCATGAACCCTGTCCCTATCCAGAAAGGTGTGGAGATTATCCGCGGACTTCAAACATCCCAGGAGACCATGGATACTGCCATTGCCTTTGTCCAGCGGATGGGTAAGGTGGCCTCTGTGTCCGCCGATACACCCGGCTTCCTCGCCAACCGTATCTTGATGCCTTATATCAATGAAGCAGTGATTTGTCTGGAGACTGGTGTTGGTGGCCGCGAGGACATTGACAATATCATGAAGACTGGCACCAACGTGCCCATGGGCCCCCTTGTTTTGGCTGATTTCATTGGCCTCGACACGTGCCTTGCAATCATGAACGTTCTGCACCAGGAGACTGGTGACAGCAAATACAGACCTGCTGGTCTCCTGCGTCGCATGGTGGATGCTGGCTGGCTTGGCAAGAAGAGCGGCAAGGGTTTCTACGACTACTAGTTGCTGTCTATGCCCGGGATGGAGAAAAAGCATTTCGATCAAGATACCTTTCCTGCATCATATTAATCTAGATCGCATTTGCTGAAAATAAATATTGATTACCCGCCCTCGTCCATTCTCTAAGCCTCATCCTCCCACCAACAAGGTTCACCCGCCGATTCCGCTTGCTCCATTGCAGCGACCAGCGTGTCAACGTCAAAATCCCCATCTGTATCCAGATCTTCATTTTCGACGCCACGTGGGGGACATTCGCATTGGCCGCGTTGACCACAGAGGTAACTTATTCACCGATTAGCGTTAACTTTTTGCCTAGTGCGTGTACACATAAACCTACCAAAATTGATGTCCACACCTACAAATCATGTGGTTACATCCGTCCACCTTCTCAACCAAATACAGGCAGTTGGAGCATCTCTGCCAATTATTCTCCTTTGCCAGTCGCAACGTCGCCTTCGTGTCAGAGTCATGGCTACACGACCAGCCGAGATGGAAGAAATCCCCACACTTGGAGCAGACCTTCGCCCGGCAATGAGGACAAACACGATATCCTAACCGTGCCCCGGGGCTCCTTGGGGGGATCCATCCGCCACACGTCGCCCGAGGACAGTACAAGCGTTCCAGAGGAGGGACATTATTCTCCTCCCATCGAACGATATAGCGCTTTTTGTTTTGAGAGTTCATCACCGCCACGACTGCTTTTGTGGGGATCTCTTGTGAGCAACATTTTGCCGGGAACATCTCCGGGCTGTTCAAGGCTGTCAAGGACATTCGACGGAGGCATGAGGGACAGTATTGGTGTTCACAGGGGGCAGTTAATAGTTTGCCCGTTGGGAACTTTTGGAAGCACCCCGTGCATCTGTAAAGAGTTAAATATGTTGCGTTTAATTGGCGTTTGGTTGGTTTTGGGCTTTACTGACAGGCCTACCTCCCCGTTAACTTTCTTGAATACTCGCTCCAAGTAGTCTAGGAGTTTATGGATGGACGAGTGCCTTTTAGGCATTTTGCCATGGATTCGATATCAATTTTGGAGGGGGTAATACCAGGCCCTTCAAAAGAGGGACAAAGTGCATGGCCAGACCTAAGAATCCAGGCCTGCAGGATGTCCTCTTATGTAACTAGAAGTGCAGGGTGGGCCTCATCTTTCAGGCCATATAGTGATCGTACATTTAGTTAGCCATGGATGGACAAACACTATTTTCATTCTTGTTCCTGAAAGTCATTATGGGATGACGGCTACATCCTAGGGGTTGATATCTTGTAGTCTGTGGATCAAGAGAAATACCAACTCCTCTAAAAGGTCTCCTTTATTCCGTTGCCTCGCAAAGCAGTGGGGATGTCTTGGAGGTATTCAACCTAATAGCCCTAATACAAGAGGTGAAGAGGGACCAGGCATGGATCCATGGATCTGGGAATTTCCTGAAGAGGTAGAAACACAGCTTATTTCAACATTAGAGCGAATAATCACATCGTAATGTGAAGTCTACGGTGTTCTAGCCTTGAACTAAACTTCTATATATTTCCAAAAGGTTGTGTACACATATTGACCACTAACACTAAAAACTAGGGTATCACTAAATGCTATAAATGCTGTCGGTTTCGGCCGTTAAAAACTCCCATGATACTTAACCCACAAAGACTGCTAAGACGATTGGAACCTTATACAAGGCCAGCAAATCGTCGAACGGCCCATCCTGACCCGTATTCTTGATATTCTTGGCGAGTGATGGACACTTTGCTGAGTTCCTCTCTGTTTGCAGCAAGGCGAGTACCTCCTAGCCATGTTGAGTGAACGGGGCTATTGTAATTGTCAGCGTTTTCAAAGTCAAGATAACCGAATGAATGGGTCACTCACTCCTTAGCCCGGCGTACTCTCACGACACATTCAGCAGAGGCAATCTGTCGCAATTCGGTTTCCCTGCAAAATAAAAAAGATAGTTTGTTAGTAAAAATTGTAACCCTGGACTTTCCAGAACCTACAATCTTTCCATAAATCCCGGAATCAAAGCATTTCCCCCGACAACGAGAACGTTCGCCAAAAAGGCAGAGTGCAGGCCAGTAGGTAGAACCGACAAACTTTGGAGAATCATATCATGTATACCGGCTGACTTCATACCAATATCTCCGGGTGTGAATAGGAGCTCCGGGACAGCAAAGCGCTCATTACCCAGCACCAGTACATCCTCCGACAATACCTCCGTGCTGAGCCCGGAATTCGCTCCTTTCTTCTTTTTTGCGTGCAGAAGAGGATCATGCGGTCGAATAAAGCCCTTCTTGTTTGCATTCGGGTCTGGAAGCACATAATCCAACACGATTCCTTCATCGGGGCCACTCTGGCGCTTTCGGCCAGTTTTCCATGTTTGCTCCAAATCACCAGCAAAGTCATTGCTGACATAGCAGACAGCCTCTTTGACTTGGTTCATAATATATGATTCGTCCACCATATTGTATTGTCTCATTGACACAATCTCTTTCAGGTAGTTTGTAAGGTGCTTGCCTCCGAGATCGAGTCTTCGGATCCCACGTTGAAGAGCTTGACCTTTGTAAACCGGGGTCACTGTGGTGTGCGAATAGCCAGAATCGACGACCAACAAACAATCTGCGGGCAAGATAGATGCATCGGATGTATTAGAGAGAGGATCACCGAAGAGAGAATGTATTTCGTTCCATGCGTTGAGAGTTGGACCTATAGAGTTCATGTCAGTACGGGGTCATGCTGCATCAAATGATCGGGCTACCGTACCCAAACATCTCGCATATCCGCCGAATCCCCATTCCTCCATAACCATCTCATCGGTGTTTCGTTGTAAAATAGGCAAGGCATTTGGCGCCTCAGTAAGCACAAGGGTTGTGTCTTCCGGGTCCGCGATGTGGTGATTCCGATTCCGAGCCGTCACCTTTCCATCAAAGAAAGACTGGTCCCAAATCTCTCTCTCGGCTTCCCAGTTCACAACATATCCCTTCTCCACCGGGCGCCGGAACATGGCCTCATTCCAATCGTTGACTGTCGCTAGCTGCGCGCCGATAACAATCTTATTATCGCGGGTTTTAACAAGAGCATTGGGTATTGAGGAGCAGGCCGAAACGGTTTCGTCGGAGGCGGGGGCTTGAGAAGCGTAGCCGGCTTTGATCATGTAGGCGCCATTGTCGATGATAAATGTCTTGTCGGGAAGGTACCGCGACGTCTCCACGAGTTGTGTGGGTGTTGCGGGTGTCCTTGGAGGAGCGCGAGCCTTTGCTGTTCCCATTATGGCTGGTAATAATGAACAAAAAGCTTTGAGCTTCCGTCAAGCTGGAATGCAATGATGAAGGTGTTTGTCTTGTTTGATATCAAAAACCATCGCTTAGGTAATATGGGATTCCCCGATTTAATCATGTGCAACTCCGCCAAGATCTATGGGGCAAGAAACATTTTGTCCGTTTCTCACGATCAGCGACTAAGGGGAAGCGGAAACTTGGCCAAATAAATGTATATGTAAGTCTCGAACCCAGGACGTGAGGCCTATCTGTTGGCGACCATCACGGCGCTGAGGCGGGTCGGTCAAACTTATATCCGAAACGCTTGTCGCTGGTTGCACGGCGTTTCTATTCACAACTTCCTTGATATTGTATCTAAACACTCCAAACACAAATATTTCAATACGCGGATGTTGCATGGTTTTCTGGAAGGTGAATTCACCAATAACATCACAGAAAGCATCCGGCCCCACCACCCGGCAGCTTTAGTACGGAATATATGGGCCCTTGAAGCTGTCGTTAATTGTGCAGAAGTGAAGCCAATCCCGACTATCAGTCTGCCGAAATGACCCCACTAGACGGTCAATCGGAGATCAATCCCTGAATTAGGACGAAATACAAGGGCGTTGCACGAACTCTCGGGATTTACATACTCCATACGATGTACGAAGTATATTTTACAAAAAGAAATATGGAGGGGCTAACTCGGCTAACTCCCGTAGGTGGCATATTGCATAATTGACTTCCTTCCCCCAAAAGTATATTGTAAATATAACATTCATCTCGAAGACTGATTATTACGGAATGGCCGCCCTTCAAACTATCGAAGTTCCACACCTAGGTGGCATCAAAGCTGGATACGCCTTCTCCAAGGACTATGATCCTTCCAAGCCGACATGTGTGCTCATTAATTCGATGTGCATGACCGCGTCTCTCTACCATGATCAATTCAACAATGAAGTTCTGACAGATGCCATGAATCTTCTGGCCATTGAGCCATTAGGCCATGGCTCTACCAGTTCGCCCTCGGAACACTTTACGTACTGGGATTCTGCCCACATGGCCTTACAGGTCATGGATCACTTTGGAATTCAGAAAGCCTTCGCCCTAGGTACAAGTCAGGGGGGTGGATCGTGACTAGGATGGCCCTCCTAGCCCCAGAAAGGGTGAGTCCAAGCCGCGGGCTTCAATGAAGTGGTTAATTCCAAGCCAAACCATATTATTAACTTCGGATGTTGCTAGATTCTCGGTCTCATGCCCCTCGGGACCTCCATGGATTATGAATCATTGGATTCTCGGTCCAAGGGCTGTTGGGATCCTGCTGCCAATCTCACGGTGTTTTATGAGAAGTGGACCAGTCCCTCGGCTACGCCCGGCTTTGTTGTGGATGATGTCTGGTGTGGACTAGTGGGGGGAATCGGCTTCGGTGCCGCTGCCAACGAAACGAGATCTGCGTTCTGGACTCAGACCCTGAAGGAAGTGTATAAGGGTGATGAGGGCCGGAAAAAGGTCCGAATGGCGCTCAACTGCCTACTGGAGAGGGATGGGCTCCTGCTTCGGATCGGGGATATCAAATGTCCTGTTTATTGGCTACATGTGAGTTCTATGTTTACCGATGTGGATGATTTATGCATTAACAACTCGATAAGGGAACTGAAGACACTCCTTTTGGGACGATTGTTCCTGCAGAACAGATTAAACGTTTTACCTCATCTGTGGAGGCTAAACTGGTGATGATTGAAGGGGGTGCGCATTATCTGAATGCCACCAACCCAAAGGAGGTGGATGAGGCCCTTTTGGATATGGTAACAAAGTATTCCGTATAGAACTGGTATGATAGGTTGATAATTCTCCATATACCAAGCCATTACTATTAAAGGAGCACATTATTCACCTACCTATTTGAGCCTTTCTTTTTTAATTTTCTGTAAATCCAAGCTAGTATCTCTCTTACTTTTCTTGTTTTTAAGAGTGGGACTTTTTTCGTATTTCCTACTTGGCAAAACCTATGTACGTAGTACTATGTACCAATTTACAACCCCTGTCCCCATGTGGATAATTTACGATCTGCAATTCATTTACGGAGTACACCCCAATGGTTCCTAATTATTAATATCTATACATATTGAAAATATGAAGAAAGGGCAAATTCCTAACCCGGGGCTGCCAAACTAAGTTCAAACTCGAGACGCGCCAAGCTTGTCACTCAAACGTTCAAAAGTGGAATTTCTAGAATCTATTACTCGTTAAGTGGAGAAAAGGATATCCAATGATCAATTCGACAAAGATGGGACTTTTTATTGCAACTTCGTCTACTCCGTGAGATTTTATTAACATTTGCTGAGTTCTATGTTTACCTCCCTGAAACGTCATGGAAAGCGACCAGGACAGTCTGCAGCAATGGTCTATAGCTACCACGGCCTCAGTCACGGTGCTGGCCTTCGTGACTGTTTGTCTTCGACTACTCGCCCGTTATGAGCGAATGCAAAAGCTGTGGTGGGATGACTATATGATCATCTTTTCTATGGTTAGTTCGATCTTCTCTATTGAATCTCAAACGCATATTTTCTGATCGAAACATAAGCTATGGAACTTCGTCGTTGTCGGATTCATCTACGCCATGATTCATAAGGGAATGGGACTTCATGCAAGCACTATTCCACCGGAAAACGTGGTTTTAGTTGCAAAGTATCTAGTTGTGGCCGAGGTTCTCTATGTGTTCAACCTGGTTTGGACCAAACTGGGCATTCTGCTCATGTACTACCGGATCTTCCGCTTTCCTTACTTCAAGACATGGGCATACATCATTGGAATCTTTATAATCCTTTGGGTGATCTGTATAACCTTTCTCTTCATCTTCATTTGCGTCCCCGTCCAGAAGCTATGGTATCCCCAGATCCCAGGGCGGTGCATCAACCAGGTTGCTACATGGGTCGCCAACGCCGTCTCAACGATCGCAACCGACGTTGCCATTCTACTCCTTCCAATTCCACAAGTATGGAAGCTCCAGCTTCGAATGGCGGAAAAGATAGCCGTTTTGATTGCCTTCAGCTTGGGATTCTTGTAAGCCACTAACTATTCCAAAAAAGAAAAAAGAAACCGCCCCCCAATCTAACCTCAACAGCGTCGTCTTCGCCTCCGCCTACCGTTTCTCAGTCCTCTTCAGCTACAGCCCAGCTGATTCATCCTACACTCTTGCCCCAACAGTTGGCTGGACCGCGATCGAAATGGCCGCCGGCATCATTTCAGCCAACCTCCCAACCCTCCGCCCTGCTTTCCGTTTCGGAGCACGCATGCTGGGTATCCACGGCAGAGTTCTGGCTCTCTTCAGAAGTACAAATAGAACGACATCCAAGACCTCGGATGCCGTCACTCAGCCGTCAGGGGCAGCAGAATCCACTGTCACCATCATGCAGCACACCAAGCATCCGAAACGGCATTCTTTCTATCACTTACCAGATGATCCTGCCTCAGTAAGAGAACAGTCACGAATGGATACCTCGTTCAGGCCGGAATATGATAACGCAAAGACGTACACCAATGTCTTGGGTCCGAGGGTAGGTGATCATTCTGATGGGGATCAGATTCCCCTGACTGAGATTAGAGTCGACAAGGAGTTTACTCAGACTACGCGCTGAGGATATTTGTCCTTTGTATTATACTTATATTACGGTTTCTATTAATATCATAAGATGCGCCATGCTTTAGTTGCCTACTAGCGAGCCACGGAAATGTTGAGCTTTAAGATGCATCGATGTACATCGCAAGGCATCATAGGGTAAAAGGTACAGTGGGCCCTCGATAATCCAGTGCAGAAATCAGGCCGCAACGTTAGGGGCATTTCACTCCATACTACGTAGATCGTCAAAAAATCATAGTTGAACCGTTGCTGTGGCGCGATATACAATAAGAGGCACGTGATGGTACTAATGGAGGTCGCTTACTCAGGTCGCTCGGCGCCCCAGTGCTTTCACGGAGCAACAATGAAAGGCAGCTTTACTTGGTGTATTTGGGTTTTCAAAAGCTTGGAAGCCACGCATGGCTATTAGATAGAATTTGGTATTTCGAGAACTTTTCGCGACGTAAGGTAAACGAGTGGCCAGATCTACTAGAGCGTTGATACATGCTAGCAACAAACCATCGCCATCTTTAGATTGAGAGGGAAAAAAAAATACAGATAAAAATGAACATGATCATCTGCGAACAGCAGATCAATTAAACCAGCCTCAAGCTAACAGCTTTGACATAGAAATCCCAGGTGACCCCGCAGAGCCCTAATCAGCCCCGCGATAATTAGACCCAACCGCCCAAATTTTTTCCCTACTACACTCTCCTGCCACCCACCCCTAGCCAGCCCACGACCCTCACAATGTCCAAACAACTATCTGTCATCCTCGGCACGACCCTAACCCTCATCGGCCAATTCCAAACAGCCCTCACCACATCCCCAACTACCGCAACCGAAGCCGCAAAAGATGCCGAGGCCTTGCCCCTCCTAACGATTTCGTCGAACGCGCTCAAAGCACAAATCACGAAACTCTCCCTGCTGGCCATTACCTCTCCCTTCACGCATTCCGCTGTCATCACCGTGCTCCGCGAACTCAATGAATCCGTGCTACCGTCGATCGTGACCGCTTCCCTTCTCGTTACACCGGCGCAATACACCAAGGCATTTCACTCCGAGGTCTTGGCTCTTGTCAAGACGACTTTGACGGAGCTTTCTACGCTGATTCGAGAGGTCAAGCGTGTCGGGGAGAAGAAAGATCAGGAGAAGAAGGATACAGGGAAGGAGAGCGATGTGACGAAATCCGAGAAGGATGCTGTGATGCTTGCTACAGGCCGTGTCTGGGATGCATGTGATGCTACAACCGATGTTGCGAGTAAGGGGGTCGTTGGGTTTGTCATGCGCCGCGTTGAGCAGTGGAGGGATCTTGTTCGCGACGCGGTTGAGGAAATCGAGGATTGGGATCCTGAAGAGGAGGACGATGGTTTCTTAGACGATGTTCTCGGTGATGAGGAGAATGGTGGAAGTGATGATAATGAGGACGATGACGAGGATGACGAGGAAGAGACGGCTGCCCTCCAGGAACACAAGAAATCTACGCTTCGTTTCCTCAAGCCTATTGCTCAGGTCTACCCAGCTGTCATCAACAACCGGCTGAAGAATGCCGGAAATGCGCCGTTGGCTTCTTCGTCTGGTGTCAAGAAGCTGGAGTCATTGATGCTGAGTCTGCAAGCGATCCCGGACGATGTCGACGAGGCAGCTGGCGCGTTGTACGAGGCCAATTTTGAAACCTGTGCTGAGTATCTACGGAAGACGAGGAAGTGTGCCACACAAGCGGTGGAATTGGTCGCGTCGCCCTGGGATGCTGCGGAAGCTAAGGACGATGCACCTGCAGACAAGTTCGCTACATGGTCGAAGACGTGGCTCAAGGTGATTGACGAGGTCAGCAAGCCAATTGAGAAAAACTGAATGTAATTATCTGTCACGAAGCTGCAAAGAAGCTGATGGTGAGATGACAATAGCCCGAGAAAAGCATAGACAGCAATTATTATGTATATTTACATAGAACAAACATGGTGATATTATACAAGCCTTCCTAAATCATGACCTCCAGCTAGATCTCATGTCTTAGAACTCTTCCTCGGGAGCTTCATGTTCCCGCTCCCATTCAGGAAGATCGCCAATTGGAATCCGCTCTCGTAAGAATTCCAAGATCGCATCGGTTCCTTTGGCAACTACTTGCCAGCGAGGTACTCGGAATCGATTACCAGCCACCTCAAAACGTCTCAAGGCCGATCCATTGCCCCAGTTCTGAGGAGAGCGTCCAGCAGCCAGCAGGCCAATCTTTGGAGGAAGCGAATCAAGGTCATTGTTACTTAGCTCCAAGACTTGCAGCCCTTGTACGGCTTCGAAGTCCAGGCTAGCGATCTGGTTGTCAGAAGCTGCAAGGGTCTTGAGCTCTGGGTAGGTCTGTCTCAGATGGGGGAGTGGTCCCTTCAAACGATTGTGCGATACATCCAAGAAGGTCAAAGATGGGGCTATCAGGTTGGACAAGAAAGGCTCCCATGACGTCAAGCCGGCAGCGTTCAAAGTCAGTGACTGAAGCTTTGGCAACTCAAGCCGGGAAGACAAGAAGTCAGCGCCACTAAAGGGGTTGTGTGAGAGATCAAGCTCAACCAGACATTGTGCGAGCATTCCAATCGCGGGGGCTGGGAAGCAGCTCAACTCATTATGCTGCAGATAGAGACATCGAATGTCTAGCAATGGAATCATCTCCAGCTGTTCCACCTTAAGGTCGGTCAATTCGGCATAAGACTTGTCAAGAGTCCCACCGGATTTAATCTGCCAGCTGCCATCGAGCGCAGGGTTCTCAGGCGCTAAAGTGAATTGCGTGGCCACGGAGCCCTCGTCATCTGTGTCCTGGGGATCAGGCTCACAGCGGCTCCGCAAGTCTCGTTTGATATCATCGGTGTCCATGCTCAGCAGCCTGCGCTCACGAAGTGGGTTATTGGAAACCCGGAGAGAGGCAAGGTTTTCCATTAATCCAATCTTCTCATCCAAGTGCTTGAGGTCGTTTCCTGTGAAATCAGCCTTCTTGAGGCTCTTGAGCTCCACAAACCCTTGCGGAAGCTCTGCGATTTTGTTTTCCTCAGCAGACAATGTTAATAATGACTGCCAAGAAGTCATGCATGGGAGATGCGTTATGCGATTCACGCCGATCAAGAGAGTATGTAAATCAGGAAGTTCAAGCGCATCATCAGCTGAGAAGACCACCACGGCATTATTGGCGATATTCAGGGACTGCAACTTCTCCAACTTGTTCACTGTTGCCGGTATTAAAGTCCCTTCCAGCCTGTTTTTCTGCGCATTGAGCGTTTTCAGGGGAAGTTTGCTGAGGACCTCAAACGGCAAAGAAGTGAATTTGTTCTCACTGACATCCAATGTTCTCAGAGAACTCAATCCAACGAGCTCATCTGGGAGCTTGGTGAGAGCATTGCCACGCAGATCCAAAAACTCCAAGTTAGGGAGACGACCAATAACAGCAGTCAGTTCCCCTTGCAGTTGATTATTCGCAAGTTTCAGATCTGTCAGAGACTTTATCTCCGTGATTATTTCGATATTGCTCATGTCCAAAGAATTATTCGACAGGTTGAGAGTGCGTAAGTTTTGAAGACGTCGAAGACCCATCGGAAGTGATTTGAGTATATTCCCATGGAGATCCAATGTTTCAAGGCCCCCAAATTGAAGTCCTCGATCATCGCTATCAGGATCAAACTCCTCGGGGTTGATATCGGGGAAGGTGGCATCTGAGATCTGTTCCAGCTCATTGTCCGCGGCATTAAACTTGACAAGATCAACATTTTCGAACCAGTTCGCGGAGTTCTCTGGGTCATAGTCGTACATCGTCAGCACTTCTTTTGGAATCTCCCTTAAAGAAAACGCTGCGATGTTCAACTGGCCGGTGGCACGTGCTGTCTGTATGCGCTTCCGCATCACCAAAGAGTTGGATCCGTTGGGTAGTTGGCTGAAAGGATCGTCGTCGTCGCCGCCAGCCCACGAATCGAGAGGTGCATCGATGGGCGGGGCCTGGTAGACTTGTTTTTGGAGGCTTTCCTTTTTATCTCCGGCCGCCATCGCTTTGCGAGCAGCCTTTGCCTTTGCTATAGTTTCACGTAGCGTACTGGACGACTTGGAGACCTTTCTTGCTTCAAGTTCTGCCTGTTGCTCCGGAGACAGGTCATCAGGCATGTTGGAAGAGGCAGACACATATCTTGAACCCGTCGAGGGAGAGCGTAGGGTAGACATCTGCTCTGTTTGGGGTTTTCTTGTCTTCTTCACTTGGAGGGGTCTTTCTGGGGGACCCATGTTTGACTTGGCAGGCTTTGTGGGGGCCTTGCTAAGCGGGCGGATAAGGGAGGGTTTCGATGTATCCTTGTTCCCAATCGGTCTTTCGGGTATAGTTTTCTTGAGCGGCGAACTCATGTCCGTGTGAACACCGTCTCCTGGTGCAACACTGTGTTTAGGTGACGGCCGCTTCAATCTTGATGGACTCACGCTGCCCTCCGAGCCGCGGACTGGGGAAAGAGATCCAGCAGTCGATATACGAGCCTTCGAGGGAAGACGCAGCTTCGAGACAGGCTGTACATATAGTTCGTTGCTAGGCGGTGCACAAGATGATGTCCTCGATGGCGATCTCGAAACATTGGACACATTGGACGGGGCGCGAGATGGAGATCGTACCGGGCTGCCGCCATTGAAAAAGCTGGACTGCCTTCTCACCGAAGCCGGTGATGATGGAATTTGCGCTAGTGTCTCGAGTGTACGCTCAGACAAAGATGGGCGTATTCCACGGCGACCGCGTGCTTCTTGGGCCGATGCGATTGATGCAGTATCATCATCCCCAGCAGTCGAGCTCCCCTCCTCTAGAATATGTGTGTTGTTTTCCCTGTCCTGGATATCGTCTTGCTTAGGTGCCGAAATAGGATCATCCTGCGGCTTAGGCGGGGATAAATGCCGCGAGGACGGTTTTTTAACGAGCGTGTTGTAAGATGGTCTTCGCAACCTCTTTTCGTCCAGACCAGGATCCGCTCGCAGTCTGTCTCGGGAAGGTGATGGTTTGATCGATTTTGATGCGGTGGTCGTGGGTAAAGGCAATCTTGAGGTAAGTCGTGGGATGCCACTTGCAGGACGTGGTATACCACTCGCAGGGCGTGTCGATGTCTTGGGCTGTCCTTCCATATTGGCCTTCCGGTTATCGATGTTGGTCTTCGGTCAGGGAGAAAGTCGCACGTCAAGAAATTTGGACGCTCATGCCCAATGATAGGGAGCGGTACAAAGAATGTGGAGGGCGGGGAAAAGTTGCAGTGGCAGTTTTAGCCCTGTCAAAATCGTGGTCTTTGGCGCAAAAGAATGAAGAACCAGAGGTCTAGAAATGTCTCGGAATCGGATTGTTTACATTTCTAAGGTCTCACAATCCCGCGATCGTCGCCTCAGGCATCGATCGATTTAGTCCGATCCATGAAATATTTTGTATCAAGTAGATATAAAACAAATCTTGCATTATCCTATGTTGTAATATCTAAGTCTATCTTTAACTAATATTTAATAGGAAGTCCATCAGTTTATTCTAATTTGATGGTTGTCTGGCCCATAGTTAGCCTCTTCCGTCGGATATATACATCAAAGAGCACTGTCACATCACAAACAGATATTCAGCGCAACTCATAGGAGTGATCTCAAAATATCTTCTCTGGGTAGAGCCCAGGCCAATCACTACACCGGCAGGAATCAGAAAGGACATATAGGATAGGAGCATATGCCGGTATACTGACCTGGGAGTCTACAAAAAATGTTACCAGGAGTAGATAGTTTCATTTTGGGCCTAATGTTCTTCTGATACTCAGTATCTATTTGATATACTTTATACTTGTATTATGTTAAAGCCGAAAGATATCAATAGAAATTTCAAAGACTTGGTTTTTACTGTTGCCGCCGCAGAAGGCTGGTAGCTTGAACTACTTCGGGTAGTAAATAAGAGGCATCTTGCAGGTCATCTTTACGTACATAATAGAAGCCCTGCTTAATTGATCTGAAATGCTAGATATGTGGTGTCTCTCTCTAGTGCTGAACATAGGCAATTTCAGTCAATTTTCATAGATTCAAAGACAATAGTTTCCTTTATTTCAATGTTTCTTCCAATATTATGGAATAGATCCCTAGCATCAAAATATCTCTATGATATCATACATCATATACTCCCGTACATCTGAGATGCTTATCGGTTGCCTGCCCAACCCCCCAGCGCTTGCCCGGTCGCGGGTGTTTACTTGCCCTGAGCGTCCCGTGATCGCCAGACTAACTAAGATAGGTTTAGCTGGACTATATAATCACCTCTGATTGGTTCATATTCTTAGATAATTGACCGGGGCTGGGACATAGACTAACCCAAAGCGGGTACCTTGGGACTTCCCCGTTCCCAGCCTCCCAGCCCCTCCCAATAACGCAAGCCGGAAGTAACTCTCTTCTTAAGGTCTCGTTAAACTCCATTATTCTCCTTTCTTTCATCCTCCAATTTCTCGTCATTGTCTTCTTAGCTTGAAATTCCTAGCCCTTGCTCCTGATTCTCTTGGTTTCTGAGGCAACATACCTGGAGCATCTGTGCGAGCCTAAAACCTGATATCAGTCTCCGGTATGTAATTCTTTTGCTTTTTAATCGTCTGTTCTACGATAAAGATGCTGATAAGAAAATTAGTGCGAGGACCCGTTTCCCCACGGCTAAACCCTCGTGGTATTATCAAGTGATATATTATATCCACTATATAACTACACATCCATCATGTCCCAAAACGCCTCACAAAGCTCCCTGGGAGCACCTGCAGAGATCGTGCCTTCAACCCCACTCCGCCGGGCCACTTTGTCCCCGTCGCCAGAGCTGAGTGATATGGCAAAGCGTCCATCGTCTCAGTCGGATAAGAAGTTCCTTTCACCCCCGCCGTTGTCGTCATCAGATATGACGCCTCCACCCTCATCTCAGATCCCAGGGGCCCCGCTGCGTTCTCGCTCACACTCGCGCTCCTTGAGCCCTGCGTTCGTGAAACCAACCGATATGGACAAGTCGTTGTGCGATGCCTACGGCGCCTCCGAGAACCTGCCCACCGTGGAGGAAATCGACAACGCCAGCGAGACCCAACTGCGCACTATTGCTAAGGACCTTTTAGCCGTGGCCCGAGATTCGCGCATGTCTGCGCTGCACTTCAAACTGCAGAACAGCTTGGTCTCTTTCGCTAGCAATGAAGCCGTCAAGCGTGCCGAGGTGGAGCATCAGCTCGCCAAGCGTGAAGTTGAGATTATCCAGAGCGCCGAGTACCGCAGTCGCTCGCGCCCCGCGGAACCCACCACGCCCAAGCAACCCCAGTCGGCCCTGAACTCCGATTATCTCTCGGCTGTTCAGCGCTCGCAGGAACTAGAAGAACTCAATGCCGTTCTAGACCGAAGACTTCGAAAGGCGAAGCGCGCCATCGATGAAGCTACTAGTCGGTCTATGGACCTTGAGGAGCAGAACCTCATGCTCAAGCGCCGCATTGGTGACAACCGCAAGCACTTTTCTCAGATCTTCAATTACGGCAGTATGTCGCCGGGCACTCAGAATGATATACACAATATCTGCCATGGTGAACACGCAGACGGTCTTGCCGCTCTTCTCTACGCCGATAAACTCACCAATCAAACGCACGCTTATGGTGCCCACTCTGCAACCTCCGTCCCCGTCACCCCGAACCACTCGAAGAGCCAGTACCTCACACCAATTGGGCATCCAAGAGAGGACCACTATGATACCGACAGCACCGTATCCCTCTCAGCCTCGGAGGCCGCAGAAGAGTCTCTGGGCTCCCCGCACCACATGCGCTCCACTGTCCCAAAGAGCAGCACATTGCTTCAGACAAAGTTGTTTGGCCAGGTGCAGAAACCCGGTGTGGAGCGATCTCGTGCTGGCAAGCGCAAGGCAGCCAGTGATGCGAACGTTGCCGCCGTGAAGAAGTCCAGAACTACGAATGGTATTGGCCTGGGCATCAATGCTTGAGTCCATATCCCGTGCTACACGAAGACCTCGTGCCGCCAACTTTGATATGATTCATGACCTAACGTTGCTTTGCTTGTTACGATTATGGGAACCTCACGAATGATGAAGACATGCCAAATATGGTGTTTTCAAACTAGCGACTGATTTTTTTTTGGGACTTTTTGGGGATGTTTTGTATGAGGCCATGCGACCGTGATCCATGGCCCTTCACATGTGGCGTTATTAAATTGGCTTTTCGGTATGGAAATCATGGCTGTCTGTTGTGCGCCAATTAGCCCTCGCGGGCTTGAACAGTGGAATGAAGCCAACAGGCTATGCAGCTATGGGATTTTGGGATATGAAATTGGGATGGTACAAGAGCATGTACAATAGGAATAGAGTGTTCAACGAATTACAAGAAAGCAATATATGAAATGTATAGGACCAATGGAATCCATCAAATTTTTTCAAGCATTTGAATATCAATTCCAAGGGTTGATATCATAGTAGACAGCATAAAATAAAAGAATAAAAAATAAAAAATAACTCTGGCAGATTACCGAATCCGGCTTGGTTAGGGCTCGCTAAGCGAGGCGGTGTGCCAGTCAGCGGGCGGCCACACGAAAAATGGGAACTTCATTTTCTGCCGTGAAGGAGGATTTGACCAGCAACCCTCGACGACCACCACCCGGCTCGATCCCCATCCGTCACCATGGTGCGTTCCCTATCCCTGCTTGGAAGATACAATGAAGGATTCGACTTGTGCGATTGAGAGAAATCAACGGATCGAAATACGCCTCGAAAAGAACGAAATGACTGACCGATTGTGTGTGGGATATATAGGCGATCAAGCACAACAACCAGATTCAGAAGAACCGTGAGTGACCCGTCGCTCTATACCTCTATGTGGTCGTTTCAAACCGACAGAAAGACGTGGAGCAAATCAGACGTGAAGGAACAGTGATTAACGAATTCTTGATTAGACTTCCACAAGGACTGGCAGCGTCGTGTCCGTGTGCACTTCGACCAGGTACGACTTTCCAACCTCCCCCGACCAGAGAAATTTTTCTATTCCGAACGATATCGCAAGCAACTTGGAATCGAGGAAAAATTTTCTTCGCAGGATATGAATTTGGTCGACTAACATGAATCGCACAGCCCGGCCGGAAGCACCGTCGTCGTGAGGCCCGCATCGCTAAGGCGGCTGCTGTTGCTCCCCGTCCGGTTGACAAGCTGCGTCCCGTTGTCCGATGCCCTACCATCAAGTACAACCGCCGTGTCCGTGCCGGTCGTGGTTTCACCCTCGCTGAGCTGAAGGTAAATTGAGCCGCATCGAAAAGTGGAGGCACTATGGAGAAACAACTTACTGACTCGAACTCTTTTCTTGCGCTCTATAGGAAGCTGGTATCCCCAAGAAGCTTGCTCCCACCGTCGGTATCTCCGTTGACCACCGCCGCACCAACTACTCCAAGGAGTCCCTGGTTGCCAATGTCGCCCGTCTCCAGGACTACAAGGCTCGCCTGATCCTCTTCCCCCGCAAGAGCGGTCAGTTCAAGAAGCTCGACTCCTCCGCTGAGGAAGTCAAGGCCGTCAAGGCCACCGTCGCTGAGGGCAAGCGTGACGGCATCGCCACCCGTGTCGAGGCCACCTTCCCCATCACCAACCCCACCGCTGCTGAGGCCGTCACCGAGGTCAAGCGCGACTCGCTCCCCAAGGGTGAGGAGGCTGCTTACCGTCGTCTCCGTGACGCCCGCGCTGAGGCCCGCTACAAGGGTATGCGCGAGAAGCGTGCCAAGACCAAGGCTGATGATGAGGCCAATGCCAAGAAATAAATGTGTTAATTCCCTCCTCGTGCTGATGATGATGATCGGGTCGGTTTTCGAATCGGGGATTAGTGTACTGTGGCATGGCGTTGCGCCTCTTCCTTGATTCCCTCTCTCCCTCCCCAACTTTTACTCCTTTTTGTCTCTAAAAGAAAGAACTCGGAAGATCTCTCGAAATTCAAAACCGCCCAATTCTCTCAATCTTGGCTTTCTGTCTGTACATCTAATACTTTTTGTGGCTGTTCAGCTGGCAGTCCAGGTCCTGTATCTTGGCATCCAGCGAGGACAACATTGAAAGATTATTGTAGCGTATTTCGTTATATACTTTGTAGCTTTGCCATGGATAAAAGTTGTCTTAGTTACATGGGAATGGTAGCATTTTGCATGTATCTTATGTATATGAACACATGGCAACACAATGACTATAATTACACAGCTACCAACCACCTCGTTTATGAAGACATAAAAAGGTTATATTTAAAGCAAGACTCCATTGGAGGAATACACTAAAACTTGCAGTCTGAGCTCTGCTCGGGTATCTTCAGGTAACTACGCTAAATCACCGCTGCAATGTCTACTGACAATCGCACCGGAATACCAAAAAAAATTCAAAGACCACCAAACAAAGCACCAAGAGCACCTTCAGTCGCCCTTACCACCGCATCAACATGGATACTACCCTCCACACCTCGCGTACCCAAAGCGCCATCCTCATGTAGCAACGCATGGAAAAGCTTCTTTGTCTCCTGATCGATTTTCTTATCTACCCCAGGGATCGACACGCTAATCTCAGGCCGCAGCTGAGGCTCTCCGCTCCATTCATCCAACACCAAAGTATTTGATAAAAGCACTCGGGGACTGGACTCAGAAGATTTAGGTTTGATGACCATGGCATTCCGATTCCAATGTGGGACCAATCGTCGCAGTTCAGAAAGTGTGATAACGCCATGCTTGGTTTCCAAGGGAGTATCCTTTCTACCCTGTGAGGCCCGAGGGCCATATTTATCGTCGATTTGTGCCCATAAACGAGCGCGAGTTATTGAAGATTCCCAGTACCGGTTGATTCCCCAGCATAGAGTTGCCACATCGAGTTTTAAGAGAGGGTTCTCTAAGCGGGTATCAATCCATCGGCGGAGAGCTTCAGGGACTTTTCTTTTCTTGCTGTCGCTGCCAGTAGGCACTGACAGGGAGGTCAGAGACTGGGTCTCGGGGTTTGTCTCGTAGACAACAGTCACATTGTATAAACTGGCTGGGAATGGAGATGGGGGAGAAAATGTCAGTGTGTGCGTTTCTGACAGCCCCTCCCTACGTGACGACCGAGTTGTGCGGGTATTGAGGGTTAAGGGTGCAAAGGCTGTTAGGTATGGCAGTGATTGAGAGGCGTCTTGCAGGGCAAATGGATTTGTTGGCAGTGATGATAATTCACGTTTTGGGCGAGGGATGTTGGCAGAGAACGGGAGTAAAGTGGCGAGGAGAGATGATATGGATTTGGGAGCTGTCTTGGGCACTGGGAGACTCGTACGATTCGCCTCTTCCGATGTGAGTAAAGACCTAGAGATTGTCAGCAGTGTTCACGCCAAAGTTACTTGTAGAACCCACAGAAAGTTGTCGAGTCCTTTGTTGTCGCCTTTCAGGTCAGGATTGGACTCGATTTTCTTTGCCCATGTTTCCAGTTCTTCAACTTCCTTTCTCAGCCGTCGTAGATCCGCCGCGTTCTTCTCGCGCGAATTGCGTTTCTCGCGAACAGCCGCTGAAACTGCACCTAGGTTTGAAAATGTCTCCAAGTATTCCGGTGGAGGCGATTGAAAGTTTACTGCCTTCAATGGGCTTTCGTGTGATGCATTGGCAGTTCGTTGTTTCGCTCTTTTCTCCTGTCGCCTACTAGGGCTGCTACTCAACATTCCCCTAGGTCGATCCGGGGCCTTCTCCAAACCTAGTTGTGTTGGCGTGGGAGGAAGATCGGGCTCGAGGATGTCTTCATCCATGAAACTAGAGTCCGGGCGTATATCCATATCTGCTTCTCTTGTGGCGCTGCCCAATTCCAATGCCAATTGACGCTCGGGGGTATTCGATTCGGGGTTTTTTGGCTGTGGCATTGGGGATCCAAACACCAAGTCTCCTGGGAGAATCCTCCTTGAAATCCTGCGCGGGGGCTTTGAGAACGCTTGGACGCCACTTGAGCGCCTGTTGGGGGAACTTTCGGGCGCTTCAGAGCCTCGAGGTCGAGTGAGGGGACTTTCAGAGGCATTGAGCGAGGGTCGGAGCGCTTTGCGATCGCGCAATCCAAATTTCCGAGGATCTTGTTGCCCACTGTCTTTGCTTACTGGTCGTCGGGCAGGAGATCTGCTGATTGCGCGCTCTAATACATCGGGATGTGATCGTGCGAGACTGGCTCTTGTTGGAGACTGAAAGGATGGTCGTCTCGACCGATGGAGATCATTTTGAGGAAGTTCTGGTGCCACAAGAATTCCTGTAGTCTCACTAGTTTTCCGTTTTTTCGCCGGGGAATCCATTGTCGCGTGGGGTTCCTCGTCTTGCCCGGAGGCGCAGATGACGGGAAGATAAACAAGTCCACTGTTTGCAGTGTTTGTACTATGACTTAATCTCCCCTCGTGCACAAATGTCCTTGTTTTCTCCAACTCACACCATGGAGTGTCTCTCGGCGGGTACAAGATACTCGCTGCGGAGGTCTGTATCTCAACTTCGCTCTTTCCCTGGCAGAACATTTCCTTCATTTGCTCCATTTCGACAATATGTGCTGGTTCCGACCCCCCGGCGCATGAATGGACATGGCCAATCCGACCAACCCGATGTTTATAATACTCCAGCTTCCCTGGAAGAAATTGTGGACTCTACTCAAGCCCACCCTTTGTCGGGATACTATTCATTGATTTTAAAATCGAGCTCACCATACGGTGGTGCATCGACATCGCGCCCGACACCCGTTCGGCCCGAAGCCAAACCGACGCCGGCATCTCCCGTCGCACCGCAATCACCCCAAGAAAAAATGGCGATCGTATTTGGTACCCCTCTCGCTGGTCCAGGTCGAACCTCGCGCTATAATCCTGGAGAAGCTCCTCCGGAGTCAACGTGGAAGACTATCAACGGAGTCCCCATTCCTCCTCAACCCGAGGAACCGGACAATTGCTGCATGAGTGGATGTGTACACTGTGTCTGGGATGACTTCCGGGATGAGATGGAAGACTGGGCAGCCAGGATTGCAACTGCTAAAGCCAAAGGTGGGCCTGAGAAGGGAACGAAGGATATGCGTACGGCGCCTCGAGCGGAAGTCCGCTCAGCCAGTGGAAGCATGGATGATGATGGCGGTGGCAGCGAAGCAAATTGGACTCCGCCGAGTCAGGACAATGACCTATTTGCGAATGTCCCTGTTGGTATCCGGGAGTTCATGAAAACGGAGAAAAGGTTGCGAGCGAAACATCAAAAGGATGCTACAGTGTGAGCTCATTGGGCAGATTTTTTCTTGTTGATTTTTATACCCTGTGTTATACTACATTAGAACAGATTGGGGATCCTATGTCTAGAGCGCATCATAGAGATAGACTGTACATAAGACCTTCAAATGATGCCATGACGTTTTTATATTCTGTTCAAGAAGATACCATTAGGAACTGCTTAGTTTATGATCCTCAAGGATTAGTATTTTGACGTATCTTAGTTCGTGCTGAGGCCAGATTTAAGGGTTCTTTACTTTGTTTAATCGATCATTCTGGCCGCCAACCACCAATTTTATATAATAGCAACAGGAACAAGTGCCTACATCTACCTCTGGAACATAAAAAAGGCGTGCTTATTTGCTCAAAATGAAGCCTGCTTTACTCTGGGGACTGGTCCAGTCGAGCTTACCACAATTCTCACAAAAAATACACACAATCAGCTCTACCATGTCACTTCGGTCCACCCGCAAGATATGGTCACTAGGTCCTATCATTTCTGGCAATCAGTCTAGCCTCAAAGGACACCGGCCAACAATAAGTGCTCATTATTCGACGAACCGTCTATCTCTGCTTGACTCAGTTGTCAAGAAAAACCGCACAGAGAATCTGGCAATTCAGCAAATTATCAGGAGATTGAAAACAGCCCAAATCATCCCAATAGACAGTTTCTGCGGCAATGAGGGCTCTTAATTTAGTTGCAGCAGTTTGTATACCAATTCCAGTAATGAGGCTCTTACCAAAGCCCTCTTGCTGCAATGTCTTTCCTCGAACCTGGCTGTGAAAACCGTTGGCTATTCTGCCGTCAAATTCAAATCCGGGGAGATTACCAAAAGCGTTCCAGATAGTTTTAGAGACAAAAGTTATATCATACAACTTCAAATCGGTCAGAGCAAGCACGCCTCATGCTACGGAACAAAATACCGAGCTCAACCCACTGGCCGCCTACCTATTGGGGAACAAGGTATAACAGGAGGGGGCAACATTCATTTGGATTCGTAGGTGAGAATAAAACTGCGAGCTGTGGAAAGCACAGAAAATGAAGTTGTCAAGAGCATGGTTCAAATACACAGGGTCCCGTTTTCCTGTAGGCGCTTCGCACTGCCTTTGAAGGCACTCCCCTGCTAGGAGCAGGCAAGCTTCGACTTCTAAACAGATGAGTTCTATATATTGAGACTAGTGATCATTTCTTCGGAACGATTCAGAAAACACTGCAAGATATTCTTCATGCAAACGATCCGCGGTTGCCTCCCACTGGCCCAGAGCACTAGGAAAGGCACATTGTATTACCACATAGACGCAGAGGACACACATATTTATATTATGAGAACAATAAACTTGAATACAGTTGAGAAGATATGAACAATTAGCAGGTTTTGTAAGGTACGGCGATCGTTTGATATGGACATCGTAGGCTGTGGCTCTTTAGATCAAGTAAACAGAACTTTCATGCGGTTACATAAAGTCAGATAGTAGTGTATTTCCTGTGCTGGATTCATATTTTACTATCTGCATAACTGGCTAGGTATGTATATGTAGGGGATTAGTAATGGGACCCCCCCCCCGGGGGGTCCCATTACCAATCCGGTCCCATTACCAATCCCCTATATGTATAGCCTGTCAGCGTTATGTACAACGTACAGACTACATGCAGTAGCTTGGAATTAGCTTGTTCAATGACGTATGGAGTGTACGATATTTCAGCACTTGATTCTTGTTCAAAATATCTGTACTATGCCTTATAAGGATCTATGTGAAGATTGAGTCGCACTTTTTTTAAATGGGAACAAAATGCTTCTTGTCTCAATGTCAAGACTCTCTCAGTATCTATTTTGGTCAGAACTAGGCTGCGAGATCATGCACGGACGCCTGAATCCCCTTGTTAAACCGGAATAACTGCCGTGCAGAGCACGGGGTCTCAATTCATAAATCATAATGAACAGATTTCGGGGTATTATTTTGGATGTCACACAAGTGCGAGTGACCGGGGAGGAGGAGGAGGAGGAGCAGGAGGAGTATAAGTATCCTCGCAACATCGTGGATGGTGAGACTGAATATCTTCGGATATTGTGTATGATAGCACTAATCACGGCGGTTATTCCTAGCCTTTCAGCGCTTTCAAGCATGCAAGCCTTCTCAGATATAACTCTCACCTTTCTAAAGCTGGGCTTGACGTTGGTAAGTGCAAACTTGCTCTGCTGGGTTGATTCAATGGAATTTGACTAACTAAGGACCTACTTCTAAATAGGTCCCACTTTATCTCATCGGTCTCCTAGTCTATAATGTCTACTTTCACCCTCTGGCCAAATATCCAGGACCAAAGTCCATGGCAGCCACACGTCTACCTTATATCCGCATGATCCTGAGTGGCCAGTTCCCACAAAAGACAAAATTACTACATCAACAGTATGGTGATGTAGTTCGCATTGCCCCCGATGAGCTTTCTTTCATAGACGGCGCAGCCTGGAAGGCAATATATGGCACACGTATCGGCCATGGCCAAAAGTCCAAAGATTATCGATTCTACGCACCAAGCGCTGGAGAAGCTCCTGGAATCATCGTCTCCAATGATGCCGACCACTCCCGCTTTCGACGCTTGCTGTCACACGCATTCTCCGATAGCTCACTGCGTGGTCAAGAACCTATAATCAAGGGCTATGTTGATCTTTTGATGCAACGCCTACATGAGAATATCGAGGGTGGAACAAAGGCCGTTGACATGGTGGCCTGGTACAACTTCACAACCTTTGATATTATTGGAGACCTGGCTTTCGGGGAGCCATTTGACTGTCTCAAAAACTCAAAGTACCACCAATGGGTATCCATCATCTTCAGCTCGCTCAAGTATGCCGCCTATACAAATGTGTCTCGGCGCCTTCCAGGATCAAAATACATCCTCCCATACATCATTCCTAAGCATATTGCCTCGCAGAGAAATACACACCTAGCCTTAACCAAGGAAAAGGTCCATGGTCGGATAACCAAGTCAAATGAAAGACCTGATTTCTTCGCCAACATCTTGAAGCATCAAAACACAGAGAAAGGCTTCAGCATCCCAGAAATGATCAGCAATGGTAGTACCTTGATCGTCGCCGGCTCGGAGACCACTGCGACATTGCTTTCTGGAGTGACGTATCTGCTGCTGAGAAACCCACGCGTGATGGCAAAGCTCCAAGATGAGATCAGATCAACATTTACTACAGAGAAAGAGATCAGCTTGGATTCATGTAATAAACTGGAGTATTGCCTGGCCGTCCTCACTGAGACTCTCCGAGTGTATCCTCCCGTCGCAGTTGGATTACCTCGCGTTGTTGATGCCCAAGGTGATATGATTGCTGGAAACTGGGTGCCAGGAGGTGTAAGTACAAACCTGCTTGCAAAGCCGTACAGTACCGCTTACAGGTTTATAGACAGTTGTTTCCGTCTCCCATCTAGCTACCAGTCACTCCCCTACCAACTTTACCGATCCAGAGCAATTCATCCCAGAGCGTCATTTGGACGACCCTCGCTTTGCAAATGATAGTAAGACTGCAATGCAACCGTTCAGTTTTGGTCCCAGGAACTGCATTGGGCGCAAGTAAGTTCTCAACTTGTAATTATTACTCGCTGTTTACTCATATATATTTCCTTAGTCTGGCATATGTCGAAATGCGTCTAATTCTTGCTCGCATGATCTTCAACTTCGATATGAAATTGGACCAGCCTGAACAAGACTGGATGGATCAAGAATGCTTTGTGCTATGGGACAAGCCAAAGCTGATGATTAAACTAAAGCCGAGAATTCATCCCCAATGATATCTGATAGCACCACCGAAGTGCTGAGGCTACGATTTTGTACCGGTTTTATGCATGAAGGCCCCGCAGTGATGGATATTGATATCAGATTGGAGCTCATACAATTTGGATTTCTGGTGGGAGCACACAGAAAGAGGAGATGCCTCGGATATGCTTCAGCGTCTCGTTATAGTACTGGAATTAAGCAAGCAATCAAATTATTATGACAAGGTATATTAGCGGAAGAGTGCCCGAAACGTTTCGATCTGATAGATACTATCTAATTGCACAATTATATTCCATACTCATCCCAGTATAAGTTAGCTCTCGTCATCTATTTACATGATCTTATGTTTCTTTCGCTAATATCTTGTTTATCTAGCACTCGTATGGCATTGTTCCTTCCTGTTCTTATCCCAATCGGTCCCATCCATGCACAACATAGTTCATCTGAACTTCGAAAATTCAAGAGAATCGACGTATAGATAGCATAAGGCGGTTTGTCTACAGAGGTATATATCTTAGTCTGTATTAATCAACATTGAAACATCTCTCAATGGGTCCAACTTACACAACATAGCCACTCTGCATCAATTTATACATCACCACTCACCGCCTCCACCATATCGGCAAAAAAAAAGGCACCGCAGATCCCAACCGCAAAGACCGACTCGGATCTGCCAATAACTCGACATTGAGCACAAAAAAACCAACATGTCGCTATCTAAAAGCGAGTCCGACGTAATTCTCAACCGGGCCAATGTCGCCCTATCCCGAAGCCAACGGCTCGTAGCCTCATGGCTACCGCAGCAAACAACAGAAGAGCTAGCAAACCCCAAGACCGACGAAGAGCTCCAACGAGAAGAAGATGAAATATTCACCGCAGTGCCAGAGACGTAAGTGTTGCTCCAGCCTTCCACCTGCAGTCCACGCATATCCCTTACCACCATCCCTCGATTCCACAAAATACCCTACAAATGCACCAACTAACCTCAACCCCGGATTCACAGCCTCGGCGTCGGAGCCCCCCTCCCCCAGAAAGCAGCAGACGGAAGCTGGAACCGCACAGAGCTGGACTCAAATGATAAACTGCGCAAACAACTCCTCGGCAAGAACTACGATCGCGTTATGAAGGCTGCTGCCGAGCAGAAGGCGGCCGCGGCTGCATCTGCCTCAGCTAGCACGGCGAAAGCCGAGGTCGAGGAGGAATATGATGAAGAGGATGGTCGGTCGGCTATGCTTGCTAGACAGAAGAATAAGAGGAAGGGTGGGGCTGGGGCGAGTCGTGGTGTGCATCCTGCAGCTGCGGCTGCTGAGGCCGGAGATAAAGGTGGTGAGGAAGGCGAGGGTGTGCCATCTCAACAGGCTCCCGCTCGCGCCAAGGGCAGGAAGAAGGCGACGAGTTATCTTGATGAGCTTTTGGCTGAGCGTGCGAAGAAGAGAAAGAAGAAGTGAGGATCTGCGGTTGATGAGTTCCGATTCTATGTTCACACGCACACGAGCGTTGCGCGAGCTTTCATTGGCCCTGGGTTCTCTTGGATGGATTATACTTTGATCTTGGTCGCTCTGGATGCGCCGGGCATGGCGATTGAGCCGTATATTCAAGTGCTTGAGAGTTGGTCCCATGCCGGCCAGAGCAGGCTTGCCTACCGGGGCCTCACTCTGCCAGCGGCAGAGACAACAGCGCAGTGTCCCTTGGCCAGACACAACTAGGGAATACTGCATACTTACTCCAATGGCAACTCGGCTGAGTTGTCCTATGCCATGTGCCACTCCAACAAAATACCAAGATCAAACAGTCTGCAGAGAAAAAACATCATTCCAATTGATATAATCAAACTGCAAATATAAAATACAATCCGATTTCAGTATCTTGCTCTAGGTGCCACAAGATTCAATGTTTTTGTTGCTCCGCCCAACCCAAGGGTATATATATGATATGCTGTGTGTGAACGAAGTATGGGTACCCGGAGAGCCGTGGGCCAGTCGCCGAGATTGGCGTGCCTTCGCCAGAATTAAATATCCAAAAATAGAAAAGATGAAAGGTGAAGGAGAAGAAATGGGGAAAAGGGACATCTACAGGCGCGATTAAAAATAGAGATCAGAGCTGCGGACATTCTTCGGATGTCTGGAAATGAATGCCCTTTGCTCTGGTCAAGGGTACATATGCAGGTCAAAAGAGTTGGGAACGAAGAGAAGAGTGCCAGGGCTTATCGGAGGAATAGGGACTTGATGGGAGACAGAGAAGGTAGTGCCACCATCAGTGGAAGATGGATGCCGGGAATGTTCCGATGTTTGGGATTTATTCCAATCGTTTCCGCTTACGGTCCTCTGCCATCGCCTGCTGGTCCTCGTCGGGTCTTTCGGCAGTATCGGCAGGATTGAGCAATGAATGCACGTTGCTTGCCATGCTCGAGCGACGGGTTGCGGGCAACGAAGAGCCGTGAGGGAATCTTGAGCCGCCAAGTGTCCAGCCGTTGTCGACACCGAGCAGGGACGGTGAGGGTTCAGCAGTGGGTGGAGTGGCATGGCGGGATTGTTCTTGAAGGCGACGGGGGGCACCCATTTCGTATTGGGCGAGGACATCACGAACCTGCTGGTCACTGGAAACTGGGGTTCGGTGCCCTGGTGATGAAGGCCAAGGGCCATTTGGAGGATTGCCAGGGGGGTAGGGGGAGCCGGCCGAGGGGGACCAACCGTGCTGTCGGATGTCTGCAGACGTGTGACGACGGGCCAGATTAGGCCCTGGGGATGTTGAGACGGAGAGAGGGTGAGGCATTGGTTGCTGTGGGGGCGGCGCAACGGGGGGTTGGGGGCGAGCGTATGCTGAGGCAGAATTGGCGCCGCCAATCGAGCCGTAACGGCGAGGGGATACTGAGAGATGGGGAGGGACGGGCGGCCGGATCATGTTGGTGGGTCGAGGGGTATGGTCCATCATGGACTGTCGACGGGAATCGTCCTGGGGCATTTGGCGCGGGGACAAAGGTGGACCAGCTTCAGTCATGTTGGCTAAGTACTGTTGTCGCGGAGGCATGAGAGTCTCGTGGGGGGTTTCGATGGCGCGCATAATTTCAATATGCTTCTCAACTTCTCTTTGCATGCTCGAGACTAGGGAGTATCAGTGCATGACACCACGAGTAAAGCGGCAATATTGACATACCATCGCGATGCAGAGGGCTTTCCCTATCGGGCACAACAGCTTGAAGAAACCGTGAAATAGAATGCGTCCACTGAAATCAGATTAGCACCAATACACCCGCACTGGCATAGACGGCGGACATACTTGGTAGCACTTTGTCAGACTTTCGGTCATAGCATGGCATCTCGAGTTCAGTAGGATATTGCCCTCTTCCGCCCGAACCAGACGACCATGCATCTCGTAGAGGCTGCTCTCGATGTTCAGGAATCTAGCATCGGTCGCATCAGGTGCGGGTTCAGCGGGTGTTCCAGGCTGGGAAGCAGGAGCCTTGTGGCTAGGGAATGAATCACGGTGGATCAAAGCGTGCCTCGAAGCACGGCGCTTGATCTCTCGTAGACCAGCTAGATCGCCTCTTTTGAAGTTCCCATTGCCGTGTTTAAATTCCCAGAGGGCAGAATCTGGGGATCCGGTGTGAAAGACGTCGCTCACTAGCAGAGTCAAGAATGGTCAGAAATCGCCCAATCAAAGCTAGCATGCGAGACACCCACCTTTGTGAAACCCATACATATTCAGCTGTCGAACAAACGAGGAGATATTGGTATGTTTGAAGTACGATCTGCGAGGGTCAGAGATGAGTTTATTAGCAGAGAGAATAGCACCCACGCTAGGACTTTGGAGAATTCCGACGTTGGCGACATGACGAAGCTATCGTTTGTACCGGACCAAGAGATGAGATGCTGGATGCTGGGATCTTCTAGCATACTGTCAAAAAAAAGAAAGGTAAGCTCGTGGAGACAACACACGAAGATCCAAAACATACTTGTAAAGCTTGTGAATGAAAGCAGTCTGGACGACTTTTGGCTGCTGAGCTGCGGCCGCAGCGCCGATGGCAGGATTTGGAGCATTCAAAGCATTGCTTCCAGCTTCGGTACCATTTGTGATCCCGACCATTCGGTCTTCACCATGCGCGCCCGTGGGCGGAGGGGTGATATCCATCGAATGCTGACCAGACGAGGAAAGTACAGGAATGTTTCGCGTCCTGCCGGGGGCGTCTGGTACCCCGGCAAATGAAATCCTAGTCGAAGGAGGGTCGGCAAGACGACTCATGTCGGAGGGGGGTGGGTATATATGTAGACACAAAATATGGTGGATGCGACGGGATCGTGAGGGGTGGAAATTCGGACGCGATGGACCGTTTATGCTCGTGCCGAAAGAACGTGGGAGATCAACCAATAATCAACACTTCTGTCATTGCGCAAAAATTGGGTTATTTTCAAGAGAAAAATAAAAAATAAAAGTGACAGAAGAATAAAGAGAAGAAAAAATAAAGAAAGTCTCGAAGTGTCTAGAATGTAGAGGGCTCTGCGGGGAAGACCAGAAAATGTGTTGACAGTCGGATCTGCAGAAAATAGAAGTTATACAGGGATGAAAGAAAAAGACCAATTGGAGAGTATTATGGGAAAAAGGGGGTGAAATGTAGGGCTTTGCCTAAACCTATATGGACCCTATTATAGCCCTATTAGATTCTACCTAATTTAAGAATACTATATTTACATATAGAGAAGCTTGAGGCATTTAACTCTGTAGCTAAAAGGGCTACCTCTACACTTATATATAACCCCTTGTGATAACTAACATATTATAAAGAATCACCTAACTCGGACAAAAGACACGTCGAAAATTTGTATTGATTACTCTTTTCTTTGACGCTTTTGTTTTTATTTTCACATAGCCTTCTAATCCTTGTCGGGGTACATATTCATACAACATTACTTGACAAAGAGCTTGTATTGACTGTCCGCTAGTGCCCAGGTGGGTTTGACAGGGGTTGCATAGACTAGTTGCCATGGTCATTTCTTCAACGGATTCCTACTTTTTACTTAATTTTTATTTTATCAAGTATATGAAGTATGAGGAGCTAATAAATACAATTGGACAGTGCACGTTGGGCTCAGCCTTCATTCTCAAATTCTTCACCTTGACTGATTAGCTAGTGTCGAATCACCAAGTTGCAATCCTCATATCAGGGACACCAGAGGGCAGCCATGTCTCATCAAAACACCAGATCCAGATTTTGTCATCCGAAGGGAATATAACGAAGTCTCCATCACCCAAAACCGAGGTGCATAGCCGGTTTTTAGGGAAATCTATTGTGTGTCTGGATTCGAATTGACGCCCCTTAGCGTCGAAGACATGTGCGGGCTCTAGGGATTCATAGCCAATGCACAATTTCATTTTCATTGAGATTTCGTATTCCTCAAAGCAATAAGTCAGACCCGGGCCTCGAGCTGAGTAGTCTAGATTGGCGTGTTGATTCTTGAAATCCAACTCTGCAGAGTGGAAATGCACAGTAATCTGATCGTCTGCCTCAAGTGAAAGAGAAAGCGAATTAATATAAGGTACAGTCATGCAACTTACCAGCAAAGCAGAGCTTTGACCGGGGCGCAGGCTTTCTCTGTATGGTGTCATGTCTTCTGGTTCGCATTGAAGCTCACATAATTCTTCCATTCGGAAAGGAAGCTCTCGGTATTGCTCCCAGGTGGAGATAAACTTATTCTCGTAGACAGAGAACTTCTGTGTCTTCAAATGATGCTCATCGCAATACAATGCGCCATGTTCCCAGGGTTGAATATTGTCGCTATGTTTTCTGCGGACGGAAACGACGGTGAGGGCATCTTCCTCTGCATGTACTGATAACAAAAGAATGAAGGGCCCAAGTTTGATCGAACGGGCCACTCCGGAGTCAAAACAGAAGTGGACTACGGAGTCCACATAGCCGAGCACTACCTTGGACCCGATAGATATGTAATGACCAAACTGCAGTGAAGGAATGCGAAAAGACTTGTACTGTTCTGTGGACATGCTCCAGACATGACAATACCTAGCATGTCCAGTCAGTAGTGCATTCAGCAAAGCGAGACTCCTTTTCTGGCTACATACCCCCGAACAGAAGTCGCTGAGACCAAGGTGTCCGAGACCTCGACATGGTTAAGTTCCTCTCGATTCTCTGTGGTGAGAGTTCTGTTCTTGCCAGTTGGTAGGTGCACCAAGAAGATAGTAGTTCGATCTGTAGATTCTTCAATCCACGCGCATACTCCATTGAAACACCCTATGCTGTCTCTGTTCAGGTCGTTCTCTGAATCGCGAGACAAGTTGTTAGGGATTGTAACTACAACAGCAGGCAGACCCCTTTCCGCTCGAATTCGCTTTTTGATCAGTACATCGAGATCGGCAGGGGAATCAGACTTGATAACGTTTTTCCCCATGTGGTATTTGATTGCAGTGGTGGTGACGATGGTTGAAGAGAGCAATTCATGCCATCGTTTGGAAACCTTTGTAATATGAATATGTCAACAGATGTCACAAACATACAGATGGATGCTGACATACTCTTCGAAGAAGAATAAGATCGGTCAGTTCCATGTATTCTGCTAACATAGCCACCAATTCCAAAGGCAGTTTATCGAGAAAATCACATTGGAAAGTCATCGATTCGAATCGGCTTTTGACTTCGCGTATCTCATGAGAACTTAGACTGTCGATAATTCCGTTGATGCTATTTGGATTAACACTCGGAGCTAACTGTAAACAATGGACTTGGGACATACACTGCTCGCCGGCTTGCATTGTCATGGAGAGCCATGAAGCCCTCGAGAACTCGTTTGGTAGGTGAGGCCATGTTAGAGCAAGGAGCAACTCAAATGGAAGATTGAGGTGAAGGAACTTTTCAAACAAACACTGGATGTGAAAATTTAAGAAGACAAAGAAAGAAGGTTGTGGTAAGGTCTAAGTAAGGTGGTAGGTAACCCGTACTCAGTAAGCGAGGCCCAACCCCGGAGTCTTCCAACTTTATACAAACCTCCCAACCATCCTCAAATTCAACATCCAACTTTGTTATCTCCATCGTGAAATGACTACAGGAATTCATCGCTACCGACCAAACTTCCTGTGGAGCTTTTGAAGAAGCTTAAGAGACCGCGAAGAAGGCTCCATATTCCACAATCCTAGGACGCCGTCGATGCTCGGCGAAGCCAATAGTCTTAGCAGGGGTGACCACCAGCCTCCACCAGCTTTGAGTTGGTAAGTCGCTTACTAGGCATTTAGGAAAACTCGAAGAATGACAGCCGAATCCAAGTCATTCCCACTCGGAGTAAGCACCCATCTACCCTACATGTACATACATGAACTTTACGGGAAGGACTACTACACACTAAAACAATGAGAGATCAATATATCAACTCTCACACATCCCGATTATGAACTGATCTAGGTCATACAAACACTCAAGAATACAGTGATAAAAAGAAAATAAATGACACAGGAACAGGCGCAAAAGCATTACAAAGATCTCTCTAAGATGTCACTGCGGCGGTTCGGTTCGGTTCGCTAGCCCCAGGAATAAGGCAAATGAAAATGCTCCCTCTCTATCATTATAACCAAAAGAGTAAACACCCTTTAGATGCCGAGGGTGAACTCAACACCGACGTCGATCTCGCGGGCCATCTTAACGACCTTGGAGAACTGGACGGACTTCTCAGCGGCGTTCTGGAGGTCCTCGATGGAGAAGATCTTAAGGCCGGACTCGTTGATCTGGAAATTAGGGGATTTGGTTAGTTTACACCATAGCGAAGACCGGAAAGGGGTGGACTGTAATCATACCAGCTTGTGGGCCTGCTCCATGTTGGTACCCTGCAGACGGGCGATGATAGGAGTGCGCAAGTTCATCTCCTGCACAACGTTGATCAAACCCTGGGCAATGGCGTCGCAGCGAACGATACCACCGAAGATGTTAACGAAGACGGCAGAGACCTTGGGGTCGCTGGTGATCAGCTCGAAGGCGCTCTTGATGGCAGCGGGGGTGGCACCACCGCCAACATCGAGGAAGTTGGCGGGGGTACCGCCGTTCAGCTTGATGATATCCATGGTGGCCATGGCGAGACCGGCACCGTTGACTAAAATCGAGAATTAGCATTACGGTATTTTGAAGTATCAAAAGGATCCTTACCAAGGCAGCCGATGTCACCATCGAGCTTGATGAAGTTAAGACCGTGCCTAGAAAAAGATATCAAGTCAGTTAATGTTGTTTTATCTCTTCTTTTCCAGCAATGCAACCTACTCAGCGGCCTTGACCTCATCGGCATCCTCCTGGGAAACATCGCGCCACGAGAAAGCCTCCTTCTGACGGAACTCGGCATTGTCATCGAATCCAAGCTTAGCGTCCATAGCCAAAACCTGGTGATCGGATGTCTCGGAGAGGGGGTTGATCTCGAGCTGGGTAACATCGCGCTCCATGAAGCACTTGTAGAGGTTCTGGATGGTGGTCTTGGCCTCCTCGATGCACTGCTCGGAGAAACCAAGGTCGGTGGCGATGGTGCGGGCAATCTCGTCAGTCACACCGACGTGGATATCAATGGGGGTAGTGGTGATGGCGTCGGGGCTCTCCTTGGCAACAGCCTCGATATCCATACCACCCTGGGAGGATGAGACGATGACGGGGCCACGGGTGGTACGGTCAAGGAGGACAGCGAGGTAGAATTCACGGCGGGCGAACTTGCGCTCGCAAATGTAGACCGAGTTACAGATACGGCCGCCCGCGCCAGTCTGCTTGGTAACGAGCTTGTGACCGATCATCTGGCCAGCAAACATCTTAGCCTCGGTGGGACTGCAAAGATATCTATCAGCTTCATTGTTCCCGATATCTGTTCTCGAATTTATTCAACTCACGAGTAGATCACACGGACACCACCCTTGAGACCATTGTCGAATTGACCCTTACCACGGCCACCAGCGAGAACCTGGGCCTTGATAACAAGATCACCACCACCTGGAATGTAATGTTCAGCAAGCGCGTTGAAAGGGGGAAATCAGTAGGTTCTTATTACCGATGGACTTGGCAATAGCCTCGGCCTCTTCAGCAGTGTTGGCGACCTCACCCTTGGGGACACCAACACCGTACTAGATTGTTGATCAGCGATCTCGAGTCCCTTTTTTTTCGAGCGACCGAAGGGGAAACGTGGGTGCACGTACTGTCTTGAGGAGTCTTGCGGAGAGGTACTCGTGGATGGAAAGGTTGCGCTTCTGCAAAGCAATTCTGCTCTGGATGGAAGGTTGCTATTGTTTATCAAAGTCAGCTCAATCACATAAAACTTGGGAACGAGCGCGGCCCGAATTCAGATATAACTCACTGTCGCAGCCTTGAAAGCCGCCGCAACGGGTCTACCGCGAGCAAGCTTGAACATGATGAATTCGGAGAGGGGAGAGGGGGAATTTGTAGAAGGGCGGAGGTATAAAGCCCGTTTAGATAGTTGGTAACGGGAGAACAGCTTTCTTTTTCACTTGCTTTCGGGATGACCTTGCGTTGCGGTAAAATCGGGTGCCGCAGCCAACCAGCGATCGTTCCTGGCCTGACTCAGCATTGGTTCGGGGGCAACGCGAATATAACGGAACATGGCTATTAAAGTCGGTACTTTTCTACTTGGATATAGATTTTGGTTCCTTTTTTATATTTATATGATTTTACAATTGTCCTATATTACTATATTATATTGACTAAATCCATACTTCAAACCAACGTAACCCCCCTATTTGCCAACATTTTTGATCTTCCATAGTTTGAACATTTTAGTCATGAGCCGACCAAACAGACCCGACCAAGCCCAGCCACCCGACAATGTCCAGATCAACCAGCTAGCATGACCCTCCCAGATCCAGGCCTTGCGACCACGAGCCCACGGCCACAACCAACGCCATGGAGCTGAGCCATACAAGACTTGAGAAACGACACTGCGAGCATATGCGTCATTCGGCATAGCGTTGTGCTGGCTATGCTTCACACGCTTAAGATACTCGGCCTCGATAGAGGAATACAAGGAACCCGGCTTCAGAGTACGATCGGTACGTGCAATACGAGATTGAACACCGCCAGTAACGATAGTTGTGACGTGGACACTGTTGATCCTAGTTAGAAAAACACATGACGAGCTTGGATTTTGGGGGCCATATCTAACGAACCCGAATGGAGCCAGCTCCACGCGAAGCGTGTCACTGAATGAGTGCAATGCTGCTTTGGAGGCGTTGTAAACAGAGCCGAATACATATGGGATGATCTAGTCATTGTCAGTAAGTTAGGATCTGCCAAGATGGAGATATCTCAGAACTTACCCCGGCAATGGATCCAATCTGCACAATAGTACCCTTCGCCTTGATAAGCAAAGGTAGGAAAGTCTGGCACATAGTAATAACCGCGAAAAAGTTGGTCTCGAATGTTTGGCGAACCTCACTGAGCTCTACTTCCATCGCGGGGACGGTGTAATCTGCAGCAATCAGTATGTACTTCAAATTATTGACGCCGGAAGCCGTGAGAGTGAAGTTACATACTCCGACCACTGTTGGATATTAGCCAGATGTACCGTACACAGATAAAACGACAAAAGATACTCACGCGTTGTTAACGAGATAATCGAGACCCTTGTCTCCGAGCCTCTTTTCGACATCCGCAAAACACGCTTTCACATTCTCCGGGTCATCAACCGTAAGGCTCAAGGTTTCAATCCCGAGGTCTGCCAGATCAGAGATGGTCGCCGCATCGCGAGCGGTAGCCAGCACGCGCAGTCCACTTCGGTTGAACTCGCGCGCAAGGGAGTTGCCGATTCCACCTGGGGAGCATCTATGGTACATATCAGAAGGTGTTGCTGGTATCTGTCGTGAGTCGCCTGTAAGCTTACCCCGTGATGAGCACCGATCTGCGAGTATCTATCGTTTCCGACATGTTTGAGGTGGAATATAATAAACTGCAACAAATTTCTAGATCTGAATGTTGGTTACACGATGTAGTAGAACAGCTGGCTACGGCATGTACACCTGGTAAGCAAGTGGAGATTGAGGAGGTACCTCGGCTTTCACAAGTAAAGCACCTAGCCCTAAACCCTATTACCTGTTTTGTCTTTATAGTATAAATAGTGACTTGGGGATATGGAAGGAGGCTGGATTGCATAGTCATATGTACATAAATGTCGGGTCAGCAAATCGGAAAATAGGTCAAGGTAGACTGCTCCACCTCTTTACATCCACATCTCGAACAAATCTGGAGAATTCACTTACCTAGTGGTCTACACTATTCATCTCTCAAAGCAACCGCCATAATTTAGCTAGGTTCCCTCCACTTGTCTGTCACTCGTATGATCTCCCACTTGGACATCATTGTTTCGGAACATACTACGGCATTCAAGTTTACCAGAATGAGGAAGCGAAAATGCATATTTGAAAAGGCTCCCACGCCATGTTGAAATGCTCGACCCAACCAGTCGGATTATATTGATCAGGTCCTACTCGATCTCCGGTGCATCAGTCGTTGTGCCGGGGTTGGTACAACATAATAATTCTATTACCTACGTGTAATTTATGCTATATAACCGGTTCTCCAGTCTACTACAAGGCACAAAAGCCGATTTACTCTCCAAAATACATAACGCGCGGCATGGAGACGATCGAGATCAAGGACATTGTTTAAACGCGATTAGTCCACATAGATTAGCAATTTAATTTAAAGTAAACCGTCCAGTGGCGCCGGATGCGTGCCGATTCCCGAGAGCGAACTCATCGAATGACACCGTCCCGTCCGTGCCGGAGAACCTGTGTATGATATTCTGGGGAAGTGATGATAAAATTTAACGGCATTGATGCCATTTATGCGCCAAACCCCTCACCTTTTTACAGTGTTGTATGTAATGGAAGATCAATAATTCGTTCGGCCATCGCCACTGGTAGATTCTTGCCATCGGTCCCCACATTAATTCACGGCGGTCTTCAAATCCGAACGACCTGTCTATTCTTCTCTACAGAGATCTTCGATCGCTATTGATTGAAAGGCTTCAACAGAAACCCGTGTTAGCATACGAGTCTTTTGTGATACCATCTCTACTGCCGCCCATGCTATCATCCGCAAGCAGGCTGCACAATAGAACCCCCGAACGAAAAGAGGGGAAGTTTTAAGCTAACCGCGCTTGTATTCAGCCGTGTGTGCACTCACTGAGTTAAACTGCAGTAACCGGTGATGGCCACTGAACCCGATCTACCCCGGCACATGCGAATTCCCGGGGAAGATGGGTACCGAACGCCGACAATAGAAGATGCCGAGCGGGCGCTTTCAATCCTGGGGGCCGTTGAAGAAACCCCCGGAGTTCGCGAGGCTCATTCGTCTGCTTTGGAGGCTGCGCTGCAGCGAGCCTCGTCGCGGGCTACTGTGAAAACGAATCCGGAAAAGAAAGCCAGTGTGTACCAAGAGCATAACGGGCTGGGCCTGTTTGGGCTCAAGCGCACGGTTTCTGGCGAGCTGAGCTGGAAGAAGCGCATTCGCCATGTTACCTGGGCGTATTTCACGTTGACTATGGCTACAGGCGGCCTGGCTAATGTCTTGTATCAAGGTGTGCATGGTCGATTTCATTCTGTTCGCTACTTTTCTAACAATGACCAGTTCCATTTCGGTTCAAGGGCTTGGATACGATTGGCATCGTTATCTTCCTGATCAATATCGCTTTATATCTTATCATCTGGGCTCTTCTGCTTGTTCGGTTCTATCATTATCCGTATACATTCAAGGCGTCGTTCATGCACCCCACAGAGTCGCTCTTCGTGCCCGCATCTATAGTATCCTTCGGCACGATCCTGATCAACGTCTCGCAGTACGGACCCGAAAACACGGGTCCGTGGTTGATGCGTGCAGTCTGTGTTCTATTCTGGATCGATGCCACTCTCGCCGTGATGTTCTCGGCGGGCATCTACCTCCTCCTTTGGTCGACGCAGACATTCACCATCGCGCAGATGACTCCTATCTGGATTTTCCCTGCTTACCCGATGCTCATTATTGGCCCGCATGCTGGCATCCTCAGTGCGAAGCTGGAACCGTCGCAATCTCTGCCGGTCATTATTGGCGGCACAACTATCCAGGGAGTTGGCTTTTTGGTTTCGTTGATGGTGTACTCGGCCTTCATCTACCGGTTGATGACACAGAAGCTGCCGAGGGAAAATCTCCGTCCTGGTATGTTTGTTTCTGTGGGACCGAGCGGGTTCACGGTTGCCGGGTTGGTGAATATGGCTGCGGGGGCGAAGAGGTCGTTTCCAGCCGATTTTATGGGTAATGGGCCGCTGGCTGCCGATGTGTTGAAGATTGTTGTTAATTTTTCGTGTCTTTGGCTTTGGGGGTATGTTTGGCTCCTTGATTATTTCTATCGCTTTGTCTAACTCTTCTCTAGGTTGGCCATATTTTTCTTCATTATTGCAAGCGCAGCCCATTGGTCGGCGATTGGACACGGGCGGATGGTCTTCTCAATGACTTGGTACTCATTTGTTTTCCCTAATACTGCCTTGATCACTGCTACTTTTGCTATTGGCAAGGCATTCTCGTGTAGGCCTATTGAGATTGTTGGGTGTGCAGCGATACTCCCATTGCTGTTGATGTACTTTTTTGTTTGCTACATGATGGTTCGGGCTATTTTGACGCGACAAATCCTGTGGCCCCAGAAGGGCGAGGATAGAGACGAGGGTGGGTTTGAGATTCTTCGGGTTAAACCAGTGGCTGCGGCAGGGGTTTTAGGACATACATAGGTGCAATATATATATCGATGGATGTGTAAAAATCAGGAAATTCCATCACAAAAATAAAAGACCACAAAGAGCTTGGTATATTTAATTATTCTCACACATAAGGTTATTTCAACCAAATCTAACATTTTTGCCTAAAAAAAACCAACACTGAAAAAGACCAAAACAATAGGAGGATGGATATGCATACAAGCGCAAAAAAACAAAAACAAAAACAAAAAAGAATGGACCCGCCGGGAATTGAACCCGGGACCCCCCGCAAGTCACTGTTGTAGTGCGAAGCGGGTATTATACCCCTAAACCACAGGCCCATTTGATGAAAGATTGGGCTTTCACATGTTATTCAATGGAAGTGTGATCTGTGTACATAAGGTTGTACAGCATCTTGCCCAGGTGAAGCCTTGAAGGAATCCACACATTCGTTCCTTCCCTTCTTTTGAAACGATAGCCTAATTTGGTAATTGACTCAACTTCAGGAAGGTACGGAGTCTCCCCACCAATGAGTATAAACCCCCTCGTCCTCATCCCCCTCCTTTCCTTCTTCATATACTCCTAACCTCACACGCTGAGACAATACTCCTTGATAAACCTGCACGCCGTGCCATAGTAAGCCCTAGACTAGGCCTACCCCGTAGGACTTGATGTACATATGAATATCTCTCTTGTGACTATATTTCACTTGGCCTCGACCGATGCAGTCATTATGCAAAAGGGTACCTGAAATGCTAGCCCTTCAATGCAAAAGAGCCTACGGTGTATTCCATAAAATTATGTATAGATTCCCGGGCTGGTACTGTTTACGATTCAACATACCTTTCCGGGCACATATCATACAATTGCCGTTTGGTTTGGTCTTAAGGTGGACAGATCGAACGAGTCTAGTAGAAGAGGCGATGCACGTGGTACGAGCTACCGGAAATGCCTGTTCCCAAAGTTGTGTCTTAAGAACTCTTGCATTCAATCACGGTTTCTCGATGTTGAGACTGACTACTCGCCTAGGTTGGAGAAGAACCGTGACTTTTTAAACTTAAATGCGTAACCTGCGTACTTGGCCCTCTGATGACCAGAATATTTGCTCGGACTTAGGCACCTCCTTACGAAGTCCAGTGCTTAAATTCACAGAGATGAGCTCCACAATCATCCCTGAATCCCCCCAGACACGGCCTCGATTCAACCGAGTACATCAAAGTTTGGCGCAAGCAAATAAAATTCGTACTCTCAGCGGATTACTTTCACCCATGGTGACTTCAAGGCTAATATTCTTGTCGGGGATGGTCATTTATCGGCGTTTCTTGATTGGGAGTCTGCTCACTGGTACCCCGAATACCGGGATTCTACGAGTGCGATGAGATACGGAAAGAGCAGCTGGTGGAGTACGACGGGGAGTTAGCTGATATTGCGCTCAACTCATTGACGGCTGACTCATATAGCTTTCTGAGTACGATATGAGTTGTTTTCTTTGCGCTTCTTTTTTCCTCTGTTCATAACTTCTTATGTCAATTTGAATGTGGAAGTGAGGAGATACAAACCCAACAATAGAAGGGTATCAGGAATGGGTTTGTGCACGCAATGGAACCGATTGACCCGGAATAATTTTGTCTTGACAGCAAGATATGAAGATTGCGTATAATGAACTACACAGTCAATCGATTTGCTTTTTCCTTCTATTGTGTTTTATAAGAAACTTTTACAAACATTAGGCTTGTTTATCCAAATATCATCCTCTACGGAGTCTACGAAGTGACAAATAACCACAGAAGTTTAGAGAAACCAAACAATGAATTATACAAAAATCAGTCAGGGTATCGAATTAATATGTAAAAAAATGCGGTGCCTGCCGCCTTACGCGTCCTCCATCACGGCATCCTTGGCCGCGACCAAGGGAGAACTGCCGGCGGAAGCAGCCGGGCTTCCACCGGAGTTACTCTCACGCTTCATCTTCCCCTTCTTGGGGGACTTTGAGCCTCGACCACGGCGGTGGTGTTCAACCGCACCGCCGGACAACTTGCGGCCACGACCGGGCTCCCTCGCCGGCATGTTGAGAATTATCCGGGTGCAGCCCCTGACTTCCCCCACGGAAGTTGGAATCTGGGGAACTGGGGGGAGGTTCAAGGGGCTGACACCCCGGCGCGGAGTTCCCGCGCGCGTTAGACTGGTGCTCTTCCGACGGGAGGCACCCACAGACGGAGAGGCCTCGCGGGAGGCAGCAGGGAGGGTCGTGGCGGCAATGGTGGTCTTGGGGGTTTTCACGCCCTTGCGGGCCTGGCGCCGTGGCGTGGCAGGGCGGGGGGTGATGGGGACGGGGGTCGACTCCTTAGGTTTGCGCGAGCGCAGCTGGCGCCCCTTTTCGGGGATGGGGATGTCGAGACCCCCATCCTGGGCGCTCTGCTCTCGTCGCTGGCGGTTCAACTCCGCCGGGCGGCAGCTCAGGGTCTGGCGGCTATCGGGGATTATGAGCTTCGACAGCTCCCCGGTGGCCACCGCCCAGCTCACTTCTGGCAAATGGGCGGCGATGTTGGGATCGAGGTCCCCGGTGGACTTCCGGTCTCTCCCGGGGGCGATTACCTTTGCCGCAAAGGACTTGGTGGCTGTCAGGTAGGTGGCAGCGCTCTTCTTGCGCCCCTTGCTGGGCGCTGGAGCCATGATGGCATCCAATTCTCTCAGCTGATTGTGAGACCACCACTCAGTCTTGTACTCTGAGTTTTCATTGAGACCTGAGAGATGACTGAGCACACCGGAGGACAACGCGCGGTCACTGTAGCCGCCCTCGAGGACGCTAATGACGCGCCCCTCGACACTCAGGCCTTCCTCTTTTGATAAGCGGATGACATCCGCGGTGAACTTGGCATAGAATTCAGTTGGCACCTTCACGCTGTGGCGTTGCATGCCGTTGCCTTCCCACTCGCTGGCATCAAACCCGGCAGAGATGAAGATTGCCGCCTTGGGTAGTGGAGAATTCGGATTCTCTTGTCGTTCTTGGTTGAGTTCAATTGTGCGTTCGCGAAGAAAGGAGCGGGCTTTGGTGAGCAATGCGCTGTATTTCATCTGGTATAATTTCCAGAACTCATCAAGATCGGCCCAGGTTTCGAGATGAACATTCCAAATAGACTGATTGTGTGCTTCGACACACAGGCTGGCACCCATAACTTTGTCGCGTTCGCCGTTCTCGCAAGGGAAAGAGTTCACATCGTGCAAGCTGTAGTAGCCGATTGCTGCTTTGGTGTATGGAGGAGCGTCTTCATATTCCTTGAATTGCGTGGCATCGGTTTTAGCCAAATCGGCCTTTTGTGTTTTGTTGAGTAATTTGGAGTTGTGATCGTATGCAATGTCCTGAGACCCATCGCCATGGTGAAGATCGAAGTCAAGGATGGCAGCGTGGGTCAGACCGTGGACTGTCGCTGCGTGGGAAATTCCGACATGAACGTTGTTGATCCAGCAAAAGCCGGAAGGGAAGTTAGCTGAACAATGGTGACCGGGAGGTCGAATGCAAACAAATGCGCGCTGAATCGGACCAGAGTTGAAAACAAGATCCACACCCTCGCAGACGCCCCCCAGGGCTCCTTGGAAGGCGTTCACGGACTCCGAGCATAAGTAGAGGTCGTTGGTATTTAGGGCAGGACCACTTGTGCCGAGCCCGTCGTGTTCTTCCGTCCGTTGTCTGGCAAGTTCATTACCATCCATGATGAGACGTGACTCTGCAAGGTCCCCCATCCATTTCAATTCTGACATCCATTGGGTTCCATGGACATCTGTAACAGCAGCATCAGACAAATACACCTTGCGATCAGTCTTGATAATTTGGAAAGGAACGTCAATGTTGTTCAAGCTCAAACTTGGTTTTGGCGCGAGACCTTCCGCATACCGAGAGCCAAGGAGGACATAAGCTGCAGAGATGCCTACAGCACAGGCGCGGATGCGCTCTGGTCTTTCGACAATTCTCTCGAGAGTCCGTTTTGGCGCTTCAAGCTGAGAGTAACGATGGCCATAACAGTCGTCGTGAACAATAACAGCAGTTTGAGTATTGACATCACCAGATCGGTGCGATTCAAGCTCCTTTGAGAAGTGCTCAGCGGCGACAGACGAAGCAGTCGGAATTGGAGTTTCTGGAGCTGGGCTGAAGACCAGGCGTGCAGGGTGCATCGCGGGTGATGTTGCGGTGGTTGTCGACCCCGCAGAGGTGAATGATGTGCGGCGTGAAGGATCAGGAGTTGGAGATGAAGATCTGAGCGGTTGTGAGACCGACCGAAGAGATACAGTGGACTTGCGCTTTTGTAGTGGTGTAATTGACTTGCGTCGTTCGTCTCGAACAGAAACAGAACCGGCTGTTTGTGGTGAAACAAGTTGAACAGGTTGATTTGATTGTAAAGTGACAGATTGAACAGGTTGGTTGGCCTGTAGAGGAATAACAGGTACATGTCGGGTGGCTTGAACAGATCTAGGGGGAAGATAGGATGGAATAGAAGAAAGACGAGGTGATGGAGGCAATGGGGTCGCTGTCGCCAGACTCAGGCGATCCAGAGAGTCGATCAATTTACAATGCGCTTCATCGATATTGTTGTTATTGACCCCATTGTCCCCGAATAGTGGCGGGTCCTCCTGAGTGGAGGGGAGCTTGTATGGGTCCATCTTGCAGATATCGACTCTGCCACAAAGAATTTGCAATACACGATGTTTCTTCTCATTCAATACGGAGTGAAAGCCGAGAGATGATAGGTCGAGGTTGGATGAATAGGGAAGGGGAAACAAAAGAAACAAAGAGACAAAGAAAGGTGGGGATTCACATGTTTGGGTTAAGCCACATGGGGTAAGGGTTCGGCCGATCTCCATAGCATAGAACAACGACACACAACATCTATATATTCTTCATATTATATTTCTATTGTTTATCATTCTATTGTTATTGATATTATCTCCTTTTGACTTGATTCTTATTGTCTAATAGTGAGACATTCAATGATATTGTATTTTCTTCATTGATAGCTTTTGTAACAATCCCCAACCATGCTACATGCTTTCTCTATTAGGACTCATCTCTAACATAAAACAGACCGAAAGAAGGTTCCAATAAAGACAAATCGAATCATATGCAGATCATCTAGATCACTGCATTCGCGTGATGGAACGCCGTAAACCCGCAGAATTCCGTCTCCCAAACCGAGACCCCAAGTCCCCCAACACCGAAGTTATAAAAAGATAGACAGAGAAGAGGGAGAAAAAAAAAGATAAAAAAATGTGTATGTAGTCACTTAGCGTGACCGCAGACCTCGCCATTGATACCACTGATACCAACGGCGGCCGAAAGAATCCTTCTCGTCAAGAGAATCCTCAGATCGGCGGCGCACCTTATTCTCCTTCTTACGGGTCTCCTTCTCGGACTTGAAACCACGCGTGGCGTGTGAGTTGCAGAAACAGTGCATGTGAACGGTCTCGACGCTGATGCCCGGGCAGCCATTCCGGCGGTGCGCAGCGCAGACGCTATTACCGGCATCTTCTTCGCATTGGCACCATTCGTAGAGTGTGAAATATTGACGGCACATTATTGATTTTGCTGGATGATTTTCTTCAAACTTATTGAGTATTGAATTTGATAGGGGGTCCCGCAGGTGCCCAAGATGCGTTTTTGATAGTTGATAGTTGATGGGACGAAGAATATAGATTTGTGGGTTCAAAGTGTGTCGAGCAGAGTGACTGTGAAACGAATATTGATGAGGTATTGGCAAGAAAATGAGAATGTCAAATGCCCGATGTGTAATGGTGCGAAAATGGCTTCTGGCGTCGGAGCAGTGTAGCTACTAAGCCTAATCGGATTCCACGGGAAGTATGCTCTGTAGCCGGTGATGTCGAGATGTTCGGAGCTTTGAAACTTCAGACCAGCTGAAATGAGATATGGAGGAAGATAATTAGGGATCAGCAAGGAAAAGAAAGCGACCGGAGGTACAGGGGACAGATAATAAGCTCTTTAAGTTGCAGGCTAATGTAATGATGAGTGAATAGTCATTGACCGGTCTATGAATGGAACCACGGCTATTGATTGGAGCTGACGTCAAAGAAACCATTTTCTTTGATTATTGTGGTATATAATTATATTATAAGTGGGCTTTATGATTATATTATTATAATTAGTGGGTTTATACTTTGCCTAGATCTTTCTTCGACTAAGAGCTACAGGTTACATCTGACAACCGGAGGTCGTATTCTCAAGCTTGGTTTTTTGTTATAGGTCTAATAGCCATGTACTCCGTACTCCGTCTTAGCTAGGCAGCAAACTTGGCAAGCGCCCGGATGGAGAAAGGGGGTTACGAAGTGAGATAATGAAAATGGGATTGGTCTTGGAAGACAAGACCAAAAAAGAAAGGCGGCTATTGTTCTGTTTCAACAGGTTCAACAAAG